TATTTAAATTTCAAACTTTCACTGATGGTTGAGCATCTGTTTGGTAGAATTATGCTGGCAACTCAACATAATGTATTCATTGCCAATGTCACCTAATTAGACGCTGTGCATGTAATTGTGCTAAAAATGTAGAAGTCCCAAAAACCCATTCCGTGTCGCGATATACATATGTGCATACTGTATTTATAACTTTGATCAGCTAAAATTGTGCATAAATATCATTTACATGCACTTTGGCGTCAACACCGCCGTTTAATGGATTTCTTTGCAGCGTGTGGTTAATTGGTCGACATGAGTTGATAAAAGGGAATGCGTGGTGGTTACTTACCGTGCATCCCCTAATGCTTTAAATACAAGAATGGATTACCGGTGAACTGGTCGTCTATCTTATGTCTTTACTCGGAGCTGTTTGAATAAATTCAGTACTTTAGACTGATCGCTCGCAGTGAGTGATTCTTATATGTTGGCAAAATTACCCATTCATCGTGGCGATTTGACACAATATTGGTCGGGAATGCTTTTCCTGAGCATGGGGGGATCTCGAAGTGAGCAGCTGATGATCATGGCACAGGTACAAATTACAAATTCCTGATACAATGTTGCGATAATTTCATGTGCCTCCACGCGTTGATCGCAAGGTGTTTCGCAGTGCGCTTGCGAAGGTGATCACTGAGAGTGAAGGAGAGAGTGCGATTTGTGGTAAAGAGACCTGAGTGAAAAATAAATAAAATGTGAGCGACGAGTTCATTGTGATCACTCAATGATCACAGCCAGAAATTGATGGACGATCGTTGAACTGGATGTCGAGATATGTATGTTCAAAACTTCCCAGAGGTAATATCATAAGATGGGATGGGTGTTGCATTTTCCGACATTTCACACAACATTTACACAATTTCACTCTTTCGGGGCTCCATCTTCGGAACATTCATAGCATAAATACCCAACTAAGATATGAGCATGTTAAGTAATCAAAAGAATTTTTCAGGAATTTCTTCGGTGATTAAATAAAGCACTAGATATAAATTGAATCTCGTTCTTTTTCATCCGCCTCACACTGGCATTTGTAGAGGGAGCAAATGATTTCGTTCCATCGATGTGTTCGGAAACGAACGAAAAAACGAAGGGACGGAAAGAATGAAGAGAAGTGGAAAGAGGAGAGATCCAGAAAGCGGCAGCAAGACGAAATTATTGTTTGCCCTCTCACAAAAATATTTTGTTGTCGAAACGACTCAAAAGGTCTGCCACAAATTCCATCTTTGTCGCTCCTCAATGCCTCTCACTGGGACTCACAGATGCATTTTCTATTCCCCATTATTGAGAGATACGATCATGTGGTTTCCGTTCTGTGGTGTATTAGTGAAAGTATAACTTTAGATTACATTTCGTCTATCTCTTCCTTGTATCTCGTCATGTCTCCAAAGCATCACAGCTTCGCCTCAATTCAATATGTCACACTGTTGTATCACAATTATTATGTTGAGTAAGAAATTGTTTTTCATAAAGTTTACTAATATTGATTTCAGCGAAGAAATTTTGATTCAATTTTTATTATTATTATAAATGGTCAAAGTATTGAAATTTCCATCATACTATTCTTTAAGTTGAGTGACAATTTGACTTATCTAAAGTAATAAACCCTTGTCTACAATTTTGAATGGAACTGAACTGAGGAAATATGAACTTTATCGTATTTCCTGATACATATTTTCCAAACTTACCCCGTTAAAACCTTCCGAATAAGTTTTCCAATAAAATTTATTATCATATTTTCATAGAAGAAGATTTTTGGGCCACAGAAAATAAGTGAATGATGGAAAATTTTATTGGATAGTATGATTTGTCTTCATCACTCCAGCATACGAGAAATGTAGTGTGAAAAATCTTTGCTTTAGGAAAAATATTACATTAAGCAATAATTCCATGTTGTATTGATACGAATTAAACCGTGAATGAGAAAAAGTGTTTCATAAGCCCCAATTTTATATTTCACCGCTCTTTTCTGCCACACACAAACACAACTCGCGCACACATACAATCAAGAAGTGCCCAAAAGAGCACCAATGAAGTTTCCACTCGGAGAAAACTTTGAGTTGTTCACCGATGAGGGAATTTTCGGATGAGAAAGAAGTGAAGAATAAGTGTTAAAATCAGTGAATGTGTTTTGAATTAAACTTTCACTCTTCTCATCTTCAGCACGCTTATGCTACATAAATCTCCGTTCGATGATGAAGTATTTAGAGTATTTCTTACATTCAACATTCAACTGTAAAATGAACCAAAGATTGATTTTTCGTGTTTATACAACAATTTTTCTCTCTACCTCGTGCCCCTGCCCCAACCCACCGCTCCGCCAATGATTAAATTAAAATCTTATGTTTTTCATCAAAAGAGAGTGAGTAAATAGCACACATGACCGAAGGAAAACAGACAAATGTTTTGAGGGAAAATCATTTTGGGTGCTCAATAAGGCTTTCAGTGCCTCTTTCCACGCATTTAAGAGAATTAAATAGGTTTCGAGGACAAGAGCTTAACGATTATGCAGATAATTTGTATAATGACTTTCTACAATTATATAAATTTTCCTCCAATTGTGATTTCTATCAAAATTTTAAACAAAAGAATTGATTGGGGAAAAGTGTATTGATGATGAATTCTGAATACCACTCAATTGCATACATCTCATGGAAATTCGCTCATGTACAGATGTGTGTGTATATATATATATATACATCTGCTGTACTTGTATCAGTACGGTCGTATTGAGAATAGAGATCAAGTTATTGTCCTTCATATGTATATTTCCATTTGTCTTAAAACATGACAACTTGCTGCTTCAGGGAGCAAAAAAAAACTAAATTTTGTTCTCAAAGTGTTTCCAATTTCGTATGCTAATATGCATTTTTGTATATATTTGCCATTTCTGATTATATGCTGAAGGTGGTAAAAAAAAGTGTTATTATGTAAATGATATTTTCGAATACATTTTGAATGAATTTAACATATTTTGGAAAATATTTCATGCATAATTGCGTGCGATATATCATATGTTATTTAACTTGATGTTTTTCAAATTCATCAAAGCAAAACTCTGGGCGTTAGTGTTAGTATGGATTAGGCGGAAATCAAAATGCACATTACGTTTTAGTGAAGAATATGCTGTAGGGATTTCGAGTGAGCGGTGTATGGTGAAAATTCGGAAATTGGTAGATTAGGTCTCGAATCTCATATCTTGGAGCGTCATCGGGAATTGAAGATTGCGAAAAGAAATCCGTGTGAATGAGAGAGAGAAGGGAAACAATAATAGAGAAGATTAGTGTTATCTGTGACAATCTCATGAATATCGTGAATCAACAACTTCAAATCAGCAACAGCATGTCGAGCAGGCAATCCGGAATCAGCCAATGCTTCCCCATCAGTCTTAGAGTTCTTTAGGGGTTGGCGGAATAAATGAATTGGAAATATGACGCCATAGGATTTGAGCGTAATACCATATAGTTTATTTGTACACTTTTCCCATTGTCAATTACTTATTTATTCTGCTCGGTGGGTTTTTAATCTCACCTCTCTATAATACAATCTTTTCCTTTGCCATGAGCCTTTTTCAGAGCCTCACACGCACACTGTTGCCACCCTAAAAGCGAATGGGAATACAGGATGTATTGATGAAGCCTCACACACATCCTTACTTCACACGCCCCGAGTGAAGTTGAGTGAACACGTGCTCGCGCGACAGATGTAAAGCCCTGCAGCCGCAAATCCGAATGAGAAGGAAACGACAGAAGCACCACCGAGATCCGTCAGACCTGCTTGTCACCTCTCCTTGCCCTTTATGCCAACCAGCCGCGGAGGTTGGCGTCTCGCTCGTAATTGGATTACTTTATGATGCGCCAGGTGACTTCTCGATCAACGTGTACGTGAGCCTACTAGGGTCAGGATCATTGACTGTCTGTCTTCACTTAACTCAAAATTAGCTTTTCACCACCTCCTAATCAGCCGACGGCCAACGCAGAGGCTAAACATATGGGAGGGTGAAGAGGCGTCAGAAAAGATGTCGGCGTTACCACCAACCAACAGTTGTTCCTCTGTAGGGATTCCAGGGAAATAAAATTTCCTTGGGAAGATCTTGCAGAAAAAGAAAGAAATACTTATGTACGCCTTTATCTAAATTTCTTTAGTGTAGTGTCAAAAGAGCCACTTATATGTACTTTTGAAAAACATTCCGAATAATATTTCAATGTTCACCTAGAAAAATAGAAAATTTCATTCCATCCGTAGCAAACATTTTGATCGCTATGTTTTCTTTATACATTATTTTAGGGTTCTATTTTACTGTATGACTTGAATTTAAATAGCAATAAATCTATATATTTTCCAGTAAAAAAATTTTTAAATTTTAACACAAACACAAGAAATGTTTTAATATTGTTAAACTCGAGAGTCCGATAGGATTTGACTGAAATCATGTCGATCAACAGCACCTTGTTCCTCATAATATTTACTGTGAAATTGCTGAAGAAAATCATATAAATTTGTCGTTTTAGCCACCTTGGTGGTTTTTCATTAAATTTGCAAGAAGAACACGCTCACGCATTTAATATTTTCCCTTGAATGAAAAATATGTTGGCTTTCTGTTGCCTATAAACGCCCACAGTGGGAGATATGTGGGTGAACAGAGGTGGGCGATCAGAGGGTGGATAAAGTGGGTAGAAAAAATACCAGCAATCGACTATGGATTTATTCATGTAGTACACTTGACGCCATCTGTGAACTGAGAGCGAAAACCGATTCGAATAAAGCTTTGGGACATTTGTATATTTGTTGTCACAATTCGAAAATCCCGGTTGAAATTATTCCTTCAACTCTTTATGTTTTTAATTTTGGTGTGGTAAGGACAAATAATTGGGAAACAAGAAAAAAATGACTAAAAACAAATTTCATTAAATTTCTTATTAACAAGATTTTATTTTCGGAATAAATAAATTATTAACAAAACGTGCAATTTATCATTATTTCATTCAAATTTTTACTACATTTTCCTCGTTATTCTTTTTGAGGTGTTTGCTTGCCAATAAGAAATAAAAATATTTTAAGTCATTCACTTTATCATTTTCGTGTTTTTTTTTCTATGCACTTCAAACTCAAATAAAATTTTCTTCACATTGTATGTAATTCATTAATTCATTTAAATGCATTCAATAGCGCCATGAACAAAAGATGTTTGTTTATCTATCTATCAATTAATAAACGGTGATGAAACTTTTACCCCTTATGAACTATATCATTGTTCTTTTGGTGTGGCTCTTTATGTATCAATCTCACCTAGAAAAGTTGTGATTGTTTCTATGTGAAACCATGATTTAATATTCCTTGCGATTTTATTCCACTTTAGGCAGTTTCTATTATATACACAGCATGTCAGTTGTAATATCCTTATAGAATTTATTTACAAATATTTCAAGAATTGTCTATTCCGATAGCCTACATTTTATTTCGCTCCAAGTTTCATCACCTATTGAAAGGAATCTTGAATTTGTCTAATGTGTATTCAATTTATTCGCTAATTATTTAGTTTGATCGTTAGAAATAGAGGTAATAATTACTTTTTTTTTAAATTTTGGTATTGCATTCCAGTGTGGTCATTCATTTTGTCTCCTCAAATTTTATACTCCAATTTTTTCTATGTACAGTACATATACATTTTGCATTGGCCTTAATATTTTTCATATTTTTGTATTTTATTTACAATGGATTCTAAAGCAAAATTTCTCATGTAATGCAGCTATTTGATTACTTCTTTGCAAAATACTAGTGAATTAATTAATCAGATAAATTTATTATGAAGCTGGGAGAATTCATGAATGGAAAAGTGTTTGCATTTAAAATGTTATCACAGATAATTAATTAACGAGGAGAATAAAATGAGGATATTGAAAAATACTCAAATATTGTTCATGGGAAATTCCAATATTTTTTCACATTCATTCATCGACTTATTTATAATTGAATTTTATATATCTCCCCCATCTTCAGACGATGTATAAATTGAAAAAGCTCTAAAAAGTGTGTAGCACAGCTTCCAGATAGTATCTTTATTGATTTATATTTTTCAATCATAAATTATTCATCTAATCATAATCTACATGTAGAATTCTAAGTATCATTTAAAAACTATTCTTACTTGTTTGTTTTCTGGCGGTCCTATGAATTTACTACCTAATCACGTATTATCCTGCACATTTTGAAGATCACGAAATCGACAAAAAAAACAGGATTGCGCGTCACTAAAATATACAATATTCAGTTATTTATATTAATTCTCAGTGCAAATTGGCCGACAATAAGGCGATTATCTAGTATTTATTTAAACTCTTATTGATACTCTCTGGATAAAAAGGAATTGCTTTCAGTTGAAAGTTAAGCATCTCATACCACGTCTCATGCCTATATTGATGTGTCTCTTTTAGAATATTCTCTGCACTTGCAATGTTATTATGCTAAATCTCATCGAAATACATACTCTATTAATGATTTCTTCAACTAATTATAAGAGTAGGCTAGAGGCCAACTGTTGGCGATAATCTCTTGCAACTTTTGTTCTCATGCAGCGTTATGTAGTACCTGACGGGATATCCCACATTATAGTTTAATAATATTCGTCAGTTTATTCACACGTGTTAGTTTTTAAAATGGCAGGCTATTAATATCTTTATACTCTTTTTACACAAAGATGCGAAAATCACTTGATAGCGGAGTACTTTGTGAGATGATTTTCGTTCTCAAACGATTTAAAGAAGCAGATATATACAAATGCTTTCACCTGGATTGTACTTAAGTGTAAATAAGAGATTGTTATCAGGAAAAATTAAGTGATATGGAATATTCTGTTAATTTTCTGCTCATTGTTTTAAGTAGTTTAGGGTGACCAATACTGCTGAAAAATGTGCTTCATTTGATTTCTTATAAGACATACAGTTTTCAGGCATTAATTGTCGTCAGAGCTTATAAATTTTGATTTGAACATTGTATGATCTGGTATAGCAATTCCTAAAATTTAATAAATTCTTAAAAATTTTTACTTCTTTTGTTGAAATATACTTCGTTTTTTCCCTCACTACACGAAAAAGATATACAAGTTCACTTCCATAATTCTAATCATATGTCTTCATATCGTATGTATCAAAAGAGGTATTTTGAAGAGACTAAATTGCGTTACATATGCATATAAAGAATTATGAAAACTCGCAAGTGCTAACAAGCTGACATATTTCAGAAAACACACTTAAACGTCTAAGAAGGGAAGCTCCCCTTCGCAGAGAGTATGTTTTTCCGAAAAACATTCAAAGATAATTTTTGACGAAATTTTTATATGAGACAAAGAAAGATTTCATTAATAATAAATTTTAAAGAGTAATAAATAGTTAAACGTTTGATGAATGGATTAATCCACGAATAAGCGTGATTTGTGTGAAGCAAAAATATCGGAAACCTAAAGCCGGTGAGTGTATATATTTTCACAATTATTCTCTTCAGTTTACCTCTAAACCTAAAATTGAATTGAAAAAGTCTGTACATCCAATAATTTAGCACAAAGCACACTTTTATCCAGAGCATTTGCCCATCCTAATCTACTCTACATTTTCTTTCTTTTGAGCCCCTCCCCTGTATTGAGTCCCCTTTTTTGGGAATCTCTTGGTAGCCTTAGAGCAAAAATTGGTCACATGCGATTCCCTAATGTATCTTAAAGGTGTATTGCCCAGAGTTGCTCAATTGCGAGCGAAAGGGAGGCCCGGCTGAAGGAGTGTGTGCGTCTGGGGCGCCATCCATGACCTTAGTGCTCAGCGCCACTATTGTCAGTCTGATGGCGCGCCAAAATCCTGGGCTAGAGGAACTCCCGTTTGCGGGCGGTGGGCGCCGTGGGTGGGTCCGTATCCAGCAGTCGCGCCTGTTCGGGGCTCTGTTTGGGGGGCGCTGGGGCCTTCCTGCTCTTGGAGCGACGCTTTCGGAGCAGGATCGGACCCAGGCCGTTGCCCCCCGAACCAGCTCCGCTCGTGGCAGGGTTCACGACTGTGGCCGAGGCACCACCACTCGTACTGGGTGGCGGCACGACGCTTGTTGTGATTGTCCCCATGGAGATTGTCGTAGGAACCACCGGTATGGGCCCAGCCTCCTCGGCAACCGGAGAGCTGCCGCCCGATGTAGTGGGCTCCAGCGAAAGACGCTTCACCAACTCTGCCAATAAGTCTTCGATTTTGCCAATACGTTGGGACATCCTCTGCATCTCCAGCCTTACATCAACTTTCATGTCCAGCACTGTGGCGATTAAGTCACGCTGAGCCAACGTCGGTGGCTGCTCCCGTAGCCCCGTGTCATACGTGTCAGACGTTGTGGCACGGGAGCAGGCCATTTCAATCTGGCGCTCTCGTTCCAGAGACAAGTTTCTCTCTAAACGCTCCCGTTCCTTCTGCGCCATGAGTGCCGGGTCGAGGAGTCTGTCGCGTTCAGTGGGCTGTCTCTCCAGAGACGTCCGCTGTTCCCGCTCCACATGTAAGGGCGGTCGATCCCTCGGCGGTGAAGGGTCCACCTCGCCGCCCTCGTCAATTGTATCTTGACGAGCGAGCGACGCCGGACCCGGCGACAATTTTGGTGTCTTAGGAAATACCTGAAATGATAGCAAAATAAGGCGCATCTCTTTATATGCTTTATATATATCCCTCTGAGGACTTATAAATATGCTAAGCTTCTCCGTCTCACAATGGGATTCCAAGAATTACCGCCTCGACCGAAAATAGGATATGCTCTGTTTAGACTCATTCCATCTCCTCAAGATTTCAACCCAAACAGATTTTCCACGTTCAAAATAAAACAGCGTTCTTCTACAGAAAAAACCCTCACTCCAGATCTAAAGCTTCAAGCGGCTTTGAATTAAATTTCTTTTCTAAGATATTGAGCGGCATTCTCAATACCTCAGTCAAGAATTCAACTGTCGTTTATGAAAAGTTCAAAGATTTCTATCCAGAAGCAATGGGAATTAATTATAATCTCACCGAAAGAACAAAAGTTATATTACCTATCTCGACGGATTTATAAAGAGAAGTTGGAGAAGATTAATCTCCTGCTTCTTAAAATAAAATTGAATTTTCAAGCAAATCTGAAAAAGGAGTGTTCAAAGCTAAATGATGTATCAAATAAAATGCTCGGACTTGAAGATTAAATTTTCTAATACTCAATTTTGTTAATCCTCAGACCCCATATATTTTACGAATCAATTGCCTGAAGAATTAAACCTCGAGATTCTGGATTACCTTATTTCCTTGGCCGCCGTTGCTGCTGGACGTACTGCTCTGCCTTCCTTGTGCACTTTCTCGGAGACTCTCCCTGGCACTGAGACTCCTCGAGACGGCTACTTTAGTGCTCGTGTCGCTAGCGGAGTCCACGCTGGAGCTGCCCAAGAGACGTCCCCATTTGCTGGCACGAGTACCACGTGCCGACGGTGGACCCGATGATGGTGAGGGTGAAGGTGAAGGCGAAGGTACAGCCCCCAAAACGCGACTGTCCTCCGTCAGAGTCAACTTGGCGGGAAGCTGTGACGGAAGGAGTCTTGAGAATGCTTCAAACTTTTCTGTGGGTGGTTGAGGAGGAGTCACCTTTCCTCGGTCTGGCTCCGCGTCACCCTTCTCGGCGTCACTCTGGGTCGCATTTCCGTCCTTTGACCCAGATGTGGGCTGTGGCGTACGCCTAAACTTTGAGAAAATCTTCCGCACTAAGTGATCCTGACTCGTGGCTAGTTGGGGTTCATTCTTACGTCTCTCCGCCAGTTCCTTCTCCCTCTTCACATCCGCGACTTTTCTGTAGTTGGTTGAAAAAGCGTAATTCTAGCCTTTCTTAACATTAAAGTAAATAGAATCTCAACGCAGGATCTTACCTAAATATAAGGCGATGTCTTAAGTTGTAAGTTAAAACTAAATTTCTGGCGAAGCTATTTGCAAAGGCTTGATAAAAGTCCAGCACTTCCAACAATTTATCCCGCTTTATTGCGTGCAGATCACAATAGGTGAGAGCACGCACATTGGCGGCACTTTGGCCCACGGCCGAGTCTTTCCAGAATTGATCACCGAAGACGTCACCCTTACCCAGTATCGCTACAACTTCATCATCCTGAATTACCTCCAGACTTCCCGTCACAATGAAGCACAGGCTGTCTATGCTCTCGCCCGTGTGGTAGAGTAGATCTCCTGCAAAATTGATGAGAATTATTGCTAGCACGTGGAGAAATTCCCTCCACAGTCAATCAATCAAGTGCTTCGGAAAAATTTTTATGAACTCTGGGTGCAAACTGAGAATGGTTGATGAGAATTTCACAGAGAGGGTGAGAATCGACGAAGAAAATTAATTTTGACGCCACAATTGGTCAGTTTGTATTTAAAGAGGTTAAAGACAACATCATAGAAAGACCAGAAACCGCCACAAAAAGGATGAGAAGGTCATTGAGTGAGGGATGCAGAGTAAATATTATTAGAGTTTCTTATCAAAACTTTCCATTCTATAGTTCTTCTATATGGCACTGTTATTTGTGTATCAGAAAATATAGTGAAATGTGTGCAATGTGGAGAATAGTGATGATAAAAGTCTCATCCTAATTTTTGCTACCACTCATTACATAGTGCACTCACTGTTAAGACTCATTTTCCTCCCTACTTATTTTCGTATCGATTTTCTAAGAGAAAATTCCCAACTCTCATCACAGCATTGAAGGTGTACAGCAGTGCAAGAGAGCAAAGAATTCTTCAGGTTCTTAAGATCCCTGTCTCTTTTCATTCTCGTTCAAATAAACTTACATACATTAAATATTTCATGGCTTTATATTTACTATATATGTATATAAATATATGTATATATACATACTTTTATGTGTTTGTGTGGATGTGTAGTGTATATAAACTGTGCATGTATGTATGATTATAAAGAATACAAAGAAGATACTGTCTTTTTATCCAGAGTGGCTCATAGCACAGAAGTGGTGTACATATTAAACGTTTACAATTCAACCTCCATCAAATGCAATTATCGATTTTGCCACCGTGTCGAGTTAATTGAACCCCTTTCGACGCTGTATTGCAAATTGTCATTCACTTACAATTTAATCATGGAGGAAATTGCATAGAATGTCTGGTTTTTGAATTGCTCAGTACCTGATGAATAGTAAGGATATGACATATTTGAGAAAATCTACCAAAGCAGAATCCATCCACAAAGTATTGATTCACTAAGTAAAACTTCAAAATGCCATATATATATATATATATATATATATATATATATATATATATATGTATGTACATACATGTGTATGTTCTTAATTGCAATGCAATATTCACTAGAAGTTTAATTAAATTTGCAATTGGAAATTATTTATGGCGAGATTTCGCATTATGAATTAAATACATTTCACGTGAACAGCAATTAGAAACTCATCTAACGAACATGAAAGAGGAAACTGCACTGAAATACCTTGTGAAATGCAATATTACATATTTAAATTTAATAATCTACAATTTTTTCAAAAAAAAAAATAGTACCGAAACCCACAACATGTTAAAGGATTATTTAGAATTTTTATCTAATAATAATTCTTGAATAATTTCCTTAAAATTATGTTTTTCATTGATCACTTTTTCGCAATGACATTTGCATACATAATTATATTTTGTTGAAAATAAATTATCAATTCATGAGCCTTTCAATTAGCCGATTTTACTAGAAAATGAGTTAATATGGAGTGCTTTTAATCGTGCAAAAATCGATTATTTTGCAATGTTAAGTTACACCTATCACCGTAAGCTTTGAAATAAACCATAATTTCATCAGCTTGAATCTTGACAGAAATCCCTCAGGATGCGATGCTCTTGAGTTTCCCAGTTCAACTAGGAAACTGCAATCAAAAGTTGGAGGCATAAAGAATCAAAGTAATAAAGTTGCAGACGGAAGGTGAATATGTGGTGATGCTGAGGAATTTTCATTTGGACTGGTTAAGGTGGGGTTTGATGTAGTATATGACTTACCCGGTGCCGAGTGGGACATCATGAAATGCATTGCGAGTGCACGAAGACAGCCGTCCGAGGCGAGCCGAAACGCTGGATGCTCATTGAAGACCTTCCTATTGAGGTGCACACAGATGTCGGCCTTCATGTCTTTGGGGCAGTAGTTGAGGACCTGCGTGTCAATCTATATGAAGAAAGCTCGAATTGCCGGCTGCTCCCATAAGATGGGGCAGCACATCCGACTTACCTTCTCCGTATCGAGACCCTTCGTCATGGCCCACGTAGAGACCACGTAATCCATGACACGCTCACTCAGCGCCTTGGGGACTTCATGGAGCTTCATGAACTCCCTTACGTTGTTCAACATGTCATGATACTTGGCCGTGGCGGATGTCATTTGCTGAATGATGGTGGTAACATGACCAAAGATTGTCGCGTAGAGCAGAGCTGTTTTGGTTATTGCGGCGTGAAGAAGCAACGCAAGACAAGGAGAGAAAAGATATGGGGAAAAAGAAGGGATGCCAGATAGAGGATAACAATCCTCAGATTAATCTTGCTGATCTTATCGAAAACTCAGTAATTCTGAGGCGCACGAAAGTGAGCATATAAAGTGACTATTATAGCATGTGAGAAGCAAGAAGGGACGTGATGAGGATCGTCTCTGTCCTCACCGCTTTATTGTACGATAAAAGGAAAGGAGTAAAAGAATACAAAAGTAAAATGATCAAATAGCCGAGTGCCAATTACAATGGGCCAGTACCCGAGCTATACAAGAATTCAATGCTATCTTGTTCTGGGGTGAACGCCAAAATCCCCTTTTTCTTCAATGTGATGCTCTTCTTGCGGAAAACTTTCGCCCTGAATACAAGCCGTACTCAACACGAGGAGGGATTTTGAAGTTCACCGACCTTGTAATTACTTTTAGAAGCACATGTAAATCTCAGTATATGTAATCCCACTCATTCCTCAGCAACACCACTTAATTGAGATTCAACAGAGTGGAAGTCATTCCCTGAAATAAACATGCCCTTCTTGTATGTATGTATATAAACACTCATCAAATGATGACAATTGAGAACAATCATCATTGAAGTATGACTGTGAGGATTTTGTGGTTAAAATGTACTACATAGTGAAAGGTCCGAGAGGAGTGGTGGATGACTTTTTTTCTCTCATCTCTTTACCAAGAAGCAAAGATTGTGATGTGACAAAAATTAATGACTTATGAAGAATCAGACTTAAAAATTTTCTTCTGAGACAAGACCACCACAGCGAGTGCTGTAAGCAACTGTGGGGTGCTTCACCTCGAGAATGAAAATTATAATAGCTTGTTATGAAGATATGTATAAATATATAGAATTCAAAAAATCGTTTGAATAGAAAAATTAAGGTTGACTAAACAATGAAAGGTGTTTTTCATAAAAAGGTCACAATCCATCGATTAGAGAAGAAACAAGGTTCACTGAACATCTTAAGTTGTATATTGAGACAAAAAAAATGTATCAATATCAAAAAGATGCCAACGAAGCAAAAACACCCACAAGGAGAACCATTAAATGTGAATTATTCAAATTATTGCTAAATGAATATTTAAGTTGAATATAATTGTATGAAATTGTCATCCACCGTGAAGAAATCTTAGAAACGAGAAAAATATTAGGAAAAAATTGTAGGGAATATAGTAATTTCCAGGCAGAGTGAATTCTCTTCTGCACAAGTGATTCAATAAAGTGTGAGAGAAGCTTTAATATTAATGTATAGAAAGAAAGCCATAAAATACTGGTGATAAAATTGAAACATTCTAACCAAAATATCACTCAAAGTATCTTCTTCTACAAGAAAATAGCAGAACAAATAGCAAAAATTCTTTATAGCTGATAGTACAGAATTTACCACCCCTTTTTCTCTTTTGTATAGCATTATATTGTGACAGAGTGAAGAAAATGTGAAAAGTGTGATATTCTCTTGATGTTTTAGCTCAAAGTGTTTTTAGAGGCAAAACTATGCAGTGTTGAATTAAATTAAATTATTGTACAATGTGACCATCTCTCCACTTTCACGATAAAATGTGAAATGGTGAGTAAAAAAGTGTGAATGATCTGATTTTGCGAATGAAGGCACCATCAACTGGCTACGGCATTTGTATTAATTGTAATTAGACGAGGCAACGGAACGTAGAACACCGCACCTGCAATTATCATCATGCAGATGGTGAACACCTTCTCGTTGTCCGTCTCGGCAGCGACATTTCCGAAACCCACCTACAAGAAGTGGAAGGAACAAAAATTCCATCTTAGCTAGCATATTTTCTCTCCTAATTACACAAACTACACAACTAAAAAGAGAAATTGTACTTCATCTTTCCTGAGACACTCCTTCTGGCCGGCAGTGCCTTTTATGCAAATGAATCAAAAATGTAAACATCATTACATATAAAGACATGCATAGAATTGATATTTTAGGAACGTGTTAACTTTAGGAAAAGTTAAGTGTATGTAGATAAAAAAAAATATGAATGAACAAATGTTGAGATAGAGGAATTCATATAAAAACATCTGAATTGGTTTACCTTATTATTCTTAGCTGTTTTCATAGATTCATCTTATTAAAAATATTTCATTAGTTAATTTTATAATTATCTTTACACAAGATTCTTCTGACTCGAATAGCACTGACCAGTGAGAGCGTCTCAGATGGTATTCGGCATAAGAGCTTTTCACACAAAACTTCTACATCAAAAAGCTCTCTCTTCCGACAATTTCAACCCACGTCGATGATATTTCTCCCTTTTAAAGCGTGTAATCCGTCGTAGGAACGGAACTTACTAAAGAAAATATTGGGCTTGGTAAATTGAATGAGTGTTGGTTAGAAAAATAGCACAGGAAGAAGGACCCCCGTGTCCATGCCATGTTATTAATTCACCGTGATTGGACGGATTCCCAGGGGAGCTTTCAGAGCAGGAGCTGTTATTATTCAATCCTCACCAGAGGGACTTCCCTAATTGGTGGATAATCGTGCAAGATATCACTCACCGAGGTCATGCATGTCATTGTGAAGTAGAGAGCTGTGACATACATGGTCTTCCGCGATGGTCCATTGATGAGTTCCGGGGCATTCGTCTCGTTGGACCAGACATACGAATAAGGGCTCTGGGTGACATTTGCCAACTTCCACAGCCAGCTGAACTGAATCTGTTGTAATGGGTGGCAAAGAGACAGAAAAGAGTGAACTTTAAGAAGGGAATTACGCAGGGCTTGATTTGTTGAGGCTGGCCGAGAAAAATCGCTCCGGATGGGAGAGTAAAGTGTAGGGGGAATCTATCTGGCGACAAGAGTTTCAACTCACTCCATTGTCTGCATCACTCCGACCGATGGAATACCAAATGCAGGCGAGCCAGTGGGCTACCAGCATATAGAAACAGAGCAATAGAATAAGCATCGCTGCTCCGTACTCGAGATATCTATCCAATTTCCGTACCACCCGTCCCAGTCGCAACAATCGCACGACTTTGAGAGCGCTGAACAGGGAGCCGATACCCTAGGAGTGGGGATGAAACAATGGTTGGAGATTATTTTTGCCACTGCGAAGGGGGTGGAAATCAATAGGGCCAAAGTACGTGAGAATTATTTCATGAGATGAATCTCTAAATATTTTACAACTTCTTCATCATAAAACACCCACCCTTGAATCTACGTCACATCCAACTCTCGACAGTATCACATACGGTTTACGCAACACAAAAGAGAGGTAACTCATAACACTGTAGAATGTACTCACACATTTTTAAATGTATCTAAAAAAATTGTTGTTTGTGTTTTTTATAGTGGAAAAAGTGTTTTTACTTTGTTCTTCTGGAAGAAAAACATCTTGAGAATGAAAAGCAGTAGTCAAACCTTTTTGCTACCCAAAGTCCATAGAATGATAACCCCTTTCGGAAGTATATGTAGCTACATGCTAGGAATTTATTTTAATAATTTTAATGTCATGACCCGGTTTGTAAATTAATTCAGAGATTTGTATGTCCCAGAACAGCTACTAATTTAGTAATACAAGTGTAAAAGGTTTTACGAAAACGTGATATGGTTGATCTTTACCTGACTTTAATTGCGTTTTTAAACATCATTTGCTTGTAAGCGTGATTCATCTCAAATCATATAATATAATCAAATTGAGAGCAGTAAATGAATCATCAAATTTTCTACTGATTAGAACCTCAATATTAGGTTTACAAAAGATGACGAAATTCATGGAACATTTTCAAAGAGATGTGCAATATCTGAGCAAATAAGGGGTGAATTTCCATAATACGATGTGACTTTTCTCTTGTAATTCCAATGAATTTTTCATCCCACTGAAAATCTTGAATCATAAGCGATTTTCTTGCAATAAAGTATGAATGTCACTCGTGTTATTTTTACCATAAGCAATTTTGCTGTGGAACAGGTTGGAATACTTACATCATCATCATGATCAAATGCATTGAAGACATCGTAAGGCAAACAACTGAGCAAATCGATGATGAACCACGACTTCAAGTAGTTCATACGTATCACTTTGGGGTCGCTCACAACCTCACCGCCGGGCCCCACGAACGTAGTGTGAAAATTTAATACTGTAATCAAAGTTTTCCTCATCATTTAACCAACCGACTATGCACATTTGTATTGAGATATGGCATGGGAAAATCAATAGACGGGCGTCTCCAGCCTAAACTGAAGTGTCTTGAGCATCCCACAGATATGTATCACGAACACTTGACGTGTAGGCCAAAAGACCTCATCCCTTTTTGTACGGAGTGTGGATGGCAAATTTATCACTATCCAAAGCGCCTCTCCATACACTAATCCTAATACTAATGGGGTAGAAAAAGTGTTTGATGGATTTAAAAAAAGAAATCAGGAAATATTGCAAGACGCACTGTAAATATAGATATTTTATATGCTTATGTACGCTTTAAAAACTTTCCCAATTTAAATCAAGTCTCTACCAATGACATGGTACCTCAATGGAGATGATTTTCTTCGTTAATAAGGTCGACTCAAAGCCTTAATATAATGTGTTCCCAAGAATGAGTGTAACTCGAGACCAAAATCCACTGAACACAGCCTAAGAAAATAAACATTTCATAAATTATAATGCAAAATTTGTCTTTCCTTTTTTTTTCAACACATCCCATTCCATCTTTAAACCTACCCCGAGAATATACCTTTTTTATTTCAGCCATGAGATATAACGGAATTATATATATTTCATTAATTCAATGAAATTATTTGATATATCTTCTTTTATAACTTCTTTCTCATGTCGAATTTATCATTTTCTTTCTTTCTGCTGTGGGTTTACCTTTCTAAATTCACGTGATTTCCTTCATTAAATCTCTTTTCTTAACAGTGCCATAAAAATACACCATTACATTTTATGAACGGAGAAAGATGAGAAGACGCTGTTAAATCTGAATTCCACATAAGAATTTCATATTAGCTTCTGCTTTTTGATTCTCTGATTTTTACGTAATCAAATTAATATATAATTGAAATTAGAACTTCTACATTGTGTTAATACTCACCAATATCTATGAAAAATATAACATCTACGATAGAGTCAACCACTAAAAGTGACACATCCTCTGAGGTTTTATTCTTGAAGGCTACGTTGTATGGTACCTGAAATAACAAAAATTACTCAATTAGCAGGTGATATATCATCGTCAATTATTCCTTAACTTCCTGCTTCCAAGAATCTCCTGAAAATGTGTCTCTTACATGTGTCAAATGAATAAATAATTGTAGTAGGATAATAATTAAATTCAGTCTTACAGAATGAAGAAGAGGTCGAAGATTGAATGTTAAGGAATTCTTTGAGGCAGTGCAATACCAAAAGTATGTACTTCAACGTTTTAAATGTATCACTCAGTAAAGAAAAACATATCCAAATAATATTCTTTTGTGTAAGTCTGCTTTTCTTTATAACCCTATTATCGTCTATTCCTATTCTATATTGTGATTTTAATTCAAAGCATTTTCATATATAGCATAATAACAAAATTGGATGACCAACTCACCATAATCGCAGTATAAAAAGTTAAACATAGTATCACCCAATCCCAAATTGCTTTAAATGCACAATAATGTAGGAGAATGTGTGGAGGTGTTTTAGGAGCTTCCTGTCGATACTGTGGCATCACATCTGCACTCAATGACATCATCTGCAAGATACAGACATTTTATAAAAATCTATTCATATACACATATCACTACCATGTCAACAAAAAAAATTACATGAGCCAAATGTGATTGCTTCGTGGGGTCCTTGAGGGTTGGAAGATGTGCAGTGAATTGGCGACTCCGCGTGACGGAGCGTGCCAGTTTGGCGAACTTGGAGAGACCACCCTTGGTATCTTCGCTGTCGATGGGCTGCTTCAGTGCTGTGATATCGCGAAATGTGAGCAAAAATAGCACCACGAGATCTCTCTCGTTCCTTATTGGAGCAATCTGGAGCAGCAACCATAATGGTGTCTCTGCAAAAGAAAGATCGCACACGATATTTCACTTAAAATATTGTATTTTATTCTCTTTTCCTCTTGCGTTATTGATATTGATAAAATGGTACCCCTAAATAAATATTAGTTAAATTATGTTTGTAATTCTTCTTCTATATGAATTTAACAGGAAACGCTTCAGTACCAAAAACAGCTTCCAGGCAGATACAAACGAATGCGTCCCCAATGATGTGCTATGCTTTACAACTATCCCATCCAATTTCCCCTATAAAATGTATATGTTACCAAGCATCTGCGTAGGAATATTCGCAACAACTTGTGTTGCAAATTACTGAATCTGCCAGGCTATGGATTATGGAGAGCATTGCACAACATGATTCTCTGATCATAACAAATTGATATTGTCTCTAAGATGTTCCATACATACTTCTTGAGGATGTAAGATAATTCCGTATCTTTATCGTTCGTGTTTTTCTAAATTAAAATTATAGTGATAAACTGGATTTCAATAATAGACTTTTAGTAAAAATGGATTTTAAAGTTGATCAAAAGATAATAAATTAATTTGTTCTTTCTTTATTCAATCTAACAGATCTAAAAAATATGGCATTTAATCACAATGTTTGCAATTTTCTTAATAGAATATTAACATGAATTCCCGAAATGTTATCTGTCTTCATGTCTATATGAATTTCCCTACTTCCCCAGTTGATATGTATGTATAGAATAGTCAATGGAACTGTTTGAAAACCTTACTTATACATGCAGAAACACACTGTTGCTACTGAATAATGCTTTACTACCTGGGTGTTGACGGAAGGACGATTATTGGCTCGAACGAACTTGACCCATATACCCAAAATATAATCTCAGAAGTATGTTCAAAATATTTTAAATAATTTCATCCAATTGTTGGTGAACTATTGAAAAAGTGAACCTTCTCGAACAACTATTCTTATCTCCATTATGCATATACTTTAATGCCATTGATATTCAAGGTCTCGGCTTAGATACATATGAACATACAAATGTTCATATGTTTCATGGGAGGAGAAAGTGTTCTTATGATCACGCGTCATGCTTTAGTGATACAATAACTATAGAAAAATTGATGTTGAAAAACCCACCAGTAACTGACAAGTACACCATACGACTCCTGACTGAACAGTCACGGTAAAATCGCAGTGATAAACTAATTTGACTGACAGGCGGTGGATTTCTTCATGCGAAGTTCACGACTTACTTTTTATGCTTCAAACACCTCCTCTCCATATTGAATTGACTAGCAAATCAATATTTAATAAACCATCGAGCACCACTTTAGAAGCAATCTTCTCAAATAAACTTTCACTTTTTTGGGGTTCCATGAAGCCAGAAAACTCCGTCTATTTTCACAAGCCCGAACCTTTTAACTTTCCCTTACTTCCATTTCACCGTCTAAATTCAGGGTAGCTATAGTCTCGATGAAAAAGAAAATTTTATCTCAACAGGGTGCTTTTGTTGGAGGAAAGGGTATATCAGACGGAGAGAAAACTTATTATTTCCTTTCTTCAATTTGAGAGAAATCTTTATGAAAAATTCAACTCCTAATGCATCTCGTGTTCAATATCTCTGCCTTTCTCTTACACTCAGAGGAAAACACACATTTTCTACCTTCCGTTTGCAATAATCAAGCGCCGTCATGTGAAAAGTTCTGGTTGAAGTGAAGAAATTCAAGGATTTTCATTTGAGTCATTAAATGATACAACGATGAATTGAAAATGTTGAAGAAGAAGATTAAAGATAATCATTTCTCAACATATATATTATTTGAGTTTAAACTAGCCATATATGAGAAGGGGAAACGAAGTGAACTAACAAATAAATTAAATCTGCTATTGCAATGAAAAGTTTATATGAAAAGTTTTTAAAGGGAAACTGGATAAAAGAGTTTCAAGCAACAAACGCATTTTGAGCTGTAATTGAATATAAAATGAGCAAATACAAAAGAAAGGCTTTAAATTCAACAAACTACGAAACAATTTTAATACTCGTTTCAGCATATGGTATTGACAGCGATGAAAAATCAAACTACCTATTTGAAAATGAGCTATCTAAAATATAGGTATTGATAAATTCTTCTCGTTAACAACTGCGATTCATTTGTATTATATACAAAAGTCTTAAACTGCTTTGATGAGTGGGAAGTTAATAAAGATATGTATGATGGAAATTTCGTGAAACAGGCACATTCTTGGAACATGAATTCACTAATAGAAGAGCAAGAATGTCTAAAGAATTTAACAGCCTTTTATAACATTTGTTGTGTACTTACTATTAACCGTGGTTTTTGATGTTGGATGTTTGGTGCTTGAAACTGTGTAACATAAATATGGATTAATTACAAACTTTTTGCAAAGTTAGTCTGTTGCGAAGGTCACAACTCTCTGACCCTTTAAATAATCTCTATGATTATATTGCAGGAAAGGAAAATGTATTTTATATTCCGTCATGATACTTGTGAGATAGAACATATTAAAATTGAATTTGTTCCGTTCTGATTGTGTCACTTTCTCTCTCTCTTTCTCTCTCTCAATAGGTAATGTAATTCGATGTGAAATGAATTAACGTAATTTGTGGGAAAGTTTGCTGTTGATTGGAATCTCCATGCATAATTGATACCTGGAAGTGATTTATTCAATTGTTAGCAATTCCTCAGAGAAATGTGGGCAGAGTTTTCTCGTTCCTTTATTAAAAATGCTTTTGTAGTTTTATTCATGTGTAAGTTTTCGGTTTTCTAAAAATTTTACACTTTCCCGTGAGATGATGTTTCTGGAGGACTGAGCAATGAATCTGAATAAATGAATGAATCTGAATATGAATTGATCCGTTTTTTATACATCTATAGTATCTTTAAAAAACACTGTAAAACAATTTTGTATCAAAAATTAAAACATAAAAAGAGAAATTAATAGACTTAAATCACAATGATAGAATTCTGGTAAGCACACCATCTAGTGTGGATTTTGAATTATGTAAGTGTTGACCTAGTTTAGTATAATAATGTTTTATTGAGAATTTTGCATCTCAATAAAGATAAATTAGAGCTGAGTTAGAAGACTTATTTGCTACAGTACATGATATACATATATTAGGTGCGCTTTTCAGGGGAGTAGATATAGTGGAAAAATCTAGTCATATAACACTTTGAAGATTTATTTTTTGCACTTAAGACTATTAAGACACAATTAACGACACAAAAAAGGACGTGATAAGCAAACGCCATATTATTAATAGAGCGAGCTTCGTCTAGCTCTAATAATATACGCCGCAGTAGTCACTGTTAATTATTCCTGGGCAAGGTAGCAAAATTCAAAATGAACCAAATGTGAGATTATAGTGATACTTCCCGAAGGAGGTCACATGCGAATTTGCAATGCATTGAAACTATATATTCGTACAAACGTTCGTGAAGATTTCCCTCTGCAGAGATAGGATTGAGAATTAAAAATTGTGCAATCGTTATCGTGTAAAATTGCAAACTCATGTTGCGGAAATTGAGTTTTTTTCAGGGGTGCATGCATGTATATGTATAACTAAAGGAAGGGCACTCCGTAGTGTTTGGGAAAGCGGTCTAACACTGGGTGTACGGGTTTATTTGGTGTCAATGTGCAAAATTTAATGAATTTGGAATGAAGAGGTGGTTCATTCGATAGTGGCTTTATTAGCCAGGAAATATTTAAATTCCCATTTTCATTCATGCCTTCCTTCGTCTATCTTCCAACACTCATTTTCGCTTTGAGGAAATTGGGTTAGAGGTGAAGTTCGTTATTGCGAGTGACTCGTAACTCATGACCTTTACATATTTTTGCGTTGTCCAAAGAGAGGAAAAAGGGTGGAAGAGCCGTAATAAATTGCTTAGTGGGTGATACTGACTACTGCAAAGGGTAGAAGTGAGTCACGACCATTTAATGACTTCCATTAGTCTGCTTAACATTCAAAATAGAAATTCAGGTAATTTTTCTGAACACTCCCGAATTCGAGCGATTTATCTCAAATAAAGATTTATAAGCATATATAGTCTCATCTTGTGAATATTTAACTAATTACACATAACATGTGTACAAAGCTTTGTTAAGTAGGTACATGAATGTAGCTATGTATACAAACATGTATATGGTACATACATATGTATTAGTTCGCTAATGAGTTCCATGCTGACCAAATTATTTTATATTGGGGACTGTGTGCCCGAATTTGTACTGGTTAGAAAACTCCTGGTTATTAGAAGTGCTAATTTAAATGTATTCCAACTTGATGCCGCGTCACTCCATTAATATAAATTTCGGGTAATCTGAGGTATGAGATATCCACAAATTGGCCTCCTTTGTAGCCACAAGCGATCCACATAAGGAGAGCAAATTCAGCTCAGAACATGAATAGACTAGTCTTTAATATATTATCATCACTTCAGTGTTACACATAATTTAACATTTTGCTATAAATTTTGAGAAAATTACTTGGAAAACGCACAATTCTTGACACTATTTCGTCAATTTTCTCTTATTGGATTTCCTCATTCAATAAATTGATGCTCCTTAAGATCTCACTTCATTATATATGTTCGCAATTCCGAGAACAAGTCCAAAAATCTATAACGAAATTTTTACATAATATCGCAATCTCATAGAGAAAAGGAAGCATTTTTCAGCCCTGTTACATGGAATGACAATTTTTACATAATTTATGTATATTTATATAAGTATACAAAGGGTAACTGTATTGAAGTAGTGTCGAACCCATCATAAATATTTGTACGTTATTATAACAAAAGTAGCAAAATATCCCTGGAGCTGTTGTGCTTAAAGAAAAGAGATTCCATACCAACATGAACGGGGGAATTTGTATCAAAAGGGAAAATGAAAATGGGCGGTAAGGGATGCTCGTGAATCCAATATACACGAACACATAGATGAATTTACTCTATCTCATTGTGTCGTGTTTCACTCTTTGTGCACATAAATGAGCAACGGTTATTATGTTCAATTTTTGCGTGTGATATAAAGAAACCTACTGTGATAACGTTTCGTGTGACAAGAACTTCATCTCGATTTTCTTTGTTTGGTTGTAGATTTCTCAGAAATCACTAACTAAAGCACTCTTGTATTGCACTTGAAAGGTGCAAAGATTATAAAGTAGGTAATGTAGGTACTAAATGAGGCTTTGATGTGTTTTAAATATTCAAACTGTTGGACGAAGTGGTGAAAGATTTCAACCCTATTTACCATAGCAATTTGGCATAATGCCAAGGAAGACAAACACTAAACCATGTTGCACATTTTGTGATAAATTAATAATTGAAAAGTCACTTTTGCTCGTTGTCGTTTCACACAATAAATAACCTGTTCTGCAATTGCCCAGTTAATTGTGTAATTATTTATTATCATTTTTTTGACAAATAGTCTACTTCATCACCTGTCGCTGTATAAATTTGTTCGATGTTCCCCATATGATTCTAATTAATTACACTGATATTTACGTAACTTTTTTTAGCAGATTTTTTTTAACAGAATATGATACTTTAAACTATATTAAATTCACATTGTATACTCACTGTTTTTCTTATACAGCAACACCTCAAATTGATCGTGCTGCTGATTCTCCAGCGAATACTCCAGTCTTGCCACAGTCTCTTTATCTGTCAATTCGCCATACATGAAACCACAGCTAAGAGAAGAATCGGTTTGTGAGATCACTAGTGAAATGTTTTGGAAGAAGTTATGGAAAGACCGATGATTTTACCGGCATGATTTTTGCATAACTTCCGCTCGATTGTAGCCGCTAATCTTGCAGAATGATTCATTGCAGTAAACAATGGGGAAATCCACAATTTGAGCGTTAGCCAGGAGGAAGGAACTATCGGCTGTGGAAGATAAGACCAAATAGAATTCATGAGAATATATGGAGAGATGATTATTAATAATACATTGTTATTGTGATACATATTGTGTCATGTTGTCTCTGGGGAGGATTAAAAAGATCACATGGGAAATGTGTGTTCGTGCAATAAACAGGCGAGAGGCATCAACAAGCTGGAGAGATACAATTGCGACATTGTAAGGAAATTGTTGTCGTTATCGCGTCGATAATTTAGTTTGTAGGTGTGAGTATGTATACTTACTGAAGAAAATTATAATTATGAATATATATTGTGAAAATGTCACCGGAACAATATTAGAAGACGGGGATAATTAGATTTTCTTTCACTCACTCAAACTCAACCCACGTCACCACGCCATCTCAAAATTCATTTTGCGAGTAAATATAATTGCTTTCAGTCAGGCTAATTTTGGTACAACAATAAATCTCCGTATAGTGAAAATTAACCGGCTGAGAGAGTGCCTTTTTGCGGAAGCCAATTTCGCCATGACGACATTTCCCCAATCCCTTTTCTTGCACACTAAAAACTTTCAAGCTCATCGTGAAGCAAGTTCTCACAATCAACACAACACCCACCATTGGCAGACAACCTACAAAGCCACGTGTTTGTTTTTGCCACACACTCACCCATTAATCGCCCCCGGACCCAACCAATTGTTTGCCCAGGGATAATACGGCGATCGCCCATCATCTGTTCAGGAAGAAGCTTACCAACGAATGGTCAGGATGAATTCAGGCAGCTCCTCATCCTGAAATCGACTATTTGGGTCACTGTGTGGAGACTTTGTGATGTTTATCTTAATAGCCATATTTCAATGACATGGATTTCGATGACAATTAAATATTTACCCATCCATTACGATTATTTTTTTACAAAAAGTCTCTCTAAAAGTTATCTGTAAAACCTCGTAACGGAATGAGGGACTTCAGGTTTTTTAATCCCTTAAGTAATTTTTAAATCATTTTCTGTAGATAAGTATTTTATTAATAGCACTAAAGTAAAAAAAAAATTCTGCAATTTAAATATCATCAGCCATTTTTCTCTTTGCTTGACACTCTCTCTCTCATTTATGTCAAAACTTTTTTGCTCAGAAAACAAATTTCTATAAGTACATGTACATGTACAGAATACCGTGCTAGTCTTTATATGACTGTGGCACGAAATCCCCACGAAGATCATTAAATCAGGGTAGAATTCACTTCACTTTCGACACGAAAAGAAAAATTTTCAGTGGCGCGCAAGGTGGAGGCAACCCCTTTATCGAACAAACTCATCTGAGAGGCAGCGCCGCCCATTCTAGATGCACATTTGTGAAATGAGGGGAGAAATTGCATTAAAATCCACCCATTTATTTTCCTTACTGCATCTGTCAAGGGCAATCGTGCCACTCACCCAATTTAACCGAAGTGCAATGAAATGCATGAGTTCTTTTCCCCTTCAGACATTACCTGTAACACTTATAAATTCGAAATGATTTTTTGCTAAGTGATAATCTTGAAGACAATAGCTTTTTTTACTTAAGTATCTCTCGTAGTATAGGTATGGTTTTCCCAGTTATGACCTTTGTGTCTGACGTCATTACTTCTAGAACAAAAGCAATGATAAATTAGACAATAATATGTACATAATGAATTACACTCCCTATACTATTTGCAAGTCAATGAAGTGAGCGTAACATAAATTTATGCAATATTACATTTAGCTTGTAACTTCCTTAACGATTTTTTCGAATCAAGATTGTTGATTAGATTCACGAAACCAATGCTTTGGTATTGCAAATATTTACATTCCCGCAATTTTTTAGCCCGTGTAACTGGAATTTTAAATAATTTATGAATTTAGAGTTGCATTTTGGAACTTGAGGGAAAATAGTTTTTCAAACTTATGTATGTATGCATTAGACACGTAATTTTGAATCAATCAGATTTTCAATTACATATGCATGGGTATATGTGTGTATGAGTAAGAAAATCAATATATATTTAAAGTCCAAATATTATACCCTTCTATTAAGTAGAATATCAATTACACTTTGTTTTGATGATCACGATTAATTATACAGTCAAGATTTACATCCTATTTGTGGTTTTGGTAAATTTTACTTTACTTGTACTAAAATATTCGTCATTTCACGTTGTTTACCGTGATGGTTACTGTCAAAATTTACAAACCGATTCTCCTTCTTCTGTCTTCTCGCCCACTTCCTCTTCCTGTTTATACACATTCATATGCATATGTGGAATCAGCTGAAATTCTGACCATCTCTCTCCCTCCATTTCTGATTTGACATATATGTTTTGTCATTCTCCATACTGTCCCCTTTAATTGCAATTCAGCAGAAAAGTGGCGTATGAATCAATATTGGGAAAATCTATCCACATTGTGGGACAGCAAGACTTTTGCGTGGGCAATTCTGCGTGAAGGAAAGGACGAGAGATGGAAAAAGCACGCTCCATCGAGCAATGAAATATCCCTCTTCAATTTGTCATTCATTATTTTCGCTACTCATAATTATCCCCATTGCTGAATAAGAGCATCTTCTAGTCATTCCTTAGATTTCTGAGCGGAGGATGTCATTTTCCATTGGTGTATGAAGACGGGCGCACGAACATGGAGGTTTGATATAACATAAATGAGTTCCCATGAACTAGGATTGCGACTCCAAGACGAATAAATTCGTCGAGGACATGAATTGTTCTCCGGAGCGTTGTCTCAATAATGCCATGGAATTTCTGACTCCCCTCAAGTGACAATACTCAATGGAATTGATGTTCTCGAATTATTTGTACATCGTCATGGAAGACTTCAATGACTTGTATTAATTCCCACTCTCATCTTCACACATTTGCCATTTATACCATCGATCCCATTGTCATCAATGATGCAATTAGAGAGCGCTTCAACCATGAGTCCCTATCCAATAGAGCGACCATGTTTTCACCATATTGATTTTCTTTATTGATCAAGTGGCTTTCAACTTGTTATGTGTATTTCTTCGAGACCATGCTAAACCATTTTACATTTACTATTATTTTACAATATAATGATTATTATAAAATAAACGGATATTGTAGTTAAATTACATCGCACATACGTAGTCTAACTATCAGTTATCTGGCAACAATCCAGATGCAATCTTAAATGAAGAAGTACAACGTAATCATTCTATATGAGCCCCTAGAAGTTCCTCCTTGTCATTTCGAGGCAGTCCTGGTGAGTTGAGAGACCAAAAGCCCCCAAGTCACACACACATCATGGTAAATTGAAAGTGTCAAATATCAAATCGTATTTTGGCGTGAGAAATTGCATTTCGAAGGTTTCGCTCTCAATTACCTCTCTCAGGACACCTTTTGGCATGTTAGCCACAATAATTCAATTCGAATGCATGAGAAATGTCAACTGATTGTACAATCTGTGCCTGTAGAATGCGTTGAACCGCCCACCGAGTGTTATTTTCACTCAATCAAACCTAATCCCTATACCAGACGACTAGCATTCACACCATACATTTCCTCGCAAATACCGGAATAAATTAGGAGTAATGCCTAAAATTACTATACGCCACACCCGTTAAATCACTCTATACTGATAATATTTTTACGACTAATTAAGACTGTAACAATGCTTTTGTAAATTTATGCGCAAATATTTTATAAGCGACGGGAAAACTCGTATATAATAGTGAATGTTATAAACCCAGCAAATAAAGTTCTTCTAATTAAAATTTTTTAGCACAACGAATTACATTTTGCATGAGAAAAAACTTATCCGTAAGTTAAATGTGACTAACTTTAGAAAAGATTTTATCAAACATTAAAATCATCATGAGTTATGACAGTTTTCACAAGAAATGTCTTCACTTAGACCAGAAACTATATATTTTAATCATCTCCATTCAATGCTGACTTATAAAATTGTCTATTAAATGTATTTGGAGTTGTGGAAATATCTTTTGTAAATTAATTCAATTGAAAAACTTGTATGTATGCAAATCATGCCTAGGATTGAGAGAACACACATCGGAAATGGGAATGTTACAACGGATTTGAGATAAATCGGAAATAAAATACAGTTTACTATATGAAAATCAAATTCAATAACAGAATAAATATCAATTGTATCAGAACTCAGCCATCAATTTATTCCTCTCCTGACACCCACAGATTTTCCTCCTCGCTATTTAGATAAACAAATTCTAGCAATCATCATAATTCCTTTTCGCAAATTATATAATTTAAATATTTACATTTCTCGACATTTCACGCACAGTGAAAGCAAAGGTAAAACTCTCCCTGCAATAGAAGAGACTAAAGTTTTGGGCCCGCTGTGAGAAGGTGACAAAATTGCGGAACAGACTGTGAAACAAAAAGGAAAAGGAGAAATATTTATGCCAAATCTTACTGTGTTTTTGGTGAAGGTAATGAAAATTGCTGTAGCACGACAGGCAAAATAAAAATTCACACGCTTTGCAAAGTCAACAGAGTGGTGTTTGTATGTGCTTTCGGGATTTTCCACTGCTTATATATTCATGTAGAAAATCATGAAAATAGAAGAAAATAGGAGACAAGAAGCAGTCTTATATTCATTTAACATTTTCATACACGCAAGATTATTTTAGGTACGAGTTGGGAAAATTGTCATACTGCTGAGGAGGTCCTTAACACTAAGAGAACGAAAAATAACTCTACACATATATATTTCACTCAGTCGCGCTTTCTCAAATTCCAAAACTCACATAAAGTTCTTTACGATTTCAATTCGCACATAAATTTATTAACATAAAGTCTTCTTGGCCAAATGCTTTCCCCTCCTTTGCATTACATTCTTCTTCAAATGTGTCCCATAATCAAATTTTTTGATTATGTCGTTTTGCGCAAAACACGCAAAAGCAAACAATTAAAAAAAATTAGAATTTTCTGCCGCAGTGGCAGAATAATATAATGGATGAAAAGGATGCGCAAGAATAAATGGGGTTTTATTGTAAATATTTGGTTGTGGTGAAACATTGAGAAAAAAAATTCCTATATATCTGGTGATAAAATCCCCACAGAGAGACTAAAATTGAGGATAAAAGGAGCAGTTCGTTGAACCAGAGTAAACTTTGAAAATTCATCAGTGTTGAAAAATAAATAATAAAAATTTTATTTGTATGTTGTGTCGAAAAATATGACACTCTATATTTTCATTCTTTCATTGTCCACATTTATAATTGATGTTGTAAAGCACGTTAGCCATCACAATGAGTCCTAAATAGATAAGACTTGCATTAAAGAACACTAATTTCAAAATAAAATTAATGGGACGGCAAAATAAACGTTTAATTCTATTATTACTGTACTGTACATATTTCAATATGTCCATCGCGGCCTAAAAATATAAATTCCCCGTTCCACAAATATAGATATACATTCTTTGTGGAGAAACTGCTTTCCTAGAAATATTTGACAGTGTAAAAGTGCCTGAATTTTTTTGGCAAAGCCGCTATGTAATCAGTTCTATATTACATATCTTTCATGTTTAGCAGTTGCTGAATCTGTCATTGAATCGTTGCTCAAATGGCGGGGTGTAAAAGCTCTCACCATGTAAGATATGGAGCTTCAGGGGACTCGAGAGGAAGAGATACTTGATTCAAGTATTAATTGTGTGCAAATACCCTCAAGAAGATGAAAGCCATTTTCATCTTCTCGCGCCAACCAAGAAATTGCTTCCACTTACGTTGGGAATTTGATCTCCTGATGATATTCTCCAAGAATGTGTTCTGTGGAGCAACCAAACCTCTTCTTCCGCCTGGCATTTTGCGTCTTCTTCTGTTGACTCTTTGCAGACGACACACTCCTTCACGATGGTTCCCCTACTAACCTTCAGCAACCACTTTCACATTTAAACACAACTGAAGAAAGAATCACATACTCTCCAAGGGTTTTCCCATCCTGAAGTGTATCCACTATAAATCCTCTGGGATTGCTCTCACGTGCAAAAACATCACACTGCACAGCACTGCTATAAGCATTTCACAATAGCTACAATTTTATCTCTGTGAAGAATCCGGCCGGATATGAACATTTTTTGCTTTTATACTGGCATTCGTGGAGGTGCGCTATCACGGTTAAGTGTATTCGCAACGAAAAAGACCCAAAGGAGCAGAACCAATGTCGCGTAGAGAAAATAATTCCCTGTTAATTTTTTATTATCCCTCTTGGTGCCCTCTCGTATGGATGAGATATGTACATGGAGAAGCTAAATACTTCAAAAATCGATATTTGCCAACCAATTAAATTCTCACTGGAGAATTAAACGTGTTATTAAAATGGAATGCAAATATTTGCGTTTCATCCAGCTTGGTAAAAATGCATAATCTATCGCCTGAATAAATTTCTTCTGAACGAGGAAAAACAAGGGCAGTAAAGCGTTCAGTGCATGTCCTTAATAGTTTGACCCCCATACTATTTCCATTTTTAAACAGATCTGAAAAATAACAAAATAGCTATATTTGAACACCTGTGTATTATGCAGGTAAAAGAATGTGCAAATTTTGCTTAAACTAATAAAAAATCCGTGGAAGTGCGTCCATGCGCCTAAATTTCCTAAACATTTACACATCTTTTATAATACACATTATAAATACAATATGGATATTTTATGTTCTTTAATCCATGCACAAAATTTAAAAGCCAGTTGCTCCGAGAAAGACTAAAATTATGATGTGAAAAATAACATAGGACAGTCCTCTTCGAGAGTAAGAAAATTTTAAACACATGTTTCTTCAGCATAAACCCGCAAAATCCACCTGTGACTTATGTTCACAAATCTCTTTCCATACATTGTACCCATTTTGCTAAAGTATACGTTCTGTGGATGAAGGCAAACGTTTTACCACTTTAGTTCAGGCAAAATTTAAGTGGATAACAAATCCATACAAAGCAACATAAATGGTTTTTTAGACTATAGGTGAAAATATTAAATATATCCAATTCGACAATTTTTTCTATAATAAACATGTGAATGAAGTATTAAAAATATTAGAGATAACAAAAATAATAAATTTTAGCAATATATGTGTGTATGACCCATTCTATAACTATTAGGAGACAAATTTTATAGCTTTTCTTTTGTGTGGGTTTTGATGGTAAACAGTTTGGCAAGAAGGCACAACTCGTGGGAAGATCATTGGACTATTTACTGAGAATAGGGCGCAATGGACGAAAAGTTGCTGTGTGGCGGAGAAAACGACACGCGAGGTGAAATTTGCAAGAAATTTTAATCTCATGAATACAGAGTTGTGCAATAAAGCCCGCGAGATGGGTGCTTTTTTGTTCACAAAACGACAAATAATAAACTTCAATACAATCGATTTTATTCCCTGATATATTTTTGTAGAGGTACTTTTATTGATTTCTGTTCAGGCTGGAAAATTTCTTTATCGTCCAACTCCCACTTTTTCATACTCCCACCCAGCTGTAGTTTCTTGTATGAATGCCGTTTTATTACCATCTCACACCTTCTTTGCCTCCCATTCCCATTCCACTTCCGTTGTGCAATTTTCACGAGTTTCCATGGGAATGAGGGAGGAGAATTTTTACTGTATAAAACTGACCTTCATAAACACAATACCGACTCTTATAAGAATGTAGTTTAAGGAGAAATTTACACTTTTTGCTGCACTTATGCCGGTTTCGCACTATGCTCTATAGGCAAACGTCCAGAACTAACGGAACAGGTAGGTACTACACATTATGGAAATTGCTGGAGCAAATTTCGTCTAGTATTTTTTTTGCATAGTCTGAAGACGTGGAGAAAATTGTTAAGTGGTAAAAATTTGAAAAGTACTTGAAAGTTCATCGTATGAGTTGCTACACAAATTCTAAGACATTTCAAGAAATTAGTCTACTAATTGAGTCTTTGTTAAACTTTTCACACTGAATTGCCGAGTGAGTATACAAAAGATTTATTATACTGTTGACACTGACTTATTTTTGAGCAGACAATCATGACCCGATGAGAACAAGGGACGTTTCACAAACAGCCTCGAGTGGTAAAAAGAAAGGGTAGCGGACTCATTGAGTGGTAAACTCATGAAAACTCTTTCGGTTTCAATGAAATCATGGCCATGTTTCATTTCATTCAATTCCATTTGATATTATCACTTGGTTTCAACCGTTTTAACTTATCTTATAAAAGCCGTCATGAAGCAGCAGTTAACAACCACAAACGGCTTTTATTATCACGAAAATAAATAATTTAAATAATCTGTGAAGGGTTTCGTGTTTTCCCCAATTCAGAAAATATAATTTTACATAATTTTACTAACAGATAATTATTTTCAAAGTATGCAAACATGATTGCAACCGTTTGGCTTTATATTTCTGAGATTACCTAAGAATCTTTCAATTTGATGAAATTCCCTTTTATCGTATCTTACTTTCATTTGAAATGCGAAGTTACGTGATTAACACCACCAAAAGAACCCCATCCACTCGTCTTTAAATATATCACACAGATAGAATTATCCCCTTGTGCAAATGATTAAAAAGTGTCTGTGTGAATTTTCTGCAAAAGGGAGTGAAACAGAGCGCGAAAAAGGGAATAAAGAAGGCTACATTGTGCTGTATGTATTGTATACATTGTGATTTCTGACACTGACATCGTCATCATTATCATTAATATCGTCATCAGTGATTCTTTATTTATGTAGGTAACACACAAAAGCACCACTGACGGTGGATTATGTAATACAGAACCCTTTACAATAAGCGCGTAGTCTTGTGGATACAACAAACAAAGGAGAAGAAACTGCAAAAAAATGTCAAGATAAAAAAAGTTTTATGAACTTTATAAAGCAAAAGTTAAGAATAAAGATTAATTGGCATGGGTAGGTAAAAAATTCGTTTTTAATTAAATAGCGCATTTACAGATAAAAAATTCTTTCCATATTTTACAAAACTTTTAAGTTCCAAAAACGCTGTAAAATAAGTGTTTTGGCCATTAGTATTCCAGCATTTGATACTCGAGCATTTGTAAATATCACATTCAAATAAAATGTTATTTGCTAGTCTATTTGTCTTAATATTTTTATATACTAAATACAAGCCAAATGGATGCGGGCATCGGGCCAAAATTCTACCCAAAACATATCGCGTTTCTTTCTTATAATAATTCTTTTTTCCTTTTGCAATGGAAAATCCCTTTCCGGAAGTCAAGTATCTCCTGCTTCAGAACCCTATCAATTATGTAATTAACTTGAGGGTTATTTGTCTCAGTAATTGCTTGTAGTCTTTCCAACACAATTCAATCCATATAAATTCCACCGAGTGACCGTAATATTGCTCCTGCCACTGAATGCAAGCACATAAGCTTCGCCAGTAAAAAGTTTGCACTTAAGTGTGTTAAGACGGTTTGAAGAATTGGATTATTACACAATATTTGCATAAATTAAAATCCGGTCAATACACACACAGAAGCATTCGCTTGGTTTAATGTATTCCACATAATGGGAGCGAATATGGGAGGGGTAGAAAAACTCGAAAAGGAAGGAAAAATGAGTGGCACCACAAAGGAAAGTGTATCCAATATGTAATTTCTCACTTCACATTGCTATTTCTCACAATTTTACCACTAAAACTCTACACTTTTCTTCTCAAGACGATTCACAAATAATCAATGCAAGTTCTTTTTGCCGTGAGTTGTAGTTAAATGTGTCCAATATTAGAGAAAGAGCTTCTTGGTTGGCCTTCTTCTGACTTCACCCAAAAAGTTGCTTTCAGAAAGATCCCCACATTCACTCACTGGACACAACGCGAGGGGTTCCCTACTGAAAGCTCTAAGCTCTAAATACAACTGGCTGCGCCCGAAACATAGACTAGCAGTCTTACATGACGATTTGTAAAGTCACCACAGCACAGGCGCATTCCCTCCCCATTGAATTCGATGTTTCCACAGGGTGGCACTACAAAAGATCATTTCTCAGATGCACCAGTTGCGAGTTCTTTCGATTCTTAAGAAGAAAATATTGCGGTATATTTTTTTCTAAAATCATTTTTTTTACTATCTCACTTATATGTAATTGGGGCATACCTTATCTTTATGTAAAGTGGATTCAAATTGTTAAGTCTTAAATCTAGAATTTTTATCTGTTACCACCCTGTCCGCTCGTAGGTATCGCCGTGTGAAACATACATCATAGATCGTTCTGCTCCTCTCGTTGCCAACACCCCCACTTCACACTATGTAAAAACCACCCCTATTCGCCTTGTAGTACTACGTTGCAACCACATCATGCCGCTTTGTGGCCCTTCTTCCCAATTTGGCCGTCCAAACACACCAACACAATCCAGCTGGCCACGAAGGGGAAGAGGGATCCAAATTTGCTTGTGTGAGTGAAAGGTTGTCTGGGATGGAATCATCCACTTTCTGCGTACGTCATCATCCCCTGTCGACTAGTCGAGCGTCTACTTTCACCAAATCCATGACACTATTCTGGGCTTGTGCGCCAAAACGCAATTATTTCTCATCACATTGTGAAGGTGTATTTTTGTGAACTATTTGCGTGAGTAAGTCAATGACTCAAGTGCCATTTGCAACGATACCACTACGTAAATTGTGTTCAAAAGCCGTGCAATTGAATTTTTCCCAAAACTCTTGCCTCACTGACAGTGCGCGTCGAAGGAAGTCTCAAGTTCCAGGTAAACAGTGGCCCTGACTCCATTTTATGTCAGTATATCTTATATAAAGTCCTATCCCTCCTTTTGACATCGTGCAATTGTAGGCCAATTGTATATTTCTTTTCTATACACTATTTTTTATGCTGTTCAAACGCCATCCTGTTGACCTCACACTGCGTTGTAAATTTACAAATTTCTGTGTGTGCTTTCTCGACAGAGTGCTAAGTGGTTTAGTAGACGACGACTGGGTTTTTCGGGTATAAAAATTTCATAATTCTCCTTCTATGTGCTTCCGCATACTTCATTGGTTTACATAAAAAAGCGTTGGCTTATAAAATGCAAGACAATAAACCTGGGGCAAAATAATGCAAGTAACACATCAATTATTGAAAATAATTTTTGTTTACGCTCGGAGCAGTAAAATTCACTTTGTCTTACATATTTGCATTTTTAAATCCCCGTGTTCCACTGTCATGAAAAAAAACTCCCAAAAGGACTGTACATTTTGTGATAGAGTGCAAATGAATAAATAATTCAGTCGAAACACCACGGCGTGTGATATTTTATTCCACACAGTGAAAACGAGAATCGTTGTACATTCAGTACGTTTCAAGATTTCGCCTTATCACAATTGTCTTTGAGAGAGATAAATGGGAAATTCTGAGACGCGAGTTGAGAAATGTAGTCTTTTCTGCACACACTTTCTGAGACATTTATGTATGTATGTCTTATGCGCCAAATTGTTTTGGCGTCTTGTTGATATATTCATAATATCTAACGAAAAATAGTTCAATAATTGCTAGAGTGTGTGCAATATGTGAAAACCAGATTGAGATTACTAAATTATCACACAATCTATGACTTAGTACCTAAGAACTGCTTTAACTTGCCAGATTTGAATCACTTTTTGAAGTTCTGTGATGCTTAAACTGTATTCGAGGCAAAATTCAAACGGGAAAATTTTATATCTTATGAATAAAAATGAAAATTTACATTTTGCCTTATTTCATTTACATTGTTTGAATAGACTAAGCCATAATAAATTCATAAATCTACATATTTATATGGTTCCCTTTCTTAAAAGTCAAGTGGACTCAGATTCACTACATGAACTCAATTTTAAGAGAATAAAAACAATCTCTCATTGTTTTTATAAAGTTCTCACTGCAACAGAATATTTTTAATCCGTATGTGTATAAAAATAATTTGAATGTATAAGGAATGATTAGAAACAACCCCATATTAAGATGTTTATACGGCATCGTGTCTACTGCTTAATTAAATGTTAAAAAATAATTTCTCCAAGGTATACTTTACTGAACCTTTTTGGCATATAGATGAGACTTCACGTTACTTTACTACAGCAGTGCTAAGCATGCATACAAAAACAATAAAATTCATGTGAGCTGTTCTCCTTCGTGCAAGACGTTGCCTTGCTCTTAAGATCACCGCCTTCCCTCTGCTCGCCATATAGTGACTTCGAGATCTTCAATACAACTCTGCACAAGCATTTTCTTTCACTACACAGACACTCTCCACACCATATCTCAGTGTTTAGGCTTCAGACTTCACAAAACGCTCGTCAACATTCAGTTGTCTCGAAACCGTCGAGCAATCGAGTTTTGTTGCATTGTGGTTATTATTTCCCACTTGATGCTGTATTTAGTCAATTTTTATAAATTCGACCAAAAGAGTGGGAAATTCTCGTGTTTCGCAATACTTTGTTCTTTTTCCTGTCATTCCATTTAGGTTTGTGACGACTTTTGTTATTACTTTAATTGCTATTAAAAGCAACACAGCGTGTGAACAATTTAAAAGGAAGAGGAAAAAAGTGTAGTGGGGATATATAGGAATTAGACTTTAGTTTGAGGTGATTTCAAATAGATTTTGTACTAGTTCTTAATCTACAATGCCCTTTCCCTAATGATCACCAGTCCTATCATGAACGTCTGCGTGACCCCAAAACGTTTGGAGATATATATTCAAATAATAGCTATGTCCAAGGGCTTTTCAATAATGGAATTATTTCTGATTAGGTTGAAAGACAGTGTGTGTAATCGTCTAGTCACAAATACTCCTCTGTCCTCTGTGCCCTTCTTTTAGCTGTCTCAATACATATTTCCTCTAGTTTAGAATCGTGTCGCACACGTGATCACATCTCACTGTAATTTTAGGTACAGTGTGAACGCCAGAAGAATTCATCAAAGATCAGAAATAGTGAAACATCCGACGACTGTGGAGACATTCGTTCGTGTCTGTGACAATAACGCATCGTGATTAAAGTGTAAAATTTCTTTAGTTAATACACGTGAAACATGATGAGCATACCTGCTTCGGCACGCTTGGTAAACCTGGCCAGGAAGTCATGCATCAGATTCCTCAGTACCAGACAACAGCAGAATGAGGAACTGTCCAGGACGTGTGAATATGAGCGTTTTTATTCTTATCCAGCGGAGCCGGGATTCGTGAAGAATTCACCTTTCGAGAGCATCAATATTCCCAACTGCACTATCGACCAATATGTGTGGAGCAATATACAACAGTGGGAAAATAAAGTGGCTGCGGTGAGTGTGAATTTCCTCTATTAGTATATAGTAAATGATTGAGAGGAAAATATTTGTAACATAAAATCAGATGTAAAAAAAAGTTCTATGACTCTAATCATACGCAAAAGTCACGTGTCACGTGTTGTAGGACATCTTATTGTTTATACATATATACAAACTGTCTGGAATATCTTATGCATACATGGAAGAAATATTATTCATGATTGTCTATAATTATAGCTCAGTTTGCAGACTTTCAATTCTACTTTGTAAGTTGAGATAAGTGATCACGGCTTGTAAACTTAATATCACTCCTATCTCTTATTGATATATTAGACCCATTAACAAATTGCTTTCAATTTGTTCATTAAATTTCTTCAATTGCATAGAATAAATAAATATTCAGAAGTATAAAATCCATTAACTAATCATTTTTCGCACATAAGAAATAGGAAATGCTTTGAAGAAATATATCTCTTACTACTATAATAATATTTCTTCTTCTCGGGTGTATTCCGCAATCGCAAGAAAAATTATCTATGTCAGATGGATACCGTCATCAAACAATTAATAATTTAACTATGGGACGTATAAAATAAAATAGGTCAGAGTCTAACGCCAGAGTGTTTTTTTCACCAATGATTATGCAATGTAGCGCTAGAAATCCAAAATACTACGAGACACACGATCTAATAAATAACACTGACGTGACGTCGCTCATTTGGTTCAGAGCCCAAGCAAAAAATGCAAAAGAGCAATTTTGGCATCCACGTTCCCACACTATTTCCCCCAGTATGAACTTTGGATACCTGTCCACTTCGTATAATCCGGATTAAACAGGATATCCACCATCAAGAACCGTGCGATGGTAATTTTACATGCCACGCAAAGTAGTAAATTCGCGTCAATTCAAGAGTCCAAATCAACACTAAATCACCAGAGAAATCCCTCATGGCTGTTATCTTATCAGCGAGGCAATTATTCACCTGACTGGGCGACCAAATATACCAAAAATATAATCTTATTTTACAAATATTCCAGCTGTCTATCAAATCCCAAGCAAAATGCCAAGAAATCCAAACTTTCTCGAGAAGTTTCTCGACCCAAAAACAATAAACACCAAACTTAGAAATCGTCACATTTCTCCCAGAAGAAAAGAAGTTGTATACAATCTATTGGGAATCTGTGTATGGCATCCATAAACCGGTCATTTAACTAAACGCCGAGAGACCAACTCGTTTCTGTCAATGCTCGATGGACTTTTGGACTTTGGACGACTTCTCGTCTCGTGGACATCTTCCGTCCAATTTATTTATTGCAACGTAGATGATGGTCAATTTAGCGACAACAATTAAGGCGAAATTGCAAGTGATCAATCTAGCGACATGCACCCATCGCCCTCCAATACATAGTAAAGTGTATTTTTAGATTTGTTTATTATATAAAATTGCTGTCTTTCTCAATGAAATTCCTCATGCCAAGGAGTTATTTACTGGTTAAGAGAAGAATTAAGGTATTTTGAAATTCTATTTGATGTGTATTTCTACAAAATGCCTTCAATTTCAATTATTCTTTTCATGAGAAACATACAACCACACATCTATGTAATTATACCGAATATTCAAAACAACACATTCTAGTAAATATGTGACAGATATGTATTAATCAAATTTGATGTGCAAAAACTTAAACGCAAAAGCTTTCGCTGTGGCCTTGGTGTTGAACTTGCAAATTGTCCGGCCGCACTGTGTAAAATTATCTCCTCATATTAGCCAATGAAACAAGTTTAATGTCATTTTAATTTGTCTATCTCTGAACAACAGGTCTGCGGTATAACAGATCGTCAGTACACGTATGCGGAGATGCGGGACCACTGTGCGGCACTGGCCGTGCGTCTGCAGAAAATGGGCCTGAAGCAGGGCACTTCGATTGCTGTGTGCCTGCCAAACCTGCCTGAGTTCCCCATCGCCGCTCTGGGAGCACTCGAGGCGGGTCTCGTGGTTACGACAGTAAATCCAATTTACACTCCTGGTAGGTGTACTTTTTGGCTATTGACTGCTGTATAGAAAAAAATGCTCATAATTGGCTTCCAAAGCTAATCTACCTCAACAATGTTCAATGTGAGCGAGTGCTTAACACACGAGTTGGAAAAATTCCAGTGCAATTCATTGTAGACTAAACAAATTGATCACATAGTGTTAGTAAATATGTTTGTGAATGTGGGAAAATGTACTTATAGACCAATCAAATGTTGTCATCATTATTTCGCATGAATTGCAGCAAAATTGGAACGTTAAATGGAACAATTAAATGCTCAACGGATTAAATCAATATATCGGAGTGATTTAATATTATCACAGCAATTAAATTGCTAAAATATGGGATAATGTGGGAGATTACCCCAACGTATTCGGCAGTATTGACAGCGCGTGAAAATACGCACAGAGAAATATTTCATGCTCTCCGCGAAACATTACTCTATTGCATACAAATTTTCTTTTTGAATTCACATTTGCATTAAGACAGATACAAATGCCTCGGACTTCTCCTATAAATGCAAAATATCACGCCCACGAGGTTAATGAACTCTTGTTTGCTCTCTTCTTGAGAATGATATCAAATTTGCACAACGATATTGCAGTAGAAGCCAATGAAAGATAGGTATATTTACACAACAAAAATAATTATTAAAACAAACTTAAAGTAGAATTTGTTGAAACGAAAAAAATAAATCAATTCAACCACAATTATTAGCAATTCAAAATTACCTATACACGTAGGTTTCACACGAGAAGTATAAATAAATAAAATAGCATTTGACCTTTATTCAGAGGTGGACGGCATTCAATTCCATTTGATTCAACTTGGCCAAGTAAAGTGCATTTATAAGAACTTTATTTTGTGAAGTTTGGAATGCGTTTTGTGAAACTTCATTTGTATCAAATAAGCTGTGAATTGAGAAATATACGCCTATTGACTTGTCAATAGAATTACACTACAGAGGAATGTGCAAAAATACAGTACATTTCAAGCGAATAACATCACAATCATCAAATTTTTTTTCCGTTTCTCAGTGTCATTTTGATTTGATTGAACCATGATATATAGCGAGAAATGTAAACAATAATATTGAATTGCGCGATATTGCTCACTTCCTTTTATAAACATAAAGTCCAAAGTGTTAAATTCTAAATCGATTTATTTCTTCGATTACGTTTTCAACCAATTTGACAGACGCGACCTCATCATTTTATTTCTTTCGTTATGCTTTTATTTTCTTACTCTGATTAGATGACAGAGTCGTTACATAAGTTTGTAGTTTTTTTACAACATTCGTAAAAATATTCCTATCATGAAAAACGTAGAAACGTATCAACCAAATACGCAATTTTCTTCCTTTCGGCATTTTTTCATCTCTTACGACAATTAAACTTTAAAAACACATACGGAACTGCAGAAAAGAATTATTTGGGAGTTGTAGAAAAATAAGTACATAGTCTCGCCATAGACGGTCGAAAGTGAAGTGCCTGATAACGACCAATGGCACGTGATGTATTGAAATATCCACTTTAGATTGAAACGAAAAAGACTGATAATCTAGAGGAATGTGTTATCTGGGCAATGAATTAAATTCAATAGCGTATTGGGAGATAATGTGATTTGTCTACGAGCACACACTTACGATAACAACCAGTACAAATTATAATCGGGGTAAAATCGAATGAATCAAAGGGCAATTTTCAAGATATTCAATTTCCATGGGAACTACATATATACACATACTTTCTTAATAACCAAAGCAATATGATCCTTCCTTGCAGATGAAATTTGTCGTCAACTGTTGGATGCTGATGCTAATTTCGTCATCACAACGGTGGAGCGCTTCAATGTTGTTAAAGAGGCTTGCGCTCTGTCCAAGAAATCCATCATGATCGCTGCAGTTCGCCACAAAGCCACTGAACCTTTGCCCGAAGGCGCTATTGATTTCGCCGAGTTGATAAATCCACACGGAGTGGACTTCTCCTCACTCCAGCGTCCGAATATCTCCATCGAGGACATCGCTTTTCTACCCTACTCATCAGGCACCACGGGCCTGCCCAAGGGTGTTCAACTCACACACCGTAACATTACATCAAACTGCGAAATGCTGAAAGCCAAAACCGGTGACATATCCATCATTCAGCCCACTACTTCGGATTATCAGGACGTCCTTCCGTGCGTTCTACCTTTCTTCCACATCTACGGACTCACCGTGACCCTGATTTCAAAATTGTGGCACGGATGCAAGATCGTCACACTACCCAGATTCCATCCAGACAGTTTCCTGAATGTGATGACAAAGTACAAAGGGTCTGTTCTTCATCTTGTTCCGCCAATCAGTAAGTTTTTACTCCTAAGTTGAAAGCCTAAAATTTAGCTTAATTTACTCAACTATATTGACATCACTGTTTTTGTATAGTATTTCATCGTGCAATTTGCTGCTAATGATAACACAGTCACTTACGACAAACAAGACACTACAAAAAAAACTTATATATCTACACGCCATCACTCAAAACGTCTGTTATTTGAGCAGTATAATTAGTATATGATTTCAACATGAAAAATGCAAAATTACACTATATTCGTCGTAATTGAACGAAGAATTACTGATATTATGTAGTCAATTTTGATAAGTATATTATCAGAAAATTCTGCTCTGTCAGTAAATTACCCACACATTTTTACTACATGCTTTTTTATCTTGACAAATTGAGTAGATAAAGATTTGTATTGTTATCAATCAAGATTATAATTACGAAAATGTTGCTTTCTTATTATGCGTATTATTGTAATGCAATGAATGCAACAGATAGATTTTTTTAAGAAAAGTACTTAATAACTTTTATAAAGAACCTCAAGGATAAGTTTTTCTTGATTTTTCTTCATTACATCATGTTATATGACAGTCAACTTTTTTGTTCATTTATAGTAATCATGCTTGGACATCACGATAAAGTACAGCCTCGTCATACTGAAAGCATTCGCATTGTAATGTCTGGAGCTGCTCCAATGGGTGCCCCAGATGCTGAGCGCTTTACCTCTCGTGCTCCAGGTGTGGAATTCGTACAGGGATACGGCCTGACAGAAACATCTCCAGTTGTGCTAATGAGCTCCGTGGGCAGCAATAACTATGCCTCCGTGGGTGAACCATTGCCCAATACTCAGGCTAAGGTAGTGGACATCAGTGACCCCACTAGGACGGGTTTGGGGCCGAACAAGGTGGGTGAGCTACTCGTGCGTGGACCCCAAATCATGCGAGGCTACCATAATCGCAAGGATGCCACTGATGAGATGTTGCATGAGGATGGTTGGCTCCGAACCGGCGACATGGCGTACTATGACGAGAACAATCATTTCTACATCACAGATCGTCTCAAGGAGCTTATCAAGGTGAAGGGCTTCCAAGTGCCACCCGCCGAACTGGAAGAATTGCTGCGCGACCATCCCAAAGTGGCAGATGCTGCCGTGATCGGGATTCCACATCCGGTGAATGGTGAAGTGCCAAGAGCGTTCATTGTGAGCAAAACTGGCTCAGAAGTGACTGAAAAGGAGCTGCAGGAGTTTGTGGCCGGCAAAGTAGCCTCCTACAAGCGTCTCGATGGTGGCGTTGAATTTCTTGAGGCAATCCCAAAGAGTGCCACGGGCAAGATCTTGCGACGCGAATTAAAACTCAAGTATTGTTCGTAGGCTTGCCATTAACCCAGATATTCGGAATGATTCCACGTGTGGTATAGCATAATTTTTTCACTTTTATTTTACTGCGCCATATTGATCAGCGCAGACACAAAAAATTCATGATTATTTCTCAATATATTAACATAAAAAAGGTCTGTTTGGGGAAATGCTCATCCAGGCGTATTTTATAGATTTAATTAAAACTGAATAGCAATTCTAAGAGGTGAATTTGTCTGTGTTTTTTATGTATATAAGTAAGAAAGATGTCCGAGAAAGCGTATCAAATAAATGTATTTCTACTAAAAAAAAAAAACAGATATTATTTTCAATTAAAATATTTGTTTCAAAAAGTTCTATTTATTGGAAAATAAATTACACTATCAAAAAACACCTATTGGTCCCTTGGCAGCTGTTATTGCGCTTGAAACGTTTGTCTTTTCACCAAATCCTTGAACAAGCCCTCTTCACGCGTTGAGAGTTCCTCATAGGTACCCTCCTCGGCGATTCTACCTGCATCCAACACCACGATTTTCTGAGCATTCCTGATCGTGCTCAGACGATGAGCTATCGTCAAAACAGTGCGTCCCTTTGTCAGGGACTCCAAGGCTACCTGTACGTGCTCCTCTGAGCCAGCATCTAGGGCACTTGTAGCTTCATCAAGTAGAAGAATAGCTGGATTTTTGATCAAAGCTCTAGCTATCGCAACTCTCTGCTTTTGGCCTCCACTTAGCATCATCCCACGCTGTCCCACAACCGTGTCCAGACCCTGAGGGAGACTTCGCACGAACTCATCCACATGGGCTTCTCTGACAATCCTTTGAAATTCCTCCTCAGAAATTCTTGTGCCAACATTCACACCGTAGAGGATGTTCTCCCGAATGGTGCCACTGAAGAGAACAGGTTCTTGGTTAACAGCTCCAATATTTGAGCGCAACCAGAGAGGATCCAACTCCTTAATGTTCACCCCATTCAGAGTCAACTGCCCCTTGGTTGGATCGTAAAGGCGGAGCAATAGAATACCTATAGTGGATTTTCCTGAACCACTCTTTCCAACAACAGCTGTGGTTGTTCCCGGCTCAATTATCATATTTAGATCCTCCAAAACGACATTTCCAGGTCGTGACGGATAGTAGAAGGCCACGTTCTCAAATGTTATAGTACCCAGAGATGGCAACTTTCTTCCTTCGTGTAAAGTCACAGGGATTAGAGGATTCCTGTCATAGATTTCCCAAATTCTCTGAGCAGCTCCCAATCCCTTGTTAAGTTCTGTATAGAAATTGCTAAGCCCGTTGATAGAGATTGCCGAGTAGCCAGCATAGAGGATGAAAGATGTTAGAGCGCCTACGGTAAGCTCCTCATTGGCCACCATGTTGCCACCGTAAAAGAGCACCGACATGATCAGAATGTTACCAGACAGGCCAGTCAATCCATAAAAAATCGCTCTAGCACGAACCTCCTTATAACCCAACAGTAGAGCGTCATACAGTTGACTGAGGAAGAGTTGACTCTCTTGTTCCTCTCGACAGAACATCTTCACAGTCTTAATATTACCCAAGCGCTCCTCTCCTGTCTTCATTATTCCAGCATATTGATCCAGGAGACTCTTCGTGATGTTCCTCACGTATCTGCCATACACCACAGCCATTCCTGCCACAGCAGGAACAACACACATTCCCACAAGCGCAAGATGAGGCGAAGTATTGATCATCATGCCGACACCGGCGATCACCATCACGGTGGATCGCAATCCATCAGACATATTCTGACTCAGCGAGTTTCCCACAAGATATGAGTCCTGCGACAGACGGTTCACGAGCTCTCCAGTGCCTCTTTGATCAAACCAGCCCGCCTCCTGACTCAGCATCGATCTATATAGTCGCAATCGGACGTCTTGAACGATACGAAGAGCTGAAAATATGACACAAGGGTAAGATGACCATCAAATATTAGCAAATTTGCAGTACATCTTACAGGCACCGTTGAATAAGTACACTCTTCCGAAATTGGAAATCCCGCCAATAATAAAGATTCCCGCAAGTATCAAGCAGAACTTCTTCAGGCGCTCCTTTGCCACTTCTTTTGATTCATCTGAGTAAATGGTGTCCAAAATTTTCCCTAAACCATAGGGAACAGCCATTGTAATACTCGATGAGACGATGAGGCAACCAATTCCAGCTGCAATGTACAGAATATCATAGTCAGCAAGGATTCCAAATAGTATAAAAATTTAAATAAATCTACCAGCAATTATCCATTTCTCCTTCGAAGCCAACCTAAATAGTCTCATCAGGTCAGATGTTTTGAACTTTGCTTGTTTCCCAGGAGCCTTTGTAGCGCATTGTCGGGCAATGATGAGGGACTTGCAGCCGGTTCTTGAGATCCGGGATAAGAGTGGAAATGTTGAGGAACATTGATGGCATAGGATTCTGACCGATGAATTTCCAACACTATGATTCGATAGCACTATTCGAGTCAATTTTATTAGGCTCATTGACGGAAATAACATCTTTTTACTGTATTTATTATCCTAGTAAATGTTTAGGAAAACACTGTAACCCTGGAGGTTCATCATAACACACATAACCTCTCTTTCACATGACAGCACGAAGCTTTTTTCGACATTTTCGCTCGCTCGAATTGTGAAAGCTCTCTCCAGCTTCCGGCTATTTAATTTTTAAATACAACGCAGAGCAAAAAGGTTAAAGTATTAAATTCATAGTTATTTTTATCATATATGCTATTCCATTTGACTCAAATGGCAGACGCTTAAGAAAAATATAGCTTCCCAACAGCAAAATAATTTTTGATAACAAAAACATTCACAGGATTAGCGAAAGTTATCTTTATCTTTTTTGTTTTGGATTAAAATATTGGGAAAAATCCTTTTCTGTTGAAGAATTTTACTGAATGCCGAATTTATTCGCTGGAAATCACAATAAAATAAGAAAACTACGGGTATTTGAGTGATCAATTTTTATTGTATGCGCAATTCGAAAATTGGACATTATGTATAAATATCCCTATTAAATATGTATATTTATATTTTTATTGAATGTGGAACAGCTTTTTGTCAATATATATATTTTCCATGTCAAACTATATACTTAAAAAATATATACTATATTGATACAATGATTTGGATAGTTGCTACCATTAAGATAAAACTTGATCAAATCCATGAGAAAGTTCAAATGATACGATACAAAAGGAGACGTTTTCCTTTGATCATAAATCCATTACTTTAAAGGTTTCACTATACTTTTTTAATTAATTTTCAGTGTAGGTACATATTAGTAAAAGAAACTATAAGAAATATCAATGATTTTTAGTGTGTTCGAATGAGTGAATTATATGCGAGAGCACATTAATCTGTCGAAAGGAAATTGTGAACTTATCATGTTAAGCGATTAAATAAATTCTTTATGTCTATCGTAGAATTTTATTTCCTCTTCAAAAAATAGTGGTGTTAACACTTGATTATGTAATGTTAGTGGCAAAAATTCCTCTTTTCACACTATATTTCTCTCCGCGAAATTCATAAAAGGCCACGTTTAAATCTATATCTTGTAATTCTCTGTTCAAAGATTTACCGTGTTTCTGCTCTCGAGCAATTTTTATCCTTACTCATCTACAAGGGGTGTCTATTCAAATATTTACATTACATAAGGATAACATTGTTGGGTGATCTTCTTAAAGTCATCACTAAATATTAAATAATAATTACAGTAAGACCGTGAAATTTGTGATAGAAAAATATTCTCTTATACATATCTCAAACAGATATCATATCCCCTTTCTCTGTATTTTTTTCTAAAGTATATATGCCTTTTAAATACGTACAGAGAAAGTGTTCAAACAATTTATATTGCTTCGTAAAATTCCTCACACCAGTTAATGCTTTCATGCAATCTTATACATACTTGCACTTTGCCTACCAGCCAAGTCACTTCTGTAATAGGTATAATTACACTTGTATTGCTTAACATTTTATGATTTATCAAGCATATTTATTTCTCTTATCCAAAAATGGTGATCCATAGAAAAATATGGAATTGTCTTTTATCAATTTTTTTCCCTAATTTCAAATCTTTATATTTCGATACTATTTCTTCGGCCACAATTTTGCTGTAAAAATACATATTTTTTCTCCATCTTCAACCTATTCACCCAATAATCCTATACATATCTTATTCGTCGTTTTCTTCGATAATTTGCTCCAATATTCTGTAAATACTCAATATACAATAATTTCAATTTCATCTCATTACTTCAATTTATATATAGAAAAATAAACCTTGGAACATTATTATTTCACAAAGATTTCTCTCTCTATCCACCAGCATAATCTTTAAATTCTCTTTTAAGGTACTCGTACGAATTATTTTGTTCATTTTCTAATATAATCTTGTCAAGGGGCATTGGAGGGTATACTAATATTTCAACTCTCACTATACTAGAATATATAATGTTTCCTTAGTATATCAATCCTCGGCAACTCCTAGTATATACACAATATATCTCTTATTCACCTCTGAAGGTTTACAAAAAAATATGTTGAACTCACGTGTTCTACCTATGCAAGAGCGAGGCCGCTACTGAGATAAGACGATTTCCCTGGTTTGGGAAACGCAAACACTTGTGTTAGGCACTACTTTGGTCCTCGCCGGAGGATACCCTCGAGCCGGAGCGTCCTTTCTGTTGTGGAATCACCGTAAGAGATTTTGGTATCTTGGACAAGAGTGAGGCGGCCTCCCCAGATGCTGGTCCATTGAGCGGCTCATTCAGAAGCCACATATTCGTAGTGGCGGCCGGGCTGGTGGTGGTCTTCATCAGGTCAATAATTGACATCATTGGATTGGCGTTTGGCATGGTCGTCGTGGTGAGAGACACAATGGCAGAGATGGCGGGCTGCGGCATCACCGGTGGTTTAGGTGCGATGGGAATCTGGTTCTTCAGCAGAGATGTCGGATTGGGCTTCCGCACCTTTATCAGCGACTGTAGCTCTGACGAAGGGCCACTGGGGCATGATTTCCCACTAACCGGCAACACAGAATTTTGCTCTAGAATCTTATTTGGTATACTCACCTTTCCTTTAGACGTGGATGCAATGGGCTGTTGCGGCGGAGATGATCTCTGGCCATTCTCGGATTTCCCCTGTTGCGCCATGGCCTTTTGCATTATCTTCTCACGCCGCAAAATGCACATCCTGTTGTAGTCATAGATTGATATGTGGTACGGCTTCCCGCCGGACATCACCTGCACTCGGCTGGGCAGGAGACGACCATCGGCAGTCTGATACAGCGTATTGGCCCCATCGCGACTCGAGTCGCGCTCCAGAGGCGCAATTGGCATCAGAGTGGGACGCCACGCCTTACCATTGACCAATCTACGCTCAGCAGGGCTCAACGTATCCGGGAGCTTCACAATCACATCCTTGGGATTGACAATGGGCTGCACTGTGCTGGGCGGTGGCGATGGAGATACGCCACTAGACGGCGGTGAACTTCCCTTCTGACCACCAGTTGCAGTTACTGTGATCGTGTCCATGACCGCTGAAGATTTGTTAGTTGGAGTCGTGGTGATACTGATCAAGTCCGGTGGAATGGCTCCACTTGCGGATTTCTTTATAATACTAACACCCTCTTGAGACTTGTACCCCTTCTCAGAGCCGCTATAGCCATCTGCGAGGCTCTCCTTCCGGGAAATGTTGGACTTCAAGAGACTAGTAGAAGATCCTGGACCATTGTCATATCTTCCTCCAGTAGATGTCCTTCCCTTGGGATTGGCAGGTGTAATAGTGATGGGAGCATTGCTGAGTTGATGAAAAATACTCATGCTGTCTGATGGTACGTTGTCGAAGGACTTGAGGCGGTTCTGTACAGATTCAGAGTACGTAACAGCATTGCTACTAGCTCCTGGCGAAAGTATCAAATCACCATTTCGAAAGTACTTCTCCAGCAACACCAGATGTCGGATGAAACTCGACTGATTCCCATAGGGCTTCTGTAGTTCTTCCCACAGCTGTCTCGTGGCATCGTCGTACTGTAGAATACTCGGAGCTCGGGTCCATCCTTCAGGTGTCCTATGGCCCCCTTGGCCAAAAGGCAAATACACCTGAAGGCCCATTTCATCCTCACCTGGGAAAAGTTCCCGCATGGATATATTGGGATTGGTCCTCAGCATTCTCGATATCTCATTCTCTCTCTCCATTTGTTCCTGTCGCAGTTGTTTCTCGCGAAGCTGCTGATTTCTCGGCAGGAGCAGACTCTGCATCTTCTGCTGCTTCGCCTTCTGTCCTGAATAGGATCCACCATCAAGCATCGGGACATCATAGTCCACCATTACGTCATTATCAAGGAGTATTTGGCCAGATGAGGTATTGCGCGATGTATCTTTTCGATCAGACATATCCTGTTCCTCATCACTCGACTTCCTGCCACTGTGCCTCGTTCCAATGGCATTCTTTTCCTTCGACTGCATCCTCAGATTACCCTCCTTGTCATCAGAGGCATCTAATATGTCTACATTGCGAAAGGAAAGTAGTCGTTGGCGGTAGTTCCTGACAAATTGAGCTTGTGTCTTTCTATCCGGAGGTTTTAGAAGTAGATTTGTATAATATCGGCATAGCTTACACACCACAGCATTTGCTCCCAGAGTCACAGGGATTCCCTGCTTTCTAATCAATTGCTCTAGGCGCTTGATTTCCTGTTAAACAAAAAAACAAACGAACAAACATAATCACATCTTCAATTCATACACAATAATTCTGAGTTAACTTACATGATTAATGTAAAAAATGTGATTTCTTGGCAGTTTCCTTTTGCACAAAACGCACACCATCAGATGGCTGATGATATCATAATGCTTGTGACATATTGGCACTTGGCCCAATCCATGAGCATTCGATACATCCACATTGAGTCTAATCAGCTTGTTAATCGGCTTTCGCATTTTTGAGAACCACTTTCTGCGCAGAAGATGTGACGACGCCTCACCACAGCCAGTCACCAAACACAGTGCCGTTGATCTTGCTTCCTCGGTTTCATGTTGGATCGCATCAGCCGCGGCGTCCCCCTTGAACTCCGACGACATGAGTGCTGCTGATTGCCTCTTGTTCCTATACGATGGGCAGTTGGCACGACGATCCACATGGCGATAACATGCATCGCATAAGCAATTGTCCACGGTCAGTTTCTCCTCATCTACAGTGAAGCATAAACCAAAGCTGTAATATCTATATAAATTGAATTGATCAAATTTCTGAACTCACTGTCAAGAATCTTCTTCTGACGCTCCAAGGATTTAATTTGTGCCACATGACAAGGTGTATCGAAGAGGCCAAACTTTCCCCCACAGTAAAAACACTGGTCCTGACACAGTCGCCCAGGATGAATACTGAAAGATGATGCCTTCTCCGGAATAACCAGAGCTTTTTGCACCTCTTTCGATGGTTCAGTTGTCACACTTACATTTGCAGCCGAATCTATTGGGGTAGAAAAGTCATTTAGGATCTGTTTTCCTGAATAGAAATCTTAGCTAACTATCATTAGTCAGAGACGTATTAATTTTTTATTAATTTAAAGGTTAATCTAATAGTAATTTGTTTGATTTGTTTAGATCAAATTTTAGTATTGAAAACATAGTGTTGATTTCTAGGGAATTATTGAATTAACATGATTAAACCATCGATAAAAGAAAGGAGATAGATAAAGAACACACCACCAGTGTGAGAGCGGTAATGAGTTTTTCGACTTATCCCACCATGAACTGTGTCAGCATTTGGGCCATCGATCTGCAAAATATAATAAATAAATTATATTAGTTTTCTTTATTTTACTACATCAGTATCTTCCTGATCATATACCTCATTCTGTATAGTGTAGTAAGTATCCTCATCAGAATTGAACACATTAACTTGATCCTTGTCATTGCCGCTTGTCACAGATTTGACTCTACCCTTTTGGAATGTCATCTTAAGAGGCATTCTAGTCCTGCGTTTGTCCTGCGTCTGTGGCCGATGAAGCTTTATCACAGTCTTAAGCGTTCCTGTATATTCCTGGCCGCTTTGTACGCGACCACTCTTGCCATTCGACTGTTGGGAGCTCACCGAAGAGCCAGAAGAAGTCGATGACGCCGAGGAGAGAGAGGAGCTGTTGGCTGCACTCTTGAAAAATTCACGACGACGAGCCTTTTCAATTTTTGCCTCAACAGCAGCCTCATGAGTGAGAAGTCCAAGTGATTTCAAGTGACACTCCTTCTTCAGGCGTGTCTCAGGAGATTCCAACACAGGAGACTTGGTAGAGGTACTCATGATTTCACTGTCTCTTTCAGATTGCTGAGGAGCCTCTCCATTCGATACTACATTTTCTTTGTCGTTCACTTGAACTTCATCGTCTGCAATTTCCCTAGAATCTGTATTTTCCAGAATATTTTCAATGCTGGGTTCCGTGTCTGTTTTATCAAATTCCTCATTATCCAGGGCATCCTTAATTTCTTCAGATGTCTTATCAATATCTTTCCCTTTGTGTTTAGACTCTTCGACTTTCACTACGTTTTCAACTTCATCCTCAGTAGTTCCATTAACAATTTCTTTTGCTTCCGTATCCTCATCTTTCACCTTGTTCTCTTCTGTCTCATCTTCATCTTTGATCTCGTTCTCCTTCTTAATCGTTTCTGTGTCCTCTCCTTGCTTAATCTTCTCCTTCACCTGGACAATTTCTCGTAGTTTAGGATCCTCCTCAATGCCTAAGTTGTTCTCCAGAAAAGCTGGCTGTCCGTAAAATTGTTGGACACTTATTGGCGACACTCCCTCGCTCACTAGTTCAGGGCTGAGAGATGAAGCCTTTGCCTTCTTTACCTCGTTCTCATCCTCACACTCCTTTGCATCCTCTTCCACTGCACTAGAGTCTTTCACAACTGTCTCAACATGTAGTGGAGCACCTTTTGCACTGTTCACATCTGTGTGCTCTTCGGAGTTCATCACAGGCTCTTGTCCATCAGTCTTGTTTTCAGCCACCTTAGTTTTCGCGGCACTTCCAGTCACCTCCACTTCCTTCTCCTTTTCCTTCAACATAGTTTTCCGGGCTCGTCCACTTCGTCTCACGAGACCAGTTTGCTTCTTCTGTGTCTGAGGTGTTTCTGACTCTTCCACCACCGGCTTGATTTCGGCATTTGAATCCTCCATCTCACTGTTTTCCACTTTTGTATCTTCACCCTCGGTATCGGCCTTAGGAGTAGCATTGCTATCTCTACCCCACTCTTCAGATCCTTTGAGCATCCCAGAATCGTAGAAACTTGAGTTATCCGTAGTGTCTGAGTATTTTGACACTGAATCGGATCGCCTCCTGATCAGCTCCGAATCTGACAAGACTTCATTCTTGGCCACCTTCTCTGGCTGCTTCATTTCTGTGTCCTCTTTCGGTGGTTCCTTGTCATGTTCCGACATCATTCTCCTCCGTTTCTTTTTAACAGGCTCCACATCAGCGATTTTTGTCTTGCGACGCGTTCTGGTCGATTTTCTCACAGGAATTGTCTCTTCCTTGAGAACCCTCGTGATAGCATCAATTTTCGCCATGCTATTGCGACGCGTTACCATTTTCACTGGGAGACTGGAAATCGCCGGCATGGTCTTCCTCTTGATAATGGCTCTAGCACGAATAACTCCATCCCGCTTCACTCGCTTCCGTCGTCTGCCAGGACCCCTTCGTGTCGGTGTCGCAGACTTTCTCAATGTCATTGGACTAGAAGAGATGTTCTTCTGTGGATCTTCCTCAGCAATCTGACCGTCTTCCTCGCCATTCTCATTTCCCTCAGTCATCACTTCTTCATTCCCTTCAGTCAAATCCTTTTCCTCTGCAGGTTTTACATCCGCTGCCTTGGCTTCTGCCGCCTTTTGAGCTACTGTTGTCGCTGCCCTGCTCACACGTGGTGTTCGCGGAGTTTTCACTATCTCACTTGCCACTTCGACATTCTCCTCCGTCTTCTCCTTCTCAGGCTCCCCTTCGTCAGTCACCTGTTGCGTAGTTCCACGTGTCGCTCTCCCCCTCCCCGTAGTCGTCACAGATGCTCCACTTGATGACTTGCGCCCACTTTTTCCGCCTCCGGCAGTGGCATTTGTTGTCGGAGTTGATGGTGTAGATTCACTCCCTGTTGGTGTGGGTGATTCTGCACTCAACTTGGCTTTTCTTTCTCGCGTTGCCATGTTTCGCTGTTATTCTCATCAGTTCATACAACTTTGAGGACTGCTATAATTCGAGGATTCACATTAAAAGCACTGTCATACACCTCGTTCCTCCTTAAGGACCACTCGATTGGAACTCCTGCAAACAGAAAAAAGGTTTTGATCAGTTACATATTCATTTTTCGTTTAAAAAATGTCGACTATAATTACAATACCACTGGAATGGTATTGTTTCGAATTTCGAACATATTTAAATTTCGATGTCTCCAGAAGTAAGCGGAAAATAAATTAAACCAACAAAAATTTATGCAAAAATATTCCATCAATAAGCTCTTTAGCATTTTTTACTCTATTTGTCGCAAATGTTAAGCAAAGAATAGATTAAAGAAAATTCTTTTTGCTACAAAAAGTGCTGATGCTATTTTCAAATTTCCCTTCTCAGTCCTGTTTTCAATCACACAAATTTTTAATAAGTCAATTTAGAGATTTTAAACTAAAATTGTTGGAATGACAAACAAAAACTTCCTATACGGTGCTTGTCGATAAGAGAATAAGACTTTTCATCCAGGGGATAATTAAAAATGTTGCATGTAGCGCATTCGGTGAAAATTTTAATACTACCAACTACATTGCTGGGTGTGAAAGAGGCGAAATGAATATTTATGAATTGACTGCCGCCTTTTGTTACACTTGCGCGTATTAAGCCAACTCCACAAGAGACGACGGAACAATTTAGCCATCATCGGCAGAGGCAATTGTACCAGAGCCCATGGTAGCACCGCGTAGAAAAGAGTGATGCTCGTGTATCAGATAGCCCCCTAACTTTTACACTACATGCCGATTGTGATATTGGCGAAGAGTGCTGAAGGCACAAAGCAGTCCAAACAAAAAAGCCGCCTCTCCTTCACGTTCCATCTGTATTTGTGGGATACTCCACGATATTTGCAACGATTCTCTCTCCTCTCTAGCATATCTGTTACTACATATGCTTTAACGCTGTGTGTGCAAAAATGTACTCAATCGTTTGGCTCAAGCCAACGAAAATAGAGCTCTCCGTTACTGTGAAAACTACTTTAATACACCTTCCAACCTTATTGAATGCTTTAGCTTTTATTTTCTCACTCACTTTACTCTGCATTTGCGCTCTACCGTAGCTTCCGACACTCCAATTGTAGAGATTTGCACCGCATTGAGAAAACGAACAACAAAGAGGAGAGATTTTCACGCGAAATTCCACTGGAAGAAAGGAATGTTTCTCTGGAAACGAACGTCCTCGCATGAAATTCTCTTGCAATACCGACAATATACAAGAAAATTAGTGAAAACTGTAGAGAAAATGCAAACTAAATCACTGTAAACTAACAATTGTGCCATTTCGAAGCTTGGCTTTCACAAAAATCCACGCGTTGAACACAATGAAAGAAGCAACAGTGGTGTTCATCAAGAATGCACAAGGCAGAGTGAGAGGAAAAATTGTCAAAGAGCAGATAAAGAAATCGCATGTGTACATATGTATGCAATTTATCATGATGCTTCACAAGAGGGAGGCGAGAAAATCTGGAGGGATTTACAATGTACAGTTTGCTCTTTGAACCCGACCAACGCGACTTTTTCATAGGGGTGGATGTCTCATGTTGAAATTATACCCAATACTAGTGCACCCTCTAAATGACGGAAAACGGAATTAATTTGAAAATTAAGAGAAAGTATATTTGTAGCGCAAGAAAATTAAAATATTTTGCCTACTTAGTACCTATTAAAATAAAGACTTGTTGTTTAAACAATTTATAGAATACTTTTTAATTCTTGATCTAGTGAAATATATAATTTCACTCGATTTGAAATGTTTGGTACAAAAAAAAATAAAGTTAAGAAATTTATATGATATTAACAGCATATAAATGCATGCATACAACATACAGCATACACACCAATTCATTGATTATTTCATACTCTCTTAATAATATGTATAATCGGCACAAACTAAACAAAAATTATTCGCTTCCCCTGATTATTATGTACATACTTAGAACGGTTGACAAATTTTCAACGGCATGAAAGGGGTGAAAAACTCCACCATTTGCACTGTAAATTATCGTATAAATACACGAGAAAGAACATGTAATGGAGTATGAGCAATTGAGAACGAGGACAAGCACGGCCTCAAAATCAAAAAATTATAATACAGTTCAAAAGCTTTTTCAAAGCTTCAGCCGATATACGTAACACCGATAGAGAGAATTAAGAGAGCGTACGTGGAAACTCTTTCAACCCCAATAAAACTTCCTATTAATAATGGAGCAAAGTTCGATTTTTCAATACTTTCCTCGCAACTGTCATTCACATCAACACTTTTTCAGTGAAAATATGTATATGCTTCGTTTTCTCAAGGTTTGAGAACTGGAGAGCTTTTGAATGGCAAAATACAGCTCAACAGAGTTAAAAGTGTGAAATAAGAACACAAATACATGTAGCCCGAGAGACTTTAAATCTACTTAAAGTTAATTTTTACAAATAATGTAAAGAGGAATAGAAAGAAATACATAATATTTAAATGTCTTGAACGAAAATTGATTTATATCTCAATATTGCTTGTAATAAAACTATGTACACTGTTTTATTCTACTACAATGCCCACGAAGTGACGAACGCAAAAGCTCTTCACTTTCGCGACATTCATGGTCGCTATTTTTTAACATGTGAAGAGCAAATATACATAACAATGTTGGTGAAAGAGAGAGAAAATTTGTCGCTGTGATGCCGTTTTTAGTTATTTTTGAAAATAACCCATACTCTCCACACAGAAGTGTTATAAATTCATACATACATATATCATTTTATTTCCTTTGTTCGTCTTTTCCTATTGCAATTCAGCTATTTATGCTTTAGATTTTTCCTCGCATATATATTAGGAAATGTTTTCCTCATCATTATTTCTTGTATATACTTATTGTAGCGTTATTATGAATAGTTTGACACCAACTTTGTTTATTAAAGCCAAGAATAAATAGAATAATCTTGTGCACAGAAGGTCCTTAAATAATAGGTAAAAATATTGATTTACGGAAAAACACAACAGAAAATTCCTAAGTACATTTAAAACACTATGTCTCGTAAATAAACTTAATACCACCGTTTTATTAAACAATGACGTAAGAAAAGGTTTGGAACTGGACACACAATTGCATGTATTAAGCTGTATTTGCATTCAATTTATGGCAGTACGTTCTTCGAGAATCGTATTTAATGACTATTAAAACATATTAACATTCATGTTTGATAAAATTACAGAAAAAAGTGAATAAAAGCCTTTGCTTGCAAACTCCTTATTTTTAGATACATTTCATACACAAAAATTCAACCACAGAACAGTTCCGTTTTCGTGAACGTTCTATTTAATTTTCCTTTTATTCCTACCCTGAGTCAGGTAATACAGGTAATTTTATTAAATTGTCAAATTAATACACACATAGTGTGACACATAAGAATAATTTTTTCATACCTTCTCAGAGTATTTCTCCAAGTTGAATACTCTAACACAAACTAGTTTTACGTGTACTTTTAATGCCAAATAAAGTATTCACAAAACAACATTTTTCCTATTTATTTCTTGCTCAATGATAAACAAATACAAATCGCCAAAGAATGTAATGTAAGCCAACACCGCCATATATAATTTGTCAATACCACAAACAGTATATTGTAATCACAGGCCGATAGCGAGGGGGTTGAAAGCTCTATCTGTCAAATAAGTGTAAATTCTGCTGGCGAGCACCGATTTCTTTCGTTTCAAAGGGTCAAAAGCTAGAGACACCAAGAAAGTTCTACAAGAATTACACATTTTTCCAATACTCAGCAATATTATCTTTCATTATATGAAGTGCGATGAAGTCTCATTTTGTTAGCTTGCGCTTCGCTGCCTTCTCATAATAATCATACTTTTATAATGCTGTCATATATCATTTTTACTATGCAATGTATGAACATAACTTGAGAGCATAAACATGTATAAATGTATATATCACACTTTATAAAATTTGTAATATGTAATATCACAACATCGACAATTTTAAATTTTCCAGTAAACCTCTTTTCGTAAATAATAATTTTCTACCCTCAACCATTTGTTCATAATAATACATTACATATAATATAAGTGAAAGAAGTGCCTATCATGCTTTTTGATGTTTATATTACATTCTCTAGAGAGCCCTAGAATTCTTTTGGCATGAACCGACGCACAAAACATTTATTGCCTAATAATATCAATTTAAAATCAATTATGGAGAAGTCAATCAATTAAAAATAAACTTTTGCCGTCTACAGATGGCATTGTCTTAATGGAATTTTATAATACTTCATCAATTCCTAGCAAAAAGGGACACTGCGAACTTTCACAGCTCCAACTTAAATACCTATCGAGCTTTCAAAAAGCGTTGCGTAATCCTAATGTGGATCATAACGTTTGATGAATTTATTTTTAGCTCTCTTCTCAATTACCTTGACATGAAACTATAATAAAAGTGGGCGCTTGATAAACTCCAAACTTTTCAATTTGAACAGAGAATAACCAGAATAACCATCAAAATTCTGAGTGGGAGATGAAAGCTCCAGAAAAACCTTCACTATATTTAACATTTTTCCTTAAATTAATTTTCCAGCCCAGAAATAATTGGTATAAAAATTTGATGAAAGGTGAGCACAGCCCACATTGTAGAAATAGAGGGTATTGTGTCGGGTCAACCGCAGGTAAGTTTTCCCATATCTTGCTCTTGGGGGCTCCTCATGCACTCTCATTCTCTGTGCATCACTCATCGCCTCAACAGTATCCCTTATGCCTGTGTATGTGCCCTGCCGCGCTGTGCGATGGAAGAAGACCACCGAGAGTGAGATAGACTTCGACAGGGGCGACAGAATTAGTATGAGTCTCTGGCATTTGCAAAATGGTATTTGGACTTCTCAGAGACGCCAGCCAGATTCAGAAGATGTGGAGAAAAGCTTGACTGCTCACCCTCAATTCCGTTTATGTTGAGATGCAAGAGTGAAATGAAATCCGCCTCTGCGCACACACGGAAAATCCCCTTGGAAACAGTTGGGGGATGAAAAGAGACTACAACAATTTCGCTGTGTAGCTTTTCTTGTGTAGGGTCACGGAGGCTCCCTACTTGGCATGCACCCTCTCACCCGAGGGTTGCAACCCCATGCCAGAACTTGATTAAAAAATAATACCACCCCCAACGACTGTGTAATCCTCTCGGCGTATTTATCAAATGAACAATAGAGGCCGAAAAATGGGTGTAAATACTCACGATAAGTGCCCGAAATAAGCGATCTCGTCGGGCCCGAGAGGCGTGAAACAATGGAAAAATTTTCACAGCAATGAAAAAGCTCAGCAATTGAGAAAAAAATTCCACAAGAGCGCCAGTGAAAGACGGTGGAGAGCGAAGGAAAAAAATACCATGTTGCTGCCGCGCGATGTTGAGAGAAAAGCCTCCTCGGAATACCCATTATTTTCCCAACCAAGCGCTCTCTTCTCAGGCCGAAAAGGCCGTGCCAGTGTATAGCAGTGACTACACAATTTGATGACGCACCACAAATGTGCGGGATGAAAATCTCAAGCAAGGCATCGCACCTCTCCTTTGGCCGTTCAACACACTCGAAAAAGAGCTACGCCATAATCACAAAATCCCACCAACCACATACGAGAATTATGTACATTTTATGATAAAATACTAAATGAAAAAAAAACCTACCGTCAACAACGCCACCTATTCACTGCGTCGTCGCCCGTAAAAAGCACTCTCCGCTACCATTTCCCGTCTGTCAAAAGGGGTTTATTTTTTCCTCAATTTTCCCTCAAATCCCAATGAATTCCGCATAAAAGACACATGAAAGGTGTTTGGGGCACTTAGCACTGCGATGTTCACGCGAAAAACCAGCAAAAATGGGATATTTTGTGGGGTAAATGATGAAATGAAAATACACTTAATATTGTACTTTATGCACAAGTCCACAAGTGATTCTCTTCTCTTTTCCTTCGTTTTCGAAACAGCAGCACAGCCAGCGACTATATACCCATACAGTCAAATGCACTAAACACCAACACAACTCGGAGGTTTGTCCAGGGTCGATTTGTGCTTTTAGACATCATAACGTCACAATTTCACTCATTTCCTGGCTTCCATACTCATTTTCTCATTCAGTATCACTCAATTTCTGAAAATTCCATTTCTTGCAGGTCAAAAGGTACCGAAGGCATATGAATTGTAATAAAATCTAAATAAAACCTTATTTGTAGAAAATTTTTATCAAATTATTGAATTTTTTCACTACATTCCCAATATTTGGCTCCAAATAATCCATCTGAAATCATATTATTATTCATTTTACAGCAAATGAACGAATACTATCACGCGACAGATGCGAAAGTAACGAATCATCCCCTATTTTTGCACCCCTCGCGCAACTGATGCACTAATCGCCTAAGTACCTCCCTGCATTTTGCCAACTTTTCCTATCTATGTTACTGTCGGAACTCGCTGTTGATGTGCTTCGCAAGCAGCAATATTGCAACTAACTATTTTATAGTCCCATCACACAATTAAGTATTTTTAATAATGTTATTTAAATTGGAAGAATAATTAACATCAGAGAAACATTGTAAGCCATGACTGTGCCACATTTTGAAGCATATTTGAGAAGAATAAGACCTATTTAACATTGCTGAGAGAGCGGTTAATATATTCACGTCTTATCAACACAAAATACCGCTATAGAAAATACACGATATAAACAAAATAGATATGTATATATCATACAGATGAATATTAATGACTTGTGATAATGTCGATTTATTATTATTAAAGTTGAAAAAGTAATAGGTACTACTTTTCTGCTGATGAAGACTTCTGCGTTAATAATCTTTCACAAAAATGTGCATCATCTTAAACCATTGGGTGATTAATTATGTAACCAAAAATTAATTTCCCCTATATTTTAATAGCGTAAAACATCTGCGGATTTGAAGAAATGTACGAAACTCATAAGAGAAAAGACATGGATTGCACAATTTAAGTACAACAGCAGAATTATTGATTGTACAATAATACTTGTCAGAACGGAAGTCCAATGTAAAATCTGTTTCCCTGATGTTTTGAATAACATATGTATGTATGTGCTTAGTTAAAACTAAGTTTAAATTTATCGAACTGTTGGCTCGTTACACCAATATAAATATTGATACAACGATTTTTTACATATTTGAACACATATGAAGATTAGAGACAGATTTTTAATAATTAAAGTTTAATTGATTTCATTGTAATGAAGTTAATGTGTTAAAAGTTTTACACAATAAGTAGTTGTATCTCTCGTTATACAATATTAATTAGAAGGATATGCAGATACTGTATTTACATTATGAATTTAAAATAGCTTAGTACTGATTCTTTTAAATCACCATAATAATAAGTCAAGTCAATCCTAATCAAGGTTATAAAGGACGAAATCATTAGACCTCATTGTATGTATGAGGAGATTCTTATAATCCAATATTTATTCAAGAATGTTGAATTTTTCCGCGAGTGATTAATGAAGCAATAAATTTACTCCACATCTAAATCTCTCTTATAACTCCAACTAAACTACTTCCAACTATCTTCTTAAAAATTATTGTAATGAACTATCTCGCTCTCCATTACAAATTGAATTATAATTATACACCCCCATATGATATCGCCCTTCCATTTTTCCTTATAAACAATAAAGGAAAGGATAAACACAGCGATTTTGGAGCTGATTAAATAAAAACCGTTCAATTCCGTTCAGATACTCAAAATAAGATATCAATACAAATGAAATGATCATCCCTTGCGAAAAGTTCATAATTCCAAGTCTCGAGCTTTCAGCCAAGTCACATTGCCTTGGTCTTCTCTCATATCTTTCTCACACCGTGTCGGGTAAGGAATGTGTTGGTGAGACTCCACTCTGTCATTTCAGGCAGTATCAAAAATGGCGAATATTGTGTGCTTCAGTAGACTCAGAATTTCACCTGCATTTTCCTCGATATGGAAAAGCTTTGGAGGTGCAGAAGTGGTGTCAAGTCATCTCCAGCGCCACGAGGTAAGTGTTTGGGGTGAAAAATCTATCCAACAGGGAGTAGTTCGATGGGAAACTTGGCAAAAAGGGAGCAAGTGACATCTGGGTAGTGAAACCCACGGAGGGGTTCCGAGAATTTCGATAGAACTGACTACGCCAAGTGTCAAAGAGCAGTGGAAAAGGTGAAAATTGAGCACTGCGTGTGACCGCGGAAGAGTTTTCTACCCTTGTGTGGGATTGTTGAATGGCAATTGAATGTACTTACGCTATTGCTGTTGATTCGTGGGTCCCGTGGTGGTCGAAATATCCCAGGAATCGCCGCGACGACACAAAATAATTTCACTTTGTATACCGGATGCAGTTGTATGGCGGTGTGAGTATTTTCGCGTCACCCATACTACCTACTGGCACCCCGTGATTGGCTCATTCCTTGAAGTTTCCCTTTCCACTGCATTTGTCTATTGAACGCAATTTCCGCTCTTGCAGATGATTGGCCAGCGCGCCGGAAGTCAAGTGCGCCATTCGAGTTTCAGATCGTCGCCAGAGTTCGGCCAACTTGACGATCATCCACGGGTGGAAATTGCACAGAACCCACCCGAATGGAAATTTGTGGAGCGCTTGCTAAGTCCCGTGGCTGTGCCCGTGCCCAAAATTCACTCCACTTACCCCTCTGGTTGGCGTCCGCAGCAACCAGATGCCACAAAGAGGGAGTACTTTGTGGCTCGCACGAGAAATCACATGCTACCCGTCTATATGATTGAAAAGTTTCGCGGCACTAAGAAGATTACAATAGTGAAGAATATCGAGGGTGATATCTGGAAGCTAGAGCAGGAACTGAGGAGCGTTGTGGAGCAGGCGATGCGTAAGAAAATCTTTTCGCACGTCAATGAAATGAGCGGAAAAATCAAATTCACAGGAGCATTTGTTAATCTTATTAAGAATCACTTAGTGGAAAAAGGATACTGAAGTAGTAAATTTTCCTTTTTGTAGAAAATTTGCGTTTTTGCAAAGAATAAAAAGGGAATTTATATGAAAATAATGTGTTTTCTTTAAAAAAATAAATTATTTTTGAGAAAAGATCGGCGTCTCCACTGCCTTGGAAAGTTCATCTCATAGCATCATGGAATCCCAGTGCTTATTAAAATGAAATTTTTTTTTGATAATCTTATATATATGAGATTCGAAATCAAAACACTAATAGAAGAAAACAATGCAAACAATTATATAAGGCAGGTATAATTTTGAAATACAATAAAATATATACCAATCTCAAATTCTGGTTCGAATTAATAAAACCTTTATTCTGAATATTCAGAAGTCGAAATCACGATCTCATAATCATCTACAATGTAGGTCTGACTTCTTTTAATTCCGTTTTTCAAAATATACTACATATTCATGTCATTTATGTACTTTAAGATATATTTAGAGCATTGAAAAAAGAAATCCTGCGTTGCATCATGGAAATACGCACTACTCATTATCATTCTTAATTATTCATTTTTTTCATAAATAAACCACCATTATTATTTCACAAGAGTTTTTTTTTCCTTATAAAACCATAGTGATTTGCATTCTTTATTCTTCAGACTTCAGCTAACATTCCATGAAGCAAACACTCAAAATTTATCACCAAAATTCTTAGAATTTCAATTTCACCACCCAGAAAGTTCAATACAAATCTGCGCTCGTCTAATGTAGTTTCAATTGAGCAAAGTTTTCATAGATTAAAAAGTCGTGGTTCTTTTTTATTCATCAATTTGTGTATTTCATTTTTACACTAGAAAAGTAGATTTCTTTTTACAGTGATTTGCAGTAATGCTCGAATATATCAAGGTTTTCCGAGAGAAGTATCAAGTGGCAGCCGCGGAGGACCTCTTAAGTGCTTTCCGGATGGCAGTCCAGTCCTCCATTATGTCTTCGTCCGTTAGCATATACACAATGTAAGGTCCAGACACAGTAATAGCTTTCTTCCGCCCAGGACCTCGCACCTTGCTTGTCCTCTGACTCGTGCCCCAGTCCCCCCAGGATATATCAACATTATGCCTATCTTCCTCAAGTCTCCGGATCTTCTCCATCAGCTCTTCATAGATTGCGTCCATAGCCAAGTGTTTCTCGCTCTAGAGAAGAATAAAAAAAAAACAAATGTTTATTCTAAATTTACCACATATTCTGAAACCAAGATATTGTTACTTCATAATGTTGCCTCGCAGCCTGTTCCTCGGACGAAAACTTATTTTTGATGTTCTCAAGGCGGTACTGCTTCAGAATTCCTGCCACTTCTGTTCGGATCCTCATGTTCTCGTTCAGTCTCTGCAACGGCAACAAGTACTCCTGAGAACGACCACCTCGCAACTCAGACAGCTGCATGTCCACCTGTTGGATCTTCTCACGATAAAGCTGATCACGCAAGATACTGAACTGGCGCTCGAGATTGGCTGGAAGATGCACCAGGATTAGAGACATTCTTCACCTGACAGATCCAAAGAATACTCACTCAGATTGTCCATGCAATCTGCTCGCCGACGCTCGCACTCGCTCTCATCCATCTCCGAGGAGTCATCAGAGTCCGGTTCATCAGCCTCCTCAGCACTGGAGTCCCTGTCCGGGATGCGGCTCGAGCCAGAATGCTCAGACTCCGCTCCAGACATATCTCCATCGCCGTCGCTTTCCCCGTCATTCTTTATCGAAGGCATCTTCACCATTTGCACCACTGACACTTCACACAACTCCTGGTTATCTCCAAATAGTGACCACTTCCGCAGAATCACAAGGAAAGGCGATTTTCTCTGAGCTCCCTCACCTACCACACGCAACCAAAACAAAAGTGACAAGACGCCGAATCAGCGCCACCACAGAGCATCGATGGCGAGCTTTGGAACTATCGTCGAACACCGCCGAACACAAGGAAAAGTCGATGAGCAAGTTAGCAATGAAAAATGTTTTCTTTTAATTCTCCTTCCTTTTATCATGATGATAAAATTATAATATTCACTAGTAAGATTGTAAAAACGTATGTATGTAAAATACTAGAGTTAATACTACAGATCTGAAAAAAATTAGACAATATAAAGGAATGTGACTCGCAATGGAATGAATGGAATGTATAAGTGGTGAAAATGTACCGTTCCTATGGTTTTAATGTCTAAAAATTCATTTAAGTAAATTTCAGGTCAATAATAGATTGACGCATCTCCCAAGGAGCACATAAAAGCCACAAAAAATTTTGATAACAGAAAAGACTATAAGAAATACAGAAAATACATATAAATACACAGAGAATAATTTAGTAAAAGCTTCCAAATACTTTAGTCAAATGACAGCGCAATATTTTTTTTTCATTTCCTCTCTAAGTATATAAAAATCTAAAATTTCTACATTCGGCATTTTACAAGATACGCGTTTAAATTATAAATAATATCATACTTATATGATTTCTCATCATAATTTCTCAATTTATGAATATATATATTTAGAATCTAATAAAACTTTTTGTATTCTCCTTATCGACTAGAGTGAGTTAATTCATCATCTAATTGTTAATTGCTGCAACTATTTTTTTTGTCTGGTATTAGCTTTTTCTTCCGTGTTTTCTTAGTATATCTTTAATATGGTCAAAACTATCATAGACTGCTCAATTATGTTATCTTGGTCATCTCAATACTTTTACTTTGTCCTACATTTAATATTGAAATGTTGATTTCGCATCTCTCTCAATGGCTTCAAGATTTTTCTCTCTTTTCCTCTCTTACTGTCTCTCTCTCTCTCTCTCTCTCTCGATTTAAAATTGAAAAAAGCGAATGAAGTGAGTGAAAATATTTACAATATGTTTTCTATACATCACTGAAAATTTCTCTCCCATGCGTTGATGTATTTGGTTGATGATAATGCAATTCAACTCTTCTCACTCCGTTTTGATTAATTGCAATGAGTACAGAGAGTGTGTGTTTCGCGTTTGTATTATATAGCACCTAAAAGTGGGTCATGAGAGTATAAATAAATTATAAAAATAAGGGAGAAAATTGCACAGCGTTGGCGAAATGTCTCAGGTGAAAGTAAATCTCTAGGGTTGGAGAGAAGAGAATGGGCGTTCACTTGGGCTTCGACGTCCCAGCATTTTTCATGGAATACAACAATGGGTAAAGCTGACGTGGAAATATATACATATATGTATCTGATTTATGTCGCATTGCCATTATGCAAATACCAGTGAGCTAAACAAATAAATTAATTGAATGTATAGTATTCCCGGTGCGTTTCACTCTACATTGAAACTACGCCGTTTTATTAATTGAGTTCTCTCTCTGGCTATTGTTTAACTTGAAGCTTTGTCTTGCTTATGGTGTAATTTCAAGTGATTTTAATTATATATCTAAGGGATTGATTCCATATGAACTCATAATAATTGATTAAAATCTTCGTCGCATGTTTTATTGGCTGTAGCTTGCCTAATTAATTTAGCATGGCTAAGCCAGATTCTTGGACTGTGAGGAATTTGTAGAAAATATGAATATGTTTAATAGATGGAATACAGTTTGCTCACACAGTTATGAAGCAAACCGCATATTCTATTAATGAAATGCAATTTTGTTTCAGTCATCAATGTGAAGATTTTTTCTGACAACTTAAGAGATTATTTTGAATATGTTTTGCTTCTTTTTTTTAAGGAGATACTATTTAAGCTACATTATATATATATATTGCGGAATTTTAACAATTTAGTTAAACTTTTATAAAAGAATATGAATCTCCGTGAAATTTATACGAACACGATATCTAAAAAGGCCTTTAAGTGTTTAAAAATATTCTATTGTTGTATTAATAGATTTCACGTTCATTCAACTATTATTTTAATTGAGAAATAAACTAAAACTAAAAAGGAATTGTTATGATTAAGGGTGTATTGAAAGGCACCTAATTCCCTAAATTTAATGGCAAACCCCTAAGCTTTACCAAGTCGATTCCATGTAAAATGCAAACACGCATTCTCAGGTGGGAGTCTAATGCGAGAAGAGGTTGTAAACATTTTGAATTACACTTGAATGGGATAAAAAGGTGATGAGTAGTGAATGGATCTGGGGGAGAATCAGTATTTCAGTTGAGCCGATTTAGCTCTCCGTCTCGGTGCCGAAGCCTGACTTTGTCGCCACTGCTAGGATGCCGAGTCGCTCATGTTGTAGCGCCTCAACTGCCGCCTCGTGGCCTGCAGAGGTACCGTGCCGTCCATGGATTGACCCTGCGACGGCATATCCAGAGCAATCTCCGGACTAAAGCGGACTCTGCTCTGCGACGAGACGGATGACGAGCCGCCATCCTTGGCACTCAAATAGGAGCTATCATCGCTCGTGAGACTGTCCGGTGGCGTGGGATTCGTTGGTGTTCCTGCACCCGATCCGCCCACCTTCTGGCCCGTCGAACCATATTTCTTCAAGCTCGACCGAAGTTTCGTCTGACTGCCATGCTCAAAGCCCAGACTATTCGGACGTGTGACAGAGATCTCAGGCGATGGAATGGCGATATTCTGAGGATGCCTCACGGCATACGATGGCACATTCTCATACTCCCGTCCACGACTGTGATTAGACGTCGTCGCAGACACGGATAAATTGCTCAAATTGTACAGTGATGCGATCTCGTCGTTTTCCAGACGAAAGCCAGGATTCACGTTACTCGAAGAGGCAGAAGAGACATTTGACAGAGTCCTCCGATGCCCAGCAGCCGATATTCCCATTTGTGGCACTCTTGGCGCTCTTGCAGCTTCATAAGCGAAGTCATGATACGACGCCGAATCGTAGATGGGCATATCAGAATATCCATACGTGGCAGGCTTGTAATCTCTCTCATACGCCAAATTTACTTCCGGTCGATATGGAGAGTAGTTGGAACCAAAGTACGCACTCCCCTCGCCAGGAAAATTTACCTGTGACGTGGGATAGTAATCGCCGGGAACGTATATGGGAGCTCTATTGTCTCTCTCCTCTTGCAATTCTGTACACTCTGTGAATGACGATGTGCTGCACTTTCTCCTGGGTGATGGAGTTGGTGGCACTGTACTTCCACTGATTGACGAACTCAATCCTGAGGTGTTTGTCGTATAATTTGAACCCAATCCGCTGGTTGTGGACATTGTTGAACCCAAGTAATGTTGTGAATTGTCCGTAAATCTCATTGGTTTGTCATCTGGCATACCAAATGTGGAGAGATTTGGTCTGTATAAACAAGAAAAAAAAATGTATTGATAAGCAATTTCTCTCATTAAATCTTTAATTTCAAATCTCTGACTCTTTGACTCACCTCGAATGTCTCGCTGGTCCGTGGTATGTATTGTGTGCATATCCTCGATCGGCAGAGATGAATTCACTCTCAGTGGGACACTGTAGCTCCTCCTGATCACTCGAAATCAGTTGCTGTTGTAGCTTCGGATGTAATGGAGACACATTAGACATCCTCACATCGTATCCCGCTGCCACTCCAGCCAACATCGAAGCCATATTGTACATCATGACCTCAACAATACTCAGCTTGGTCTTTCTTGCGCCCTCTGTGGTAGTATACAGCGTCGGCATAGGGATGCCCAGTCGAGCATGGTGGATGGGACTATCGGAGCGTCCCACCCATTCGTCTTGGCCGAAATCTGAGGAGAAATGTATTAATCTTACCAGAGAGATTGGGCTCAACGCAGGCATCACGTCTAAAGCAATCCCTCATTTTACACTTCTCCACACTCTCTCTCAGCTACCAAACATTGAACCCACCACTTTTGCCGACACCAATCTTGCAGATTCTATTACCTACTAAAAGTAAACGAAAAGCGATAAAAAGCTCGCGAGAAATAAGTATTGAACAAACACCGCAACCCAGTTATAGTTGTTTATATATGAAATTAAAAGAATTTATTTGCCAAATTACATAAAAAACAATTTACAAAAAAAAGAATTAAAAATACAGCACAAATTTTCACATCTACGGCATTAGAACAGAAAAAAAATTAGGAAAAAGACAATTAAGAAAGGTACAATATTCAGCATTGCCAAAAAATATACAATGTAAAAAGATTTTCCTTGGAGGAAACATCATCATTGCAAATCCATCACCAAAAAATATTATCCTGTAACATTCTTTTGTTGGCTCCTTATTAGAACATATAACTCATCATATCAGTTTTCAATAGTAATGGCTTATTAGGAACTTAAAATTTTCATAAAGCAATTTTCCGTATTAGTGCTCGTTATTCATTGAGTAATATTGCATTTTCATCTAAATAAATAAGGAATTATTAAATAAGAAATTACATTGCTATTTTAGTGGGAATTCTCTTTAATATGGCGTGAAAAAGAAGTAAAAACCGTCCACCAAATTTATATACAAAGTTGTACCAACACTGTAAAGAATCAATATGAAAATTTTAAGTTGATAATTCCATATGAAAATTCCATTGTGCCTATACAGTGGGTCTCAAAAGTATTCTAACTGATAATAGGTCACCTTTTTTTTCATGATTACAAGTACCGATACCGTAGAAAGCCACTGTCTTATACAATTATTCACAATTTCAAATAATAGTACAAAAAACAATTTGGACTTAAATTAATACAGATAACTTATGCATGGTAGAAGTTTGATAAATGAAATATGTACCTTTTTTGTCCACTTGGGAACAACATACAAAAAATTCAATACAATTCTACAAAAGCTTAGCTTTTTTCTCCATCTCTACACAATTCATGCAGCAAATTAAGAGTAATTCAAAAAAGAAATAATTATCTAAATAAATTAAATGAAAGAAAATTTATTGTGCTTCACATCTTATTTTATAAGTAAAGAAAGAAAACTGAAATTTCTATATCAACAGGAATATTTCTAAAAAAAAATTAACACTAATATATAATGTTTATTCATTATCAATATAAAATAAATCCGAAAATAATATTCTTAACACAATTACAAAATTGCAAAGGATTGGAAAATTTAATTATTTCCTCTATTCATACGTTCTTTTATTAAATAAAATCTTAAAAGAAACAAACAAACGTTAAATCTTAGTATCTAATAATTCTCTTTTTATTAAGATTCTATTGAAGTTACTTCTCAACTTCTTCAGCTGGCATCCTACTTGGTAGTTTTTCAATTTTATCCTAATTCTAAACTCTTTTTATTGGAATTAAATGATTTTATCCCTTATTCTTCACTATGAGTGGTATGATTTGAGACACGGTAAACCTTGCTACAAATCATCCCGTCCAAAGTACCTGCACTATTCAATTACTTATCATTCTGACGTGCAATCACGAAATTTGGGGTGTAAACCGTATCATACGTAGATTCCGTGCTACTCTCCGTTAAGAGCCTCTCGCTCATTTCACCCTTGCCACTATTTGATGACCCATCGAACTTCTTCTTCTGTTTAGATGGCTTAGCCAATTGAATGAAGCGTTTAAGATACACTGAGGATTTACTCTTTGAGCCTGTCGATTTCCCTTGTTTCAAATCACCCGACCCATAAGAACCCTTGTCGGACGTCAGAGTGGTGATCTTCTCAAATTTCCTTGGTGACACTTCACTCCTCAGTGGAGGATACATTGTTACTAATCGCGTTTCTCTGGACATCTCATCGCTGTGATAAGATGGAAGACTGTACGATGACGTTTCTGATGAATCGTGATTTGTTACTTCAACATCCCGACGAAACGTTACAGAACTCTTTCGGGAAGGTGTGGAGGTGTCCGTTGAAGAGTGATCACTACAGAAAGAATTGGTTCGTTCCTCCCCAAACGATCGCTCATTACCCACATTGGCAGCGAAAAAAGGAAACTGATTACTTTCGCGATCCGCGCGATCAGACTCCATTTCTGTGAGGTCAATCGATTTGGATGTTGGCTTTTGAGTGAAGAAACACTCACGGGGAAATTGTGAATCCGATCCATATCGCTGGAAACGATTATTGTACACACTCTCCTCCTCCTCGCCATATACCGACAGATCTCCACTCGATCGAGAACCCACCCTCTGCTCCCTACCGTAACCCCTATCCGCCGACTGAGCACCAAAATCACCACAATCGCGCACAAATAACTCATCCAAACTCTTCTGAATCGTCCGATAAAACACCCTGTCATAAGGCACATCATCAACATTACCCTTAACACTCCCATCTGGCATTTTGCTATCCAAACTGTACTTCTTATGATTGATCACGTGCGACGAGGAGGTGCTGTTGCCACGTGAATAGCTCTCATCGCTGCGTATGAATCCAAAGCACCCCGTCTTGGAGAATTCATTATCCTCATCGTCCTCATTCATCTCATAACTATCATTTAGCACATGGCCATCTTCTCTCCTCGGTCTACTATACTTTCTACAACTAAGTGTATTTAAACCTTCATGACTTTTACCTAAGATATCATTCCGCGATGGGGTCTGTGCAACTGCCAGCGTGGTCATCGCCGTACGGGATTTATCCAAATTCGGGGCACTCTTACTGAACTGTGCCGGTGTCCACGCCGTGGGACGGAGGGCTGGCAAATGGCCTCGTTCACGCTGATGGAGGGTCGATGGACCCCATGTTTTTCCTTTGATCACATCAGCTGGGTCTTTAAAAGTATATAACACGAACAACATTAATCCCCAAGTATTCCTTATCTTATATCCTCCTTCTCCTCCTCCTCTTCCTCCTTAACTTCAACTTCCTCTCTTTCTCTTATTCACCGATGACGATGAAACATCGACACGTATTCTGGATGAATTTACGGCATTCGAAATATTATACTCTTCTTACAATGTTCTCTTGTTTGTCTGTAGAATTCCTATGTGGAACTTTTTACCCACCTTCCCCATTCCTTTTCGATGCACTTGCGCAACGGAAAAGTTTCCTCATTTATCATTCTGTGGACATAACTTGTAAACAAAAATTAAACATACCATTCTTATTCTTTGAGGAAATTTGGAGCATACTTTCTTGTCCAAAGATTGCAACCAGTTTTGTTTGTAAGTGAAATATAATTGCTATTTGTACACAAGTATATATACACATATACACTTTGTATATTTACCAACTAAAATCTTCTCCAATAACAACTTTTTTTTTATATATTTGCACAATATGACACTTGATAGCAGCAAATGTGGGAAATTCCCTAAACTTTGGCTGATATGTATGTATGTTATTCGTATCTGCACTTTCCAAGAAATAATTACAGTGCAACACCGGAAGAACTTTTCGCCAATTTGTGTTGAAAATTGCACAGAATCTTTCCAAACAACCCTCTTCCTCCCAATCGATGTGATGGATAACTTGGCACAATTACTAAAGTTGAAAACTCAAACTTTTGTGTTTACTGGCTCTAACGTCTGTAGCCTTTTGAATAATTAACAGAAAATTTAAAGGGATTTCGCTCTAGCACTATCGACTATAATCATGAATCCAACTTACTATCTTACTACTTATAAGATGAAAAAATGTTAAATAAATCATATAAGAGAACATATGTAAGACGTATAACGTATTATATAAAATAAATTTGTGATAAAAATAGACCAAACAAAAAGTTGCAATAAAAGCTTTTATAGTGAAATTGTGGAAATCCAAAACACGTGTGTGATAAAATGATGCGAAAAAGAATGAAACATAATTTATTTTATTTAAAAAAAAAGAATCACTCTCATCCACAGCAATCATGCAAAATCTTTCACACACACACAAGCTTTATTGGAATCTTCACTTTGATGCCTCCGATGTGAAATATCTTAGTTTCGCCTGATTAATATTCTAAGCTTTCTCTCAGTTGCGAAATTCCCAAAACATTCTTTCGAGAAATTTCTTATTATTCTACAAAATATGTCACTACAAATTGATATGTCAACTGAAGTATTTGAAATACATATTTCTTTGAATTCAATAAATACGGAAAAGATTTTTGAGGAAACTGACTGGTGAGGCGAAATGGCTCTTCGAGAATGCACTACTTTTTTGGAAATTTCAAAGTTGAAATAGGTAATATTTTCACCGCCACTTCTTGATTTAGAACGACAAACAACCACTGTCGTCCGCTCAACCAGACAATTCATTGGCCATAAAGTACGATAATGTGAGAATATTCCAAAACTCTCATAAATTACTATGTTTTAAGTTTAGGTATAAAAAAAAGTTGAAATAATTTTTAAATATTGAAAGTATAATTTTACACAATTTAGTAAAAATAAAGAAACACACCTTTTACAATTTACTCCACACACACACACCCATTCACCCACTTTCCCATTGCCTCGTAGCACATGGATTTCCTTACTAATTCGTCAAACAATCATTCTCTATCTTCATCCCCTAGTCTATTACTCTGACATCGGTTTCATCTTCATTTAACCGTGCATAAAGTGTACTCAGGGAAAACAATCAATCTGTGTGCACGTAATAAATGCACGTATAAAGCCAAAATAATAATACTCTTTTGGACAAAATTGATGAGAAAGTACATTATGAAATATTCTACGAGAAATCTCAGATCAACTCACGTGCAATAGCTCTCAGTCTCGGGATTGACGGTGAACCAGGTGGAGTGTCTGTTCGCAGACGATTCTCCTCCCTCAGCGTCGTATGCTGGACAGTGATGGTGTGCCGAAAGTCCAGTGGAAAAGATATTTGTCCCGGTTCACGTTTCAACAACTACAATTTAGAAAGAAAAAATTTGGTCCTTTTAGCATTTTATCTTACACATAATGGAATTTATCATATCTCTTTTATGATAGAGAACCCACCTTCAATCGACTCTTGCTAAATTTTCCTCGTCTTTTCTTTGGAGTTGGCGTATTTTGTGATATCATGACATTTATCTCCCTCTCGAGCAGCTCCAATTCACGAGCTTGCAGTTCTTGTTCGCGCTTCTGCAAATTTTCCTCCTGGATTCGCTGCTGAAGCTGAACACGTGTCAGTTCTTCTTCTTTGCATCGCAATTCCTGTACAAGAAAATAATCATAGAGTCAATCAAAACCTTCCGAATAGACATCATGTCTCTTTTGCCTTAAAATATTTATGAAATATCTCAAACTCTGGCAAACAAAGCAAAATAATAAATCTTCTCTCTCTCTCTCTCTCTCTCTCATATATTATACACAATTGTTTGCTATTATTGTGTAGTAACAGAAATCCCAAACTTATCACACATATATAAAAACAACCAAAAAAAATTACAAAGAAATTCAAAAGTAACTCAAGACTCTCCTATCTTCCATCCTTACCTCTTCAAAACTTTTAAACGCCTGACGGCACAAATTTGCAGCAAAAAATAAAATTTATATTTCTTTTTATATGAATAATATATCTAATTTGATGATATAAGAAAAAACTTAATCCCCAATCCAAAAAGGCACCTTTTGAGGAAAGTATATTATATATAAGAAAGTATGACTGTGAAGGTCACACTTTCCTTTGGACAGTGTTCTTATTGAAGAATCTCTTACCTTTTCTTTCTTGCGCAATTCCTGAAGAACTTCAGCAATTTCTTTCTTCCACCCATCTTGCATTGTGTGAAAGGACTCGTGAGGTGTTTGAGTAAATCCTGAACGCACAATTACATCCAATTCTCGGAGTGTCTCTTTGAAAGACGGTCGACTATGAGGATCACATTCCCAACAACCTACAAGTGGAATATATTTAATAATTATTATTCATATTTCTCTATGCAAACAAGTGCTAATTTATAATAATAATAACGTTATTTTTGCCACTCTACATAAACTTTTCACTGCTTTCGCTCTAAAATTTCTGCTATTATAATCAATATCAATCAAAACATTGAAAAACCAATGGATACGTATCAAATCAATTTTTGGAAACTATAATCGCATTACCATTTTAAATTGGAACCAAATTTGAAAGTGCATACATACCCTTCATGAGTTTTCCCCATGCTTCAGGACATGTCTTCGGGATCGGTAGCGCCAGAGTGTTGACAGCAACACCATAAGCGACCGACAGGGAATCAAATCCTTTATAAGGCGTCTCTCCAGTGAGCAGTTCCCATAGGAGAACACCATAACTCCACACATCTGAAGCTCTGAAATGAGAAAAAGTCATTGCAGTTGAAGAATCCGTGATTACTTTAAAAACATAGGCATTAACTCACTTCGAATAGGTGCCGCATTTAATAACTTCAGGTGGCATCCAAGCATAAGTTCCAGCTGCAGACATTCTTGTGGTCTTGTATACTTCACGGGCGAGTCCAAAGTCTGTGATTTTCAGTGTTTTGTTGTGGAGATTATCGCCTTCGATTGCCTCGCTAATGAGCACTGTATTGCAGGGAAGAGAGAAAAAGAGAGACGAGAAGAGCATTAAAGAATGTTAAATATCAAATTTATGAATGGTATTCTCTGTTTTCTAACATTTGCACTAATACGTAAAGTCTATGGGAAAACGGCGAAGAACCACACAGTTGCTTTTATTTTACAACCAAAATCTTATGTATTTAACAAACTGTACTATTCCTCTACACTAAACATCAGGTACAAAAATGTTAAATGACAAAACCAATTCACATCTTGGCAATGTGAAAAAAGCAGGGAAGGTTGATGATAAATAGTAAATTGACTATAGGTTATTTTGTAATGAAAATTTTTTCCTTAATTTTAATCACTTTTCAATATATACATTATATAATATAAAATGAAATGGTATTAAAATACCGAGTAAATAGAAAATCATAAAAAGTCCTTCATAAGGTACTCTGAGTATTCTTTATAATGTTTTCAAATAATATTAAAGAATTTTCCTGCAATTATCAGCAAATGTTCTTTTACTCAATCCTTCAATCGATTCATACTGATATTGATATTGCAGAAATATCGAATTAATAGTAAATACAACGAAGTGTTTTCAAATTACATAATTCAGCGCATTATCAAATTACAAAAACGCTTGCAAGAAATTCTATTGTGTCGTCCATTTATATATATATTATGTGTGTACCTAAAGTTAAATGCGTTTTTCGGGAATTGATCGCAATTCTGAATGAATTTCAAAAGTGAGTCTTGCCGGGAATAAAAGATATTTAAAGGGTTTACTTCGTTATATTTCAATAAACTGACTACCACTTCCTAGAGATTACATATTTTCAGACTATAACTTGGTTCATAGTGACACTGATAAAACAGACAATAAAAGACTGATAAGACACATTACACCGTCCAACCTTCAATTTTATGCGTAATTTTATCTTGAAAATCACAAAGAGAATAAAAGAGGAAATACTTTGGAATTGTTGGACATTCGATTTATCATATACAGAGAGAATAACTCAGAAAGTTATCTCGAAATTATGTGTACGCGAGAGCGAGATTTTAATATCAGAGAATTGGCGCCTATTTGAGATCTTAGGAGCAACTTCATCTTTATCATCTTGCTCAGTAAATTCCGCAATATAAAATGAGAAATATGAAGTGACGAGTTGAAAAAGATTTAGATATCGTCTGTCTGGAATGTTAGTGATTTTGGCCACTCTCGACGATGGAGGAAAAAAAATATCGGATAAAAACTCACGTACCAGACTGATCTCTCATGGCTTAAAGATTTCGGCCGAGGGAAGAAAGTCCCAGCAAAATATCAAATGCCCGACACGTGTTCACCAGAACTCTTGACGACGGCGATATCCACTTTCATCATTAATTAATTATTGCGACATATCGCGAGTGTGTCTGTGTTAGAGATTCCCGCAAGAGAAAGAGCTCGCGTGACAAGGTCTTTGTTTACTCTGTCGACCCGCGCGCGACTGCAGATCCTCAAAGATGGGACTTTGGGGTTTATCAGGAGCTTCAGGGTCTGGGTCACTCACCGTTGGAGCTCTTGAGATCGCGATGTATGACAGAGATGGGGGCCATGTTGTGCAGATAGTTCATCCCGCGGGCGATCTGGATGGCCCAGTCCACAAGTACGTCGGGTGGGATCTTCCTGCCAGCGAGGATGCGATTGAGAGAGCCGCCACGGGCAAACTCCATCACAAGGCAAAGCTTCGGCTCCTTCAGACACACTCCCTTCAGAGCCACAATGTTCTCGTGCTTGAGCGACCAGAAGAGCTTGGCCTCCTGGAGGACGTTCTTGCGCGTGACATCGATGTCCTCGTCAGGACCACGACGGGCAGCCTTCACGGCCACCTCCTCGTGTCCCCAGTAAGCGCGGTGCACTTTGCCAAACCCACCTACGCCGATGACCTCCTTGAGCTCTAGCTCCTGATACCCAATCTCCTCTGGCTGGATGTTACCGATCATAGCGCTAGGCAGCAGCGGGTCGCTATCGGTGACAAAGTTGGAAGGGAAGATGCCCACCTTGTCACCTATCTTGCCCGTCCACCAGCCCTCGTCTCCGGATATGTTGCTGTCCTTGGATAGCACGTAGACAATCTGGCCACGACGCAGTGACAGTTCATCTTCGCCCTGAGCATCGTAGTCGAACACGGCGGTCCACAGCACTGAATTGCTGGGCGGCCCCATCTCGGCCGCCATTGTCGTCGCCACTGAGGGCGCGCGCTCCGGGACAGGTACTTGGGGGCCCTGCTTCGCTTCCGACGACAGTATCAGTGGCGGCATCCGACTTGCACCCAGCGAGATGGTCACATCAATCTTCGCATTTTACACACCCAAAACACTATCGCGCGCCCCATCAAACACTCCCATTCACGATGGCACGCTCTCGAGCTTACGGCGACACGGACAAATCACGCAGAGATACAAATTAAAGCTACAATTACGGCACTCATTTTCTCAACTTCATTTTGCAAATATTTGCAGCGCCACCTTTACAATTTCACTACCCATTGTCTCCACGCGCAGCGCCACTTGTCGCTAAGGAGGATGTGGAACCGCATGTGGAACCAGATTTATAATTTTCGATCCACACCAACGACCACTGACCACGATGCTACCAATGAAATCTCTCTTTACATGAAGATGTTTCGTATTTATTCTCAGGCAATTAGGGAAGAATTCCCATATGCTGAAGACAACATCTCGCCGCCATTGCTTTGGCCTCCTTCTTGTTGTTGCTCGGAGTTTGCGGAGTGTAAGAAACTCCATTTAAGGTGACCTGGAAGAATAGTACGGGAAAAGTGTATGACAGTGCAGGTGAAAAAACTGAAGACATCATACCTTGAAGAGAAAATTCTTGTGATGTCCAGGCCCACTCTCCATGACAACTTCATAGATAGGCGATAACCACTTTCGCTTCGATGATAGCTCACCAAGAAGGGACACTGGATGCTTATTCTCCATAGCTTCCTTTGTCAGAGCAGCGTTCATCTTTCGCTTCCGATGATTCTGATGAGGGTTCTGCCCAACAATACACACCGGTAATATAATTATCTTTACTTATTTGTACAAATTCTCACCTCTTCATTGGCTGCCAAGCCTTTCTTGTCGAGCTTCACCTCTAGCAAGAGTGGCTGTAGAGAACCTGACTTATCCTTCCCGAGGGCTTCACCTGGTCGCCAACCCATCTTTTGCAGTAGATGCATTCCCATTCCGCCTGATACCGGGGCGGTGCAGATGAGCTGGTCCTAAACAATTGCGAAGAACATTAGCAAATCATTCAAATTTATCAATATGGTTATTTATGTGCATATTGAGAATACATCTCGAGAGTACGTCTAGAATTGTTTGAAATAATTAACAGAGTGAAAGAGAAAGCAATTTAAAAATGAGTCTTCAATGCAGCGACACATACTTACCAATGTTGGAAAAGGACGAATTCATATAATAAACTTAAGAGTGTGATTCACTTAGAGGAACACAGCGATGCTAATCTCAAATTTCTGAAATAAATTTTCAGGATACCTCACTGCTGTATATCGGTATATCATCCCTCCCAGGAAGGGCTGATAATATACAGATATATGGCGATCGTGCCGATAAATTGGGGTGATTAAATGATTGATCATCATCATGAACAAGGCAGCTTAGGTAATGCCTGAAAATTTATTAGGATCTTTCTCTTCAGAGCATCAATGTAGATCACCTAACAAGCTCATATATCGCAATAGGAAACTCCTCAACCGGCTCATTAGAAGGGGGAACTAAAGCGATCCCAGCTTGATCAGATGATCTACATGAATACATATTGCTTTTGCCAAGGAGCAGGAGTAACAAGAAAGTTTGTGAGAGACCGAATACAACAATTCTCACTTACTCTTTTTGCCCACGCTTGGTAGCCTGATTGCAATTCTTTTGCAGTCAAGATACTGGCTCCTGTGCTGCCGAGAAACTTTCCAGGAGTGAACTTTGATGTTGCCCAGTTGGACATCTGCAAATGAGAAATCAATGTTTAAAGAAATCCCGTTATTTCTACACTTATCAACAAAAGGGAAACTTACGTCTTTCTGAGTATTTTGCATTAATTCCTGTGCATCTTTATCCTGTGGGTTTTCCTGCAATTTCCGCATTGCGTTTAATCTCTGACTGATGATGCTTGAGACATCCAGACTCTATTTAAAGGGCGAAAGAGTTAATATGTCAGAAATAAAGTCGATATTTTGTTCAGAATACTCACAGTTGTTTCAGCTGTCTCGGGAAACACGGTTTCTGGTTCTGGAGGACGAGCTGGTGTTGGTGGTGGCAGTTCTTCAGTGGGAATCGTGTAAAATGCCTGACTCAATTGCTTAGCAGGAATTGGGGCGGTTTTCTTCGATTCCTTAGGAGGATCTGGTTTTTTGGGCGAAACCGGCACCCACTCAGATTCCGTCGCTCTGTGATGTTGTCCAGATGATACGGGGAACTGCATTAGCAGAGCCTTTGTCTGCTCAGCGGTCTTCGGAGGAATTGGAACGGAGTTCTATAAAATTCAAACAGACTAATAGAAACCTTTTCAATTGAAAAAAAAGTATATGTTTTTACCTTGATGTTCATAACGATAGGTCCCCGATCTTTCACCACAAAAGGATGATGAAATGCTTTGGCATTTCCATCTTTATCGTGATCACTGTCCTCATTTCCCGAAGAGACACTTGATAGATCATTGAGACTTTCACCGTTGGAGAGCTTCTTACAATACTCTGTGAGCTCTTCAATTGACTTCCCACCATGAGTCATCTTAGCAAGAGCTTTCTCTTTATCAGCCGGCGCCAGATTCTGGCAGCCAGGAAGAGTTCCATTCTTCAACATTGAAATTGCATTCTTCCTCGCAATTTCCAAGAGCTTCTTCTTATCAATTTTCTCCCTGGATTTTTCTGCTCTAGATCGAGAACGAGATCTTGATCGTGATCTTTCTCTATTGTAAAAATAAAAGAATTTGTAAGAGCAATAGAAATATGCTAAGATGATAAATTTTACCTGTTACGGCCTCCCCAGAAGCGATCTCTGTTACCCCTATCACTTTTCTCATTTCTGTATCCCCTCCTGAAATCATCCTCGTGACGCGAGCGATGGGACATTCTCTCTCTTCGTCGCCTGTCCATACTATCATGATCGCCTCCTCGACTTCTTAAAGGTGAGAGAGCCTTGTGGATGTATTCATCCTCATCTGACATGCTAAAGTCAGACAATGATGCCCCTTTATCGTTCGTTCTCGTTTCGTCCAACGCATCACTGGGCCTTTTCCTCGAACTCCTGTCCAGACTGCGCCGATCCTTGAAAGCTCCCTTTTCAACTTTTGAAGCTACCGAGAGAATTGAACTATTCTTCAGATCCTTGATGACGATTTTATGTGATTTCGCTTCTCCCTCTTTCTCTTTCGCTGGCTCCTGAAACACGCAAATTGTCAGCAAAATATATTTCAGTCTCAACAACAAATTCAATACCTTCTCGTCAATCTTCCTAGATGGTTCTTTTGTAAGATGATCCCTTTTATCCAGTGCTTTTTTATCTTTAACCCCTGTACGTTCGCACGCATCCGGTACATCTATTCTCATTGCTTTCCCTGCTTTCTCTTGAGATTTTCTCCTCAATTTCTTGACCTTCTTCTTCTCATCTTCTCCACCTTCCGACTTCTTCTTTGACTTGCTTCTTCCATTAGCTAGAGACACTTCAGAGTCTGAACTCTCAGAATCAGTATCGACGTTGTCTTCCCGTTTCCGTCTCTTTGCTTTTTTCTTATGCTTTTTATGCTTCTTCTTTTTCTTCTCCCCCTTTGTAAGCACCTTCTTCGGGGGCGCAGCATTAAATACCTGAAACAATTCCGTCAGGATCTCATCTGAACTCTTCAGAGGCTCCACAGACTTCTTGTCATCCTGTTCAACATTTGTGTCAATGCCGAAGAGAGTGTCCAGGAAGGTGGAGATATCGTTTCCGGGAGTTTTCTTTTCATCATCACGAGGTGGTGTCACTTTCTCTCGCTTGATTCTCGATGGAGACATCGGAAATATTGTACTTTTACCATCGTCTTCCATTCTCAGTAATTTTCACTAAAGTTTTATAATGTATTTCAGAGAATATTTCTTATTTAGGTAGTAATTCCTAAGACTTTCATCATGAGCAACTTTCTCTTTCACAAAAATAATCACTGATGACATTTAGAAATGGGACACCCAGTTGGTCAGCCATTGCACCATGCATTACCAACACAATACAATGTATGCTATTCACATTTGAAATAACTGCCGAATCACAATTTAATTATTTTTTAATATTTTCCTTCATAAAATTCCGTATTTATTGAAGAAATGTGACACAATTCGCACAAATACAATATGTAGAAATCCTTCAAATACCACTCACTCTGAACACCCAACTAGATTACTTATTCATCCTCTTAGCCGCTTCCAACATCTCCCTGGAGATAATTAGTCTCTGAATTTGTGATGTTCCCTCGTAAATCTGATAGATCTTAGCATCGCGCATCAGCTTCTCCACCGGATACTCCGTGTTAAAGCCATTTCCACCAAATATTTGTACTGCATCTGCAGCCACGCGATTAGCCATGTCGGCAGCATAGCACTTGGCAATTGAGGCGTAGAAGGACTTCTTGGGACTCTTGATGTCCACCTCGTGAGCGGCCCTCATCCACGAAATTCTCCCAGTTTCTACCGCAATAGCCATATCCGCAAGCATGAAGGCGACCGCCTGGTGGAAGGCAATGGGCACACCGAAGGTCTTTCTCTCCAGAGAATATCGTGTAGCTTCATCCAAAGCTCTCTGGGCCAATCCTACAGCTCCTGCTGCCACAATCGGTCGCGTGGCGTCAAAAGTTCCCATGGCCACCTTAAAGCCCGCTCCGTCACCTATCAAAACATTTTCCTTGGGCACACGGACGTCCTCAAAGGTCACACCGCGCGTGTCCGAGCACCTCTGGCCCATGTTCAGCTCCTTTCGGCCGGGTGTCACTCCGGGAGTGTCTCGATCCACGATGAAAGCAGTGAAGGCCTTGCCAGCAGGTGTTTTTGGGTCGGGGTCCGATCTGGCCAGCACAAAGTACCAATTCGCCACTCCACCGTTCGTGATCCACATCTTCTGACCATTGATTACATATTCATCTCCTTTCTTTTCAGCCCGTGTTTTTATGCCTGATGAGATGCAATAATGAGATTGTTTTAGTATCAATACGAGACGGAAAGATCAGAAATTATTGTGTAAATATTTTGATTTTATCAGTCGAGTTCAGTCAAATCATGACCTGCTCGCGGAAAATTACTTTATAATTGAGAAAGGTCACTTTCATTGCTTAAATCATATTTTCTTGAACTAACCATTAACATCAGATCCTGCTGATGGTTCGGTTACACAGTACGCAGCAAGAAGAGGCTCCTCCACAAGGCGTCCCAGGTACTTCTGCTTTTGTTCTTTATTACCAAAAGTGATTACCGGCATTTGCTGAAGACAATTTCACATGAGATGAAGAGAAAAAAAAACAAATCCTCTAGAAAAACTCACCCCCAATCCTGTTCCTTCAAGCGCCAAACCAATTCCTGAGCATCCGTATGAGAATTCTTCGGTCACCAGACAACTATCGTAGAGTGGCAACTGTAGACCACCGAACTCCTGTGGGATGTGGGCATTCATGAGACCCAGAGAGTGGGCTTTCTTCACAATGTCCCAGGGAAACTCGCCCGTTCTATCGTGATGAGCAGATTTAGGCATAATTTCCTCTCGTGTGAATTTTCTGGCCAGCTCCTGCATTTCCTTCTGTTCATCCGTAAGAGCCATACAAAAGCCGGTTGAAGAATGCCTCACACTAGCCATGGGCATGAGAGACCTTCGCCCCAAGTTGTTCAGTTGACGAGCGAGCTGCTTTGGACAAAAATTTGTAAGTAAAAAGCCATTTTTTGCTACGTGACCTAAAATTTTATAGACATCTCTGGGTAGCTTGTTAACAGTGTTTGCATTGCTGGGATTGATAGGCAAAGGCTTATCAATCAAAACGGCGATTATAAAGAATTGAAATGCATATTTAAAATCAAAGGGGATTCAGAGGATTTCCATGGATTAACTGATTTGCTGATAGGTAATAAATCTTATCAAATGACGTGTTATTTTTCCTCACTTATATTTGTACTCACCTGAGATACGATGGCCATGTTTGAGGTAATTACACTAAAATACTAAGGGGCTGAAGGAAAATGATTTGCAAATAAAATTAGAATGAAAACAAGCAAGATGCAAAATTCTGGACTTTCCTCTCTAAGTTGGAATGACAGACTGAGCTCAAGTTAGGGGAAATCGGCACAGAGCGCGCAGACGCTTTAGCTGCAATGGAGGGCAATAACTTTGTAGACTGCTCGTAACGTCTGAATTGTTATTATTGTCTTTATCTCTATTCTTGCGATAAATTTCTTTATCTGTCTCATATTTCTTTGCAATTGATTTAAAGTCTAGCTTTATTATCACAGGTTTATTGAATCATTCGGTCTATCAGTTGCGCTAAAATAGACTAATCACGAATTGTCTGAAATTCCACACCCAGACCATAGAGTAATTGATCAGCGAGCGAAAACGAGTAGAAAGAGTGAGAGAGAGAGAGTCATGATTAAAAGGGGAAGTAACGTAAGATCCAAAGTCCAACCATGGAATTTATACAATGAATGAACCGATAGCCTCTCATCCAAACAATTAAAAGGATTTATTATCAATAATATCGCTTCAAAACATACACTTATTGCAAAATTATTGTCTTCTGGATCATGTAAAAATTCGCAATATCATAAATAAAATAAATATTTTACTACTCTTCTTTGGCTTTGGTGTTTCCCACCATCAGATTGTGGATTGAGGGCAGTTTGAAAGCGGGCACAGACAGAAGAGCTCCTCCGCAGGCTCCGATCCAGTACACAATGATGTGCTCGATGTTGGTGTGTCCGGTGCAGCCCCACTTGAGTGCCGTTGCCAGAACAGGATTAAAGTATCCGCCAGAATAGTTGAATGCTACAAGTTTAGAAACAACTTTTGAGCTCCCGTCAAGACTGAACGTTTAAATTATTAGAGTCAAACACTCATTACCGGCCACCACAAGGCTGGTCCCAATGAAGGAATCAATTAAGGGAGCATGCTTAGGACCAAGTTCACCCAGGCTCTTGGATGCGAGACGACAGAGAAGTGTAGCAAAACCCTCAATAACGGCTCCTAAATACGGATTAACCTAGAACAGAGATAACAATAGACATTATTTTGCGCCAAACAAGAAAACTATGGGTTGTTAAGTTGTTTTCTGTGAGAAAATATCATCATTACTCAAAGTTTATGTCAATTTTTGCATTAGTTGAAATTTTACATGAAATATCAACACACCTGTAAAAGCTTTAATGATAAACAACAGTAGTTCTTCTATTAAAAGCTCTATAAGAAGTATATAAGGAGGAAATATTCAAAATAACATACTTGAAGATCTGCTGTGCATTCCGCAAAAGCTCTTCCCTCGTGAGTAGACGCTAACTCTAACCACCAGAGAACTTGCACGAAACGGAAAACACAGCATCCTCCCATAAGTTGAGCCCACGTCTTCAGAGCCACATTTCTGGGTGATGTTTTTCCCTCCACCATATCTTCCATGTGCGTGTAGGGACATGCTGTAGCATCACCCCAAACTTGCGCCCACCACACGGTGAGAAGAAACAAGAAGATGGCATATGTGGCTACCCCAAAGTTGTCAGCAACTAGAAAAATCCACATTTAAATTATCAAAGGTTGTCCCGGAACTTCTAATCAGAGAACTCACCGATGATTAACTCGAAGCAACATGCACAGAGTTCAGCAGCGGCGATCGCCTCGTAGAACAGTTCCTGCACGAGTCCCTCATTCACCAGGCGTCCAGCGAGCTTCCGGGCTGTCTGAGCCAATGCACACGAGAGGCCAATGTAGCCCGTGCTCACCAGCAGCGCCAATAGAGACATTCTCCGGCACAATCAATTCGGCAGCGTCACACAGTCGCACCACTGCCAAGAGGAGGCAATAATTGGACCACGTCCAAGTTCAATTGAAATCTGGGCTCAAGTGCTGCTTATTCCTAAGCTCGAGGGAAGATGAATGATTCTCTGCATAGTTCTGCTCTTGAACTTCTTTCATTAGAACAATATTTATAATCTGTATGGACTCCAATTAAACAAAAATGTTGATCTTTTAATGAAATTGTAACAATAATGGATATGTATACATATTATTTTGTATATTGAATATAAAATAACTTACCAAAATATTTAAAATAATTATAATTCACTAGTGTTTTCAGCTTCACGTCTATTACATATGTGTTGGACAATTATTGTCACTAACTAAATGGTAAAGCGCACACCTTATTTGTTATTCAAGTGGGATTGCGAATAAATTCTTTTACATCAACCTAGTTGCGTAACACACTCAAGAGACAGTTACATATGCACAAAAATCACTTCTAATGAAATTCACAGAAACTCATATCACATTTTCACTTATTACACTGGGATTTTGCTGCCTGATTTTATCACTAGACGCAAGAACTGCACTTTCGCGGATCCACCAGCTGGCTGCAACCTCACGCTGGCCACAGACTGACATGGTTGATCGCATGAAAATTATATTTAGATCACCCTCTCGCTCTCTCAGTTATAGAGAATATTATTCCGCTGAAGAGATTTATTTGCAAAAGTGCTTAGAGAAAGAGTCACAGCCACTCGTTTGCTTTACTCTCCGTCCGATGTCTAAAAAAAATCATATCTTTACAGCATGACGGAGAAAAATACACTGATGTGAAGCTTAAATGCAAGATGCGAGATAACTCTCGATGTTAGATCGCAATTCGCGATCAATTAAGAATGTCAAATTGCGAAGTAAGTATCTCTGGAGCTTGCATTGTATATGGGGAATTTAGCAGTTTTCCATGCACATCTGAATCGAATTTTATACAGAAAAATTAAAGTGTATGTACAGAAATGGTAATATGATTTTATTTTTAGAAAAAGACTTAAACTAAGTATGAATGGAATTCAGTACTCTTCTATATTTTCAACCAATGAAAATATTTATAGCTATAAAATTTGGTGAAGCATAAGCTGCATGCAAGATAACCATGAGTTAAAATATGGACTTTTCTCAACCAGTAATAGAACTGTTTATTTAAAAATTCGCCATAACCAACATAACATATGTTACCCTTTTCTAACGTTCCATAGTTATTTCATGGCAAGACATGCAATCTGCATGATTTAAACGATTTAAACAATCTTGTTCACATTATTGTATTTTATTGTACAAATTTGTTGTTACACAGGTACTTATTAATCTATGCTTGTGAAAAAATATTTCATCTATGAAATAAAACAAAACAAATACAACAGTAGAAAAAATCTATCAAATAATTATGGCATACAAATCGTACTGTGTAGTCATTCAATTCAAGTGTATAGCAAATAGATAAATTCGGCTTTCATCTTATCTCTTTCTGAGTAGAAAATCAACAGAATTTACATTGAAAAGCATTTCCACATTTCTCTCTCTTTATATACACTTGCAAATACTATTATTTGTTACTCAAAAAATATTGCTCTTACAAATATTAACTCACATCTCAATTGAGACAAACACGATGTTTATCATCAAATATCAAATTCATATTTGCTTGAGATAGTAAAACCACTTCAAGTAAATTGGTTAAAGCAGCACAAAAGGGCTTATTTTGGCTAGAAATCAAACTCTCAATTTTCATGAAAAAAAAATCATACTTAAAATTATCCTTGATATGTGTAATCCATTGGCCTTCTGATTCTAATCGTTTTTTGTCCATCAGCTTTGTTTGAAGGGCTCTGACCTCAATTCAATATCAGTTTCTGTCTTACCTAAGCTTTCCGCTTCGTCCACAGTATCTGGCAGTTTCTTTTTGAGTGTCTCAGGAAGAAAGAATCCAGTTATACCGCCGACGAGAGACAATATCCCGAAGAGTATTAAAGGCAGTGGTTTAATGTAGAGACCCTGCGTTTTAAATATTAGATTTTATAATTAATAGATTTTTTACCCAATATTTAAAGAGTTTGTTAGAAAAATTACTCACAAGAAGAGGCACGAAAGGTGCCAACATTGCACCAAATCTTGCTATTGTGGACAAAGCACCAACACCCGCACTTCTGATGACAGTGGGAATCATCTCGGCACTATAGGTGTATATCACAGAGAAAGATATGGTAATACCGAGCTTTCCGATCAGGAACAACGACACAACGGCCCAAGTGAGGTCTGAAATGAAGCAAAAGGGTGTAAATACAATAGGCACATCACTTGAGAATCCCACACTGTATTCGATTTTTAATTACCTTCCCCATCAACTTAAGAGTAAGAAAGTGTGTTAGAAAAGCAAAATAGCCAGTTAGAAATGTAAATAGCAAGGCAAAAGTTGAAGAATAAAGTAAGTTCACCTGCATCGATGAAACCACCAAGAACGCATGTCACTGCACACAGAAGTAGAGAAGAACTTAGAGACCATCTCCGTCCAATTTTATTCATGGCAATCTGAAGAGAAAGATTAGATGAGATGTAGCAGTTGACCTTTACAACTTGGTTTTGAGATCATTTACCCATGCGAGAGTGTATCCGGGGATTTCGATGAGACAGACGAGGGCGTAGTTCAAATATTTATTCCCACTGAGACTGGTGGAGTTGAGCGACAATCCGTAGTACACAAAAGCATTGGTGATCCAATTGTAAATGAGGATGGCAAATCTTATCATGAGTGTCTTTGATTTAAATGCCTCCTTCATCACTGCAATCTGCGATGTGGATTTGTCTGTCTCCTCAACGATGCCCTCCTTCGAGTCACTCATATCCTAAAAGGATTTCACATTAGAAATCAAGACTTATGATTTTCAGAAACATTGCAAATATTCCTACATTGTCATCGCTGTCGTCAAAAGTGGCAAGAATCGAATCTGATAAAACCACTCCGTTGATTTTAGCCGCACGCTTGATAATTTTTCCCGCCTTGTGTGTGTGCTTCTTGGCGAGCAGCCACCGCACTGACTCCGGAACGATCCTATTAAATCATCAATTGGGAATTTGAGCGCGTGGCAGAAACGAAATTGTTTTGACAAAATTTCTCACCAATAGTAGAGAGCAAAGAGGAGTGGTGGCGCAGACACTGCCAGCTGGACAATCATCCAATTTCCACTAAGCCAAGCCACAAGACCCACTGAGGCCTCCCCAAGAGCATAGAAGTAGTTGAGTACATTGCCTGACATCTCTCGCTTGCTTTTGCCCACCATCTCTACGCCTGAAAGAGGAGAGTAAAATGATCTAAAGCTTCATGCCGGAATAGATTTTAAGATCATTACTCACCCAGAATGAATGCCAGAGGATAAACTCCAGAAGTACCAACAGCATTGAGGTAGGCAAATACGATAAATGTAATGTAATCACCTACACAATGGAGAAAAGGAGAAAATCGTTTTTGTCACTGGGAAAAATATTCCACAATTTAGTTCAATTGATAATGTAATAACCTGATAATGCCTGACCAATTCCAGTGATGGACATGAATAGAATACTGAGAATAAGCACTATCTTGCGACCATATCTGCAACGAGAGGAATGTTAGCGGAATAATGGACGAGATTTTCTGTGCAACAAACCTATCAGCTAGAACGCCAAACACAAATGATCCTGATACAATTCCCAGGAAGTGCATTGTACCGACCTAGAAATATAAACAATTTGGCACGCTTATCTCACGATATGAGTATAGAGATATAGCTTACCAGACTCAACTTCCAATGATTGGCCATACATGTGATATCCCACTGAGATATTGCGCCAGACGAGGTGTGATGAGTAATATTAACAGAATTATTTACAACATTTTACTTAATGTGACTTATTTGTAATTTTTCAATACTCACCTCCTGAACTATTGTCCTTTCTGATTGGTCAAACACCCACTGATTGCACTCTTCAATATGGCTCGTGAATATGTTCGGTGGGCACTGCTCAAATGTCGTCAATGAGTGTTGCCTGCTAAGTGTAGAATTATCCTGGACAAAGAGTTGACACTGTTCAGGTGTAAAAATTCCTCGCGAATCTGTTGATCCAGGGACGGCGTAGTCAATCCAGGATTCGTCATAAATAGGATCTATTGGATCATCGCAATTGGGTACAAAGCACCTGAAAGAATCACCCCATTTTGATCCCAATTAGCGATAATATTTGATTGATTGATTACAAAGAAACGCCTTATAAATCACCCTTGGTGGTGGTGTGATTTTCCTAATTACTCTCCACATTTTCCAAACTTTCAACCGAAGGTCTCCCCATATTGAAAAAACCGACAAACTAAGCTTAAATTTGGGTGACATTTAATATTCGAGCAAGAAACTCACCTGTAGTTTGGAACACCTGCAGTAAAAACGTAGGACAAACTGTTGGCAGCGCCGAAAAATACCGGAAGGCAAATAAGCAAGTAATTGGTCAGTTGAAATTTGCCAAATTCACCAATTTCGTCCAAAACTCGATCGAAATCCATTTTCTCTTTGGTTTTGATGTTTCTGTAATCTAAAGGAGCACAAATAAATAAATGCCCAGCAAATTTGCATTTACATTACAAAATTTTTCTTTAGTTGATAATTACAAAAGAAAAAAAATGTTTACACCGCAATAGTTTTTTTCGTCCAGGAGAAGAAAAGCTCCCTATGATTACGCAATAAGTTGTAGATCTGTAATTTCTCCACTCATAATTTCCCCGTTTTCCACTCTTGTCTAAGGTTAATTAATTACAATTGACTAATAATGAATTAAAGGTAATCAGTGCCAATTTGTCATGATATAAATCAAAAACTCCGCGCAATTTACCTTTTCTTAAAATGTCAAGTATCGTTATAAGCAGTTTATCAGTTCGCAAATCCTCTAAATTGGTTCCATATACATGATCTATTGGTCATTACGGAAATATTCGGGCATATTTATAGTACAAAAAAAAGCATGAACATTACTAATCAGAGATCAGTTGACCCGTGAATTTGTCGCTTGTTCATTAAATATGAGACGATATATAGATAATTGTTTCTACTTGAATTTATCGTTTACTGTTGCTGCGGACTTTACGATTAGGAACTGATGCAATTGCAGATGTTAAAATTCACACAACAATCAATGAATGTAATGCATAATACCGCAATGAATGTTATAAAACCCTTTAGTGATTTTCCGTGACAAAAGGAAGAATACTAAAGTGGCAATATCAATGAAAAATTGGCAAAGATTATTAATAGAGTGTATACAAATAGCTATTAAAAATGATTGGAAAACCCCTTTGCATTGATTGTGTCTGACCCTCGGTATGACCTATATGATTCACTCAATGGACTCAATGACATCGTATGACATGGCAAGGGAGAAAGCTTAAAAAAATGAAATACTAAATCAGTCTTTTGGTTTAAATTTTTTTAATATTTCACTGATAATGTTTGGTGTTTATCTGCGAAGGTATTTCTAAACTATAAAAATAAATTAAGAAAATATAAAGGGTTTTTGATATGGAATTTCAGTCTCCAATTTAATTTCAAATAAAATTACAACGTGGACTCTAGAGCTCACGTAAACATAAGAAAGTAGAAGACCTTGACAGTTATTCTTTAAACCGGAATAGTAAACGTTGTGTATAAATTCCAAGAATTCAAATTAAGTACGCAAAAATTGCTATCTTATTAGCCCCCAGAGAAATTTACGGAGATGCAACTTAATGCAAAATCTCTAAGCTGCAAAAAGACATTGTCTTTGCATTGCACAAAAAGCCGCGCGAATTAGCACTTTGTTCTGTTGATCGGCATTGAAACACAGCCGACACAGCCAATGGGAAGATTCATTTGTCAGCAAAAAATCATTTATCACCTAATGACAAAGTAGAAAAAATGGGAAAGAAAACGCGTGATCCACTCAGAAGCCTATACGGATCATTTTTAGCGACCTCAATGCTCTGGCGGGAAAATGTAAATTGTCTTTTTTTCGTGGCATATTTCCTAGCCGGCTGGTGTGATTTTCCGCAATGACGATGCCTGATCCAGATTGATATGCATCGTCCCTCATCGAAGAATCAATTATTATTAAATTAACTCGCTGACTTGAATAAAAGTGGTAATAGTACACGCCACAAGGATCAATTATGCAATTTTCCACGACACGCGAGCTTTATTTGCGGCAGATGCTGCAAGGAAGTATTTTTAACTGGGAAAATGGGAAATCAGCTGCAGCTCGCGAGCAAAAAGAGTTGTCCAACCTTTGAGCTCTCCCGCTATAGCCCACACTCACCGAACTTCGCCAGTTTTCACTGTGCGCCTTCACATAGGACTCTCCGGCAAAGCACTGATGCACGATCTGCTGATGCTGCCTGGTTCACCTGACTGGGAAGAGTATCTTGACTCCAGCACGGCTCTCGCGTAAATAAATCAACAGATAAACACGAGAAGAGAAGCACATATCACTTTTTCCACCGCACAAATATTTGCACGCACATCTTCACTGACAGTTCGTCGTTGCTGTGACCCGACTGACTAAGTCTCTTTCGCACACCACGAATCATCATAAGTACTAAATTTTCACATTCGAATGTCTGGAAACTGCCAGAGAGATTCAGAAACGGTAAATTTACTTACAAATTCTCTTATTTCAATCAATTCAATTCACAGGAAATATTCCAAGTTCATACTGTTTACAAAGTTATCATCATTGCACCCAAGCATTCTGTAAATTTACATTTTCTCAAAAGTTTCTGTATACTTGCAAGTCAGACAAGTGTGAGTATAAGTATCATCTTCCTCATTGTAATTTTCCGGACCAAATTTGTGCACATGCGATGCTGCAGAGGTTTTATCATAGAGACTGCTCCTCATATCCATCCTTAGCTGCTTCATTTGCTTGTTGTACTTCTTAATCTTGGACTTCTCTCGCTTCTCATCGCGCAATTCATGTTCCTGCCGTAGCCTCTCCTCACTGCCCCAAACTTCAAGAGCCCGCTTCTCAATCTGAACATGCAGATAGAGTTTCATCTCGCCCCAGCGGACGTTGTGAGGATTTTTGCGGACAATGTACTTGAGAGGAGGCTCCCGCTTCTCCAAATCGCAATCCTGCAGGAGATAATCTTTCTTCGCATCAGTTTTGGTGATCAAAGAATGCTTATCTTCACTGTCACTAAAAGTATAAGAATAGGTTTACATCAGGAAGGATTATTCTTCTAATAGTTCCAATAACTTACCGACACTTATCACAAACAGAGTAATTAAAGTGATGCATTAGGTATGATTCCGCAAATTTATCATCACACTCCAGGCATTCTTCGTATGTAACGGGAAGATCAATAGCATTATCAATTACATCTTCAGAGGCTTCTGGTTGACTCGAACTATCACCGCCGCTTGGAGCAATTTCCTCTTCTATCAAAAATCCGCCGCCACTATCCACGAAACGACTACCTTGAATCTTTATGACACTCTTCTCGCCTTCTTCGACAGACCTAAAAAATGAGAACCTTGAGAAACATTGAGCAAATGGATAAAATCAACGTTTTAGATTACTTGGCATAGGGATGAGCCACAAGCTTGGCACTCTTGAGATACAGTGCTTTCTGGCGATTCCGATCTATTCGAGCCTTCTGTGCATCCGTTAAAACATTTTTATTGACTTCTTCACTGTTTTGAGACATCTTTTAAGACGATTTTCTACAATTTCAAGATTTTACACAACAAAAACAAAACGTGCGCTTTGACGTAAGGCATTGGAGACTGGAAAGTTTGTTTGGAATTACAATATATGGAGGGGAATTTACCCGACTGAACTTTCCTACATTAAGACGCTTGATGAATTAGCAAAATCAACAAGTTTACAGTTACACGGAAATGGAATAAGTTATTTATTATAGACAATCAATTTATTAAATTTATTATTGCCCCTTTTTTGTAGCTTTCCAGGATTACGTTTCCAGGTTTCCAGAGTTTCCAATGGAAACTCGCCAGCCGGGTTGGAGAAACGAGTTCGTGTCGCATCAGGCAACCCATGAGAAAAAACACCATTTTGGCGTTTGGTTTGTCAAAATTTTGTTGAATAATTTTCACAAGAGAAAATTTGTGATTTTCGTATAAAATATCACCTTTGGGGACCTCGAGGTGTCACACGCAGTGCTTTTGGCTGGTGAAGAAGTGCGTGCAGGTGAAGTGGCGGCGTTCGGACGAGGATATTCCATGCCGCAAAGGCTTCAAGGTGTGACGAGGAATAGAAGCAATGTCCTGGCTCCACCGATCCACAAGCCCAGCAAAGATCTCGTCACCAAGGAGATCGTGATTAATGATGCACCAGTAGCGGCTAGGAATCTCTTGACCAAAGTGAGCGTAGTGACGCAGCAGGGCGAAAGTAAAAACTGACGAAGGCTTTCGTTGCAGGGGCAAACGCAGGACGAGATATCGCAGAGTTCGGGGGCGTCAATCTCCACTCGTGGCAGATATATAAGTCCGGCTGAGAAGAGTAGTGGCAAAATTCATGAACGGCCACTGTACCTCTATATCCAAGCGCACTCGAAACATTCACTAGACTGTGAGTCTCCGGACGTCCTTGAGATCGCTTCCGCTCTAACACTTTCTCACTGTTCACAGTGGCCGTGCAGAAGATTGGACAAATCATTCAAATGGAGGGTCCTCATCACCAGAGAATGCCCAAGTATGGGGGTGGAAATCAGACAATGCCTCCCTCAAACACATGCGTAGAGAAAATAATGATCGGGCTGGAACATGCTCCACCAGCGTTTGATCTTCGTGGACGCCTCATTGGTGTCGGAGGGGCCAATTTACACTACATCAGGAATGAGACTGGTGCCATGGCGACTTTAAGAGGTCGAGGATCGATGTTTTTGGATCCACAGTTTGGCCAAGAGTCCCCAGAGCCGCTGCATTTGTACATAGAGCATTTGCGACCAGAAGGACTGCAGGCAGCTCGACAGTTGGCGAAGAATCTGATCGAGACGCTACAGCAGGAACTGATTCAATTTCAACAGATGAATCCTCCGGCTACGAGCATTCAGTACCACACTCCATCCACGGTGACGCAAACTTCTGAAGTAAGTTACAATCAATTTGTAGAGAAATTCTTGAGTGATTGATTGTCTATTTTAGCAACAAATCTACACTCCGCAGCAAATAGTGCAGATGGGAATCCCACCACCAATAATAGCGGTGCCTCCGCCTGTCATTCAGGCTCCTACTGTGCTGCAACAGCAAAACTTGGCTCAATCAGCGTCACAAATTGTGCCACCGCCACAGTATCAGGCGCCCCAGAACTCAGCTCCAACACCTATTCAGTCGGCCCCACAGCATTCGATCATTCAGCACTCTGTCCCCATTCAATTACACCCCAACGGCAATGTAATGATCCAACAGCAAGTGCAAACGAATCCGCCTACGTTGACAAGTATAAATCTACCGCCGCCGGGTGTACACATCCCTCTGAAGTCGGGGTCTTTGGTGCAAGTACAAGCAGCGCCCCCAATGCCGGTGTTCTCACAGCCTCCACCAAACATTCAGCTGCAACAGCAACCTCCTCCATCGCAAATTATTCTCAATCAAGCACCGCCGAACAACTATCAGTATCAGTACATTCAGCAGCAACCACAGTTGCAGCAAAATGAGGCGCAACAACAGCAGGGACATGTCACAATTCAGCACATTTATCAGCCTCAACCACAAATTCAGAGGATCATTCATCAGAATCCGGCACCCCAGCAAATTGAGCAATTCCAGCAGATTCGGCCAAGTCAACAGTACATCACGCTTCAGGGGAACACGGCATATGTGGTACCCCCGCCAAATATTGTTCAGCAGACCGGAACGAGTCAGCCAACGCCGAATCCGCCAAATGTGGTATTCTCCACGCAACTGCCACCACCGCAATCTCATCAGGAAATTACGGCGTTTGCTGGGGCGAATGCCAAGCCACCGGAATCGAGTGGGATGGGTGCGATGCCCCTGGAGGAGAGAAAGTTTGATTCGAAGAGTCCAGAGTATGACCAAAACAAACTAGATAGAGCAATTAATGGTGAGTTGAGGGAAGCAAATAGGTTCTTTTATGGGAGTTTATCGACATTTTTGTTTTTCCTTTTAGAAAATGCAATTAACAAAAATGGTGTGGATGGTCCTCCGGCTACAATGAACTCTTTTGGTCCAAGGCCACCTGTTCAGCAAAATACTGTCGCAATGACATCTATTCCCATCATTCAGGCTCCACCACCAATTATGTCAATTCCGCCGCCAGGGATTCACCAAATAATTGGGAACACATATTTAACAACGGCGCCATCACAGCAGGACAACTACAACGCTACTCCGGTGTCTATTCACCAGATTCAGCCTCCTCCCCAACAGTCAATCCATATGTCCACTGTCACGGCCCCTACTCAGCATCATGTAGTGCTCAATCACTCCTGGCAGCCACCTCCAAATCAGATCCACCACATTGCTTCTGCTAATCAAATCCAGAATGTGCAGATATCGCATCAGATTCGCAATCCAGGGAGTGAGATAATTGTGGGCAATCAGATTATAAGTGCCCCAAGCACTGAGGTACCGCCTCAACATAATTCCATAATTACAACTCTTCCTCCGGCACCGGGAATGCAGATGCAGTTTCAGCCACCAGCACCTCCTCAACAGATGCCTGATGGTGGGCCTCCGCCGCAATTTGGCGAAATGCATCAAATACCGAACAGCATGGCGCAGAGGATGATGCATGCGGGATCATTTGAATGTTCTCCAATGGAAAAAGGTGGTTCTAAAGGTGGTCCAAAGAACCATTCGCCACAAAATACTTGCTTCTCGTCGGAAAATGCACAGAAACAGGTAATTGAGCGTTCCACTTTCCTACTTGTCGTCACTGTTCGTGATAATTGATTTTTTTTGCATGCTAAATATGCCACACATACAATTTCCTCATGCTGAAAATGTTTCCTCTCGTCACGTTTTCACGGCTATTGTTGGTGGAGTGAGGCCGGGTGAAGAAACAAAGTGTTGGCAATATGAAGAAAGTTGGAGTGTTGTTTAAACTTATATGACATCAATGGGGAAATGTTTACATGTTTTGATTGGATATATAGACAATTGTCGGAACTTATATGAGAACTTTATGGATGAAATCAGACATTTTCAATACAAAAACTTTATGATTTTCTACAAAAAAAATCATATTTTCTGTTTACTTCCACAAAGTGACACAATAATGTATAGAAATGTACAGGGCTTCATTTGCGGTTTTTAGTTGACAAACTTTAGATATTATTTCTTATGAAACTCATTTATTGAAGCTTAATTGAGGAATTTCCTGAATGTACTGAGAGATTGGCTGATTGATTAAGAAAGGAACAATACTCTATAATTAGGACGCAAAAATAGAAACCAAACACAACATAGCTCCGTAAAATTCGTAAACAAATTAGTTTTAATGAGAGTATGTATGTATAGTATATGTTTCTCTTTGCAGATGGGACAAATGCCAAGAATTGGCATGAAGCGAAAACATGAAGATGAGACTGGAACTGTTTCAACGTCGCCAAAAATTGGAATGGGGTATGTAATTTAGTTGTTCCTTTTTACTTCAACCAGTTCTACGATAACATAAATAGACATTTATTAAAAGAAAAATGACCAATTTTTACGTATTGTATGTGAATTGACTATGATAACACAGAAAATGAGCAAAATACATTTGTTGAGTGGAATTCAGTGCAATGCTTGAGTGTGCGAGTGATTGATATTCAAAAATGCTTATATTTCTTTTGAGCAAGCTTCCAAAAAAAGTTTCACATAAAGAAAAAAAAATCTAATATATGTAACTTTAAAAACTACAAGAAAAAAAACTTTAGCTTTGAGTTATTTGAGCATAAATTATAAAAAAAAAAGTTTCTTTAAATGTGCTGAACTTGAAAAGGGGAAAAAAATGTTGTATGAGTGAATATATGATTTATGTTTGAGATTAACAATATGAGAAACATGAGAAAGAAAATAGTACATTAAATATAGTTAGGGCTGGGTGTAATTCTGTGGCCTTAATTTAAAAAAAAAACAAAGAGGGTGGCATATATAGACTAATAGTCCACAATGAGAATAAAGAAAAATCTTAATTGATATTACAAATTTTTCCAGCAAAATATAAGTTCGCAAAATGTTGCAGAAAATAAAATAAATGGGTATGACTGTGCCAAGAGTGAGTGATATGAATGATTGATGTTATAAAACTTTAGAGATTTTCCTTTATTTATGTTCTTTTTTTCTGTTAATGATGCAAGTGAGATGTTCCGTTATGTTTTTCTTGAGGAGAAATATGTATGACAATTTATGTGACTGTACTACCTTTTTAAAATGTCTTGTTGAATGTGCAAAATTGGAGTGGTAAAGCAATGTTATTATTGCCTTGAGCCATGATTATGAATACACGCGGAATTTTCATGGTCTTTTTAAATATTTAATGGGTCATTTGGCATTTTATTAATATACATAAATGCACGAAGACTTTTGTAGTCGAGAAGTTAAGAAAACATAGATGGGATTTTTTTATCGATTTTTTAACAAACATATCAAAGTATAAAGATCAGTAAACACTTCGGGGTGTCTGCAATTTGCTGAAACAAGGGGTTTTATTTGCAATACAAATTTATTCAGTGTAATGTTTCAATAGTATGGGGGTAAATGTGTATAATGGTCGAAAAATTATATAATAGGAACTTATTGGTATTTGTTTTAGTTTTATTCTTCGCAATATTTACATATTTGTTTTGTGAAATACTTTATTTACTTTAACTTTCCAATGCTCAACTAAAATTAACGTTATAAAAAATAGAAGAATTTTTATTTCACCATTGCTGTTGCATATAAAACGACCATAGCTAAAAATCAAATAATATGTATAAGAAAGCAAAAACAAAACTGTAAATAAGAATCTTGGGAAGAGTGATAAAATCTTTGAGATAGGATTAAGATTGAGAATTTGTTGATTGCTAAATAATCAATTTATTATTGTGCAATTCAGTATATCATACAATTTACTAACAGATCAATTCTTTTTCAGTTTTCTCTATTTTTTGGTTACTTTTTCTTTACTTACATAATTTTTATATTTTATAAATGAGTCATATTTGAAAAAAGAGAGTTTATTATTGCAAACAAACATACTGCCAAAGAATAGTATATCTATTTCATCTGTGGTAAATGAGTACCTATGTTTTAATTAATAATGATTTATATATGCCTTCTAATCAGAAATAGTTGTGGAGATTTTATAGTAAACGTTCGAGAAACGCAAAAAACAGGGTGTCCGGAAACGACAACATCAAGTGGCAATGCGAACACGAATAATACATCCGGGTCACCTTCAACAGCTATTGCATCAGCATCAACATATGCCACAGGTATCGTATATCGTGATAAGGACGCATAATTAGTGAAATATTTTCTGTATATTGTGATATACGAAAGAGGGCCAAGAAGTCTGGCCCTAAGAACGTAAGTATATTTTGAACATTGAATGGAAAGATACCTGGAATGATGACTGATACACATGGGAAGTTGTGACGAAGACTTGCACCATTGAGGAGGAGAAATTTAAATATTTCTCTTAAAGAATTTAATATTTAAAATTTGCTTTTAAATCTATTATTTATTATGAAATATTACATAGGCGGATACTTTTTTTCTTTCAGGTTTAATGTATTAAACATTGAAAGTACATATCATATAACAAGAATATCTTTTGAACTATTTTATGCGTTTTCATAGCTAAAGTTAATTCTTTTCTTGAATGAAATTGCAAAGATAATTGTTTGACTTTCAAGTAAAGAATATTTAGTTTGTAATTAAAGTTATCATAGCAATATATGTATTTGATTATTTCATAATAATTTTTCAATGAAAATAAACTAATTGCTATGATAACGTAATAATTAAAAATATAATACTATACATCAGGTAACTGTAAGTACAATATATTAGGGCGAGTAATGTCTTTCTTACAGGTCTCAAACCTTCCCACTCGCCACAACTCTCATTTTATAAAATGTTTTATAATATTCTGTTGTATAATTGTAATTTTTAAGTGTGATATGAAAAAGAGTAATCTTTATTTGCAGAGGAAGACGATGAGAAGGAAGGGAATGGCTGTACCGGAAATACTAATTGACTTTTTTCATAGTTTCTTTTATATATTTATATATACATATATATATATGTCGTATTAGATATAGTGCTCCTTTGGCATTGAAGCAGTTCATGGAGATTATATTGTTGAAATATTCTATACATTTTTCATCTCTAAATGCGAATAAAAATCACACTCTAATTGATCTTTTGTGATTTCCCCTCCATTGAATATAGATGAGAGCAAAATGGATAATGGCAAAACGGTGAATAAAGTGCCGATGGTGCCACTAATGGGTGCTGAAGGACAACCTGAGCAGTTGAACTACTCCAGTGCAAATTATCTACCGCCTGGACAGCAACAGAGATACATGATGGAGAAGAGCAGTGATTTTGGCGGCGGCGGCAGTCAAGGGAAGAATGAGGAGAATTACGGACCCCCGCCGATGCCGATGAGAAATGAGTTCCGGCCAAATATGAGGCGATATATGGGGCAAGATTCTAATCCGCCAATGCTGGAGCGCGGCGTGATGATCCCGCCACCTCCACATCCAGGAGTTTTCAACAGATCCGGAAACTATGGAGGCTATCAACAGAGGTTCAGAAGTCAATGGTGAGTGCAAATTTTGTGAATTTTGAACTGTAGAATTTGGCTTGATGCCCTAATATTTTGCAGAATTACGACAAGATTGCGTCACATTGGCTCAGCACAGTCCTGGAAAGTGTGTCTCTTTCAAGACTGCAGGATAATCCAATGAAAATATTGGTAATTTTGTGAGTTTCATCTATTCATATACTCAAAGTTCTTGTATATAGTTGTGTTCTAAGTAAGGATGAGTGAAAGAGATTTAAAAGTATAAAATAATAATGAGTTCAATAAGTTATTGAATACCACATCTTTTACTTCTTGTTCTTCAATGATATTGTTGCTGATTTGAAATAAGCAGAGTGAAGCAAAGAAAAGTCTTCCATTTGTGTTTTCTACTTGGTTTAATGAGCCTTAGAAGATTCTATTTATGTAAAAACGACAATTTCCATCTAAGAGTATTGCAATGAATATAATCCATGTCGTAAATTACTGCGATGAACGATGATGCTAATGCAGAAAGGAGGGCAAAACGAAGCTCTGAGTGATGGAGTCCTCGGATTTGTTAATGCTGATCGTAGCATTATCATCCGGATGGCAACTGATCAGTGTGGAGTTGCTGGAGTACTGAGGTTTCATCTCATTCTCCTCCATTTGGCAATTGACATTGTACTTGGACTCGTCCATAGTCCCCATCGTGTGTATAAATTTATTCTCCGTTTCGATGTACTTCCCATTGGGCACTCTGGTGGATAGCAGATGGTTGTAAACATATAGTAATTATTCGAAATTTATTACACCGTCAGGACTCACCCATTTGGGGGGCAATGAGTGTCGTACTTGTCGTCTATTGTGACATAGTGGTTACTCTTCTGCTGCCCATCGTCCAGTTCGCCGCCGCCGCCTCGAGGTGGGCTGCCATAGTCAAAGTGTTGGCGGACGGGGAAAAGTTGACTATCATGGACGTAGGAGCCGTATTGGCCTGAAAAGGAGCCATAAGGACTCGAAGCCGGTGACAAGATGTTAAAGTGTGAGCTCAACTCGTACGGCGACTGGTAGCTTGTCCAACTGTCCACACTGCCGGGTGAGTTCACAGCGGCGGGTGTTTGTGCGAAAGTGGGAAAAGGTGCTCCCAAGTTTGTTAAGGGAGTCGAAGGACTATTGGAGCCTATATATCCCGTCTTCCTAGGTGGTTCTCGCTTGCGCCACTTAGCCCGTCGATTCTGGGACGGTGGGATGAACTTATAAGATTACTTGGATAGGAGCATAATATTTTATCTTACCTGAAACCATACTTGAACCCGTGATTCACTTAAGTTTAGTTTTAAAGCCAGTTCTTCCCTCGCAAAGACATCTGGATATGGAGCCCGCTCAAAGGCTCTCTCTAGCTCCTCAAGTTGATACGCCGTAAAAGTTGTCCTAGGAATAGACAAATGTCGCATCTTAGTGAAATTATATTTAAAATCATTTATGTTTAACTAGATGTAGTAAATAAAAATTTGTCTGCGTGAATACCGCAACTAAACATGACCACTTGAATATGCCGGAAACGCGTAGGAGAATCTCTAATTAGTACAGAGAAAGATAACGGCGTGATGCAAGTAAATAAGTTAATTGTTCTGTTCAAGTAAAAAGTGTAATGCTTGTGTTTTTGTGTTGAGGAGGTCTTTTGTCCAATATGCATTCAAATTGATTTGGGTAAGAGATTCTTACCTGGTCTTCTTCTTTTTAATCCCATTGGGATCCGATTTCTTCTTCTCGTTCTTTTTTGCCGCAGGCGACGGTTCTGATCCACCCGTATTCCCTGATCCATGTCCAGCAATGGCGGAATTATTGGTGGAATTAGGACTTGATCCCTCTTCGTTTTTCCTCTTGATGCACTGCATTCCATTGTGCGGTCTCATAGTGGAGTCTATGGGTTGAGGTTGCTGGAACATGTTGATATCGTAGTCAATCTTGGTAGTGTACTCCATATCCGAGTTTGGAGAGTAGTTCATCTTGCCGTTGGACAGGAACTCAATTTTACTGCCCGGGGAGTAGGAATCCAACTTCCCGTTGGCATACTCGACAGCTTTGCCATTGGGTGAATAAGAACCCAACTTCGTGCTCGAGTATTCAATATTCTTGTAGTGATCCATCTTTGCGGAGCCGCCGGGGAAGAGGCTGTGGACTTCGGGCAGACGCTGTTGGCCCGCCAACTCGGGTGTATGATGTCCTGGCATTTGGGGATCAAGTTGACCCAGCATGGCCTGAACTGAAGTGTTAGCAGGCGGTATAAGCTGAGCTTGATCTTGCATGGGTTTTCCTATGGGTGTGAGTGGGTCGGGAAATTCACTGAAAATATGCTCATCAAATCCCGTGGCTTCCATTGCATTACACAATCACGCCCTGGCTTCCAATTGATCACGGGAATCACAACGTCTGGCAAACAAGTGAACACTCAATTGATGAATTAACAATTATTAATTACATAATTTCATAATCACTCGCTGGCACTAAGATGCGACACAACTGAGGAGGAAGGCACTGACAGGAGACACTGAACGGTACACGGAGGGCGAATATCTTCGACACTAGTGATGGCACAATCTAAAAATCCGAAGTATTTATACTCAATTAAGGCCAATTTATATCTCCGCCTCTCCCATCCAATGGCGCGAGGGTTCCAATTCCTTGCCCGCCATCAGGCCTGGAAGTCGCCCTGAAGTTTGTGATAAGGCGGAGTCTGCTGGACCCCGAGCCATTATGTGCCCAGGCAAGGTTTTTTCTCACACGCCACACCAGACTCTAGAGTGAGATCGCACAGGCCAGGGGAATATATATATCACCCGAAAATGCACTCGATACTTTCTCAGCAGCGGGTGAAGTGAAAACCCACATTTTCTACCCATCCATTCACCTCCAGAAGTATTCCCGAATAACCCAAAATCGCCATAAGTTCACATAAGGGTCACGTGTTGGCATGCCGTTAAGAAAGTCAGAATCCAATGCAACCCCAGCGCATTTGAATCACTTTTGGCAACATGAGGGCTCTGAATCCCGCGTGCCAAACCATATCGACACGACAAGCGACGCCACATAAACCTCAACCCTCATCTTTTCCCGATCGCCGTGAAATTTTACAACCAGTAAAAATTCATTAGCATTGAGAGGATGAAAAGTGCGGGAAATCCACTGCACTCAATTATATTTGTGAGTTATGCATCCTGACATAATACTTCGTCAATGTTTGTTTTCAATGCTACAGAGGCTCGGCAAATTTAATGGGGAGGAAAGGTCATAAGAGTTGGTTAGGGATCACACATTAGCGCGACAGGGGTTTATAATGAATGCACTTGAGGGAACGAGAGGTGCAAATAATGGCTTCAATATCTTACGTCAAGCGACGAATTTGATACCTGCGAGAGGTGAAATCTTTAAGAATTTAGTTACTGTATGTATGTCCAACTGACGTCATAATTACAATAAACTTTAAAATGAGATTATGAAATAAATATGGTCAATATATAGACAAACGGTAGTTATAAAAAAGTATATAGCATAGATTTTACTCCTGTGCCTGATTAAAATAATATCAAAATGGTATATACATATCTTTTATATCATAGCAGTGATAAGGAATATAGATTTTTACGACGCAAGGTGTTTAAAATATATTTTAAAAATTCACAACAATCATAAAACTATTTATATAAATTTACATATTCCAATATTATGATTTTTAATCAATTACTCTTTCCTGTATAAACTAGATAATCTTTTCTTACGTTTTGTAAACTATCAATTCATTTTTATTAAAAATTCATCTTCCCTTATATTTAGGTATTTATAAATGAGCAGATAGAAAAGTTCAAATGTTGGGATTATTTTAATGAATTATATCGTGAATAACTTTGCACTGTGGTATTTTTTGCAACACTTCCGTTATAAATATTCGCTGATCGTGTGCAAAAGTGGATCGCGATCAAATGGGTGAGCTCTCAACTGCTCGAGATTTCCTCTGATTTTCACATCAATGTCCCACATCTCAGGAAGCATTTTGTTTTAAGCCAGTCTCTGTATCACTTGAAAAAGTATCTCTCGCCATCATGGCAAATGTAGACAAAGAGTCAAAAGTCGTCGATAGGAATTGTCCATTTGTATATTTTTTACTGTCTCTCTCTCTTCTTGAGAGCTCATTTTTCATAATGCCTCCATATAATGCGAGATATTACCAGATATTTAGAATTGAAAGCAAATATAGCTTTATACATATGTACTAAATATGTACTGTCTGTTCTATGTACTGTACAGCGTGTGTATGTAAAATTTTTCCATTCAAGCAGTGATCCTTAATTGACTTCAATTGGGTTTAATTGTTTAATAGCCCTCTGCGGGCTGAGGCATTGCTTGTTTGGTGACTCTCTGTGTACGCCGTGGCATATTTTGTCCATCGCCGCTCTCGTCACGCTGTATCCCCCGTTTCACCATATCCCACCATATAGATGCGGAGTGACCAGAGAGAGCACCTCATTGTCAAGTGAATAAAATTCACATCCCAAGATGATCGCAACGCACTCAAAACACTCTGAGTACATAACAACAAATTCACACACAAAACGGCCCACGGATCTGTGGGGAGGGCATTTCTGTGTCTGTCCCTCCCGGACACATGACAAAGCCTCCGTGTCGCTTGTCTCCAATCATGGAGTCGTTGTCAGGGGGCGAAAAGGAGGCGGACAAGTGGCAACAAAAGTTAACAGAAGCACCCAACAGTCGCCTCTTCGGTGCGACTTTCAATTTAAATATGCGCAAGCATACACTGAATTAGATGAATGGTCACACAGCATAATAAATAATTTGATTACAACTTAAATGGTGAAATGAAAAAAATGGAAAGCTTTTTTGTTTGCTACACAATTCCCTGGATATTATCTCGTGTGTGATCACTTGGCCATGATATGATCTTCCCGCGACGAAATTCACAAACGTATATTGTTCTAAAACCTTCAGAATAGGTAAAATCAGCTAAAAATCAAATTAAATAGACGAAGAAATTGCTAAACATTTTAAAAACCAAATGGTTCATTCAGAACGAGTATGTAATTGTTGAGACATTATCAAAATATTACTTTGTCGTTAAAAATTTCCAAAGAATTTTTCCATATTCCTGTTTTTTCATTGACAATTGATTCGCTTAAAAGTAGTTGACATCTACAAATTGGTATAAGTCTCTGCTATCTTTTCACTTGAAATTTCTAATTAAAAATGGCTACTCAATTTTCTACCCCGGTGTATTAGTAGAAAAATTTGGGGGGGAAATGATCAAATATGATGATATTTATCATTATTATCAATTGTAAATAATTTTATAAATAGTGATGGTGATAAAACTTACACCAATACATTATGTCTCATTTTCCGCAATCAGAAAATCCATTGCATTGATATATTGAAATATGGTTTCATCAACATTTTAATAATCTGATATTTTTCACATGGTAAAAATTCAGTATAAAATCTGATCAATTACGATCTTAAAAAATGTGTTTCAGTGAATGATGAATTTTGTGATTTAAGTGGCTGATTGTGGGCATATTTGAATAATTCCCATGTAAAACGTTATACTAAAGTTAAATTTTTTCCACGACTTGATAAGAATGATGCCCTGTAATCATCCAATCTGTGGGAATGTCACAAGAGAAGCTCATAAATCACACTAAATTGCTATCTTTGGGGACAGAGAGAAAAGTAGCCGTACCAATGTGCAGATGGAAATGTATATGACAATTGCAGAGCCAAAGTAATCTAATTAGAATTGATCTAAATAAATAGGATTGCCAATCGCTTAGGTCTCTTGCGAATTGGCATGAGTTTCCCGGTAAAAATTGATCTGTGATGAGGTCGTTTGTGAGTCACCTTTTTTGCGGAATAATGTGAGAAATTCTTCGGGAAATCATTTGGCATTTGGCATGACAACCGAGGGGTGAATAGCTGAAAATTCTTGCAGTGCATTATGGATGAAGGAGATGGGAGCTCATCGGAGCGACAGTTAATGCACAAAATAAGTAAATATTGCATGATAAATTGACTTGGCTTAAATCAAAATAGAATACATATAATAACACGAATTCACACACTCCTTAGAACCCGAAGAACACATGTGTTGGAGTCCCGTGTTCATTTGTACGTGAGAAGGATGGTTAAAAGAAGCTATTTTTAGGGTGATTCTATTTTCAATCTTCATTTGACTTTAGTTCACGAGTACAAGATGCTCATCAGTGTGTTGAGATTAACGCAAGAAGGCACGCTCATGGGAGACTTCTCTCAATCATTTAATGATTGTATTTGAACGCACTTCATCTACTTTTAATTGCTGAATGTGCTGTGACACACTCATATTACCAGTGATCAAGTTATTGAAGTGATTGTGATGCTGAATTTCTCACAGATTTCAGTTTACCACCAGAAAAATTATCATCAATTTGGTGGAGATGTTAAGCGAGTGAAAAGCTATGGCGGTTGATGTGGAATTTACTACATAGGTTCGTGAGTGAGAAATTCCGTCACAGAGGAAAATGAACCAGATGGAATGCAAAGAGTGCAAAGAAATGTGAAAATCTCTCACAAAGTGTATAAATTCGACGATCAGTGACGCGGAAATTTGCCTAATATGCGCACTTTCTTCCAAAATTGGCTCATACGAAAATGCTTCAATTAAGATTTCCTATGATGATTTTATTCTTGGCACTGAGTGTATCGCTCAGCTGTGGAATGATTGACGCCAGCACCGAGAATTTGGCAGGCACACTCCAAAACAGTGACACGACAAAAAGTAGCCGTGTCCCAAAAGAGGCTCATCTTCACGCAAAAACATCCCCAACGAAGAGTCGCCGACAATCGCACCGGAACTTCACCCTGACACGCCAGATCGCCATCAAGCAGGGCATCCTCAGGGGCGTTGTGCGCCACATGCACCCTCAATCTGGTTTAAGGGATGTGGATCAATTTCTGGGAATACCGTATGCTGAACCTCCTATCAACAGCAAACGTTTTATGCCACCAGGTAATGGGATCGCACACTCCATCCACGCTTTTATCCGCCCAAACATTATTTTTTTCTCTACACTCCACGCTCGCAGGACTTATTTTTAGAAGCGTGTTTTTACATATGTACTATTATATCGTGAAAAGCAATCCCTATATTGCCTCATTTGCTATCTCAACATCGCGACATGAGTCTCTTTTCAGCCCACAGTGGGTAAATTCTCCAAAGAAAGGCGGGAATTTGCATATGAAAAGTGAAGATCGCGTACAAATTCCCCCAAAGGGGCTATCAAGTATACCTAGACATATTTTCAAGGAATAAGTATTAGCTTAAATAATAATTATATATCTTACCAAGTGTTAATAATTTTTTTGTCTGGGAAAGTAATAATTTTTGGATCATATAAATTTGGGATCTTTCATAAAATGAATCGTATTTATTAGCCCCTGAAGTGCAACTTATAAATATGAGACTTTTCCCCCTGAGGTTTTCGCTCAATTCTCTCTGCATGAACTTCACACTCTCTTGAGATTTTGTGCGTTTCCCCAGTTAAGCCGCTGAAAATTCCATACCACGACAATTTGCAATAAATACGGATGTTTCCTTGCAGTTGTCGAATATTATGGGAATAACATGCTGTGTGACTTCCTCTCAAGAGTTACAGTTCAGTGGAAGATGTAGTTTTTCTTCAACAAAGAAACAATCAATCATATCAGATACTTTACACAGTGAATTGTCACCACAGGATTGTTAATGAGCCAAATAAGTTAAAATAAACTCGAAAATTTTATGATATTTTCTCCCAAAGTGACATGAGAGACAAATTTTTCATGTTTTCACCACATTTTTCAAACTCTTGGAAATTTCTCGCGATTGGAATTAAGAGTTATAATTGAAGAACGAATGTAGAGGATTTCTCACAGATCTTCAATCAATTTCAAGCTATAAAATCGATAATGGCTTGCGTAATAGTTGATCTTTAAACAAATATGAATTTACTAAGACAATTATTGTATTTTACGACAATCGAATTGGGTTTTATGGCTTTTATGTGTGATATTTAGATCATCTTATGATGTAATTCTGTCAATAGGATTACATATATCCGTTTCTCTCGAATATTCTGCTGTTTTGCACTAACGACTGCCATGGATTAAAATTTCTGTTTGATCTTCAAGAGAATCTCAATTTATTGTTTATTTTGTATTACATTAGAACTTATTTTTTACATCTATTAATTCTATTTTAACTATTAATTAAAATCATTTACCTAATTTTTGACTGAAATAAGGTAACTAAAAATCATCCTCTTTTCAGGAGCTCCATTGCCTTGGTCAGATGTACGGATATTTGCTGAATTGCCACCAGTATGTCCACAAAACCTTCCTAATCTTCAGGCAGCCAATGGAACTCTGTCCAAGGGACGGTATAATCAACTTAAAAGGCTTTTGCCATATTTAAAATCGGAGAGAGAAGACTGCCTCTTTTTGAACATATACATACCTACCTGGGGTGAATATAATTTTTATTGGGCTATGGCGCTGAGCTTATTATGAAAGAAACTATAAAATTCATTGCAGAGGGATCAATTTTTCAAGCAAAATTTCCTGTGCTCGTATTTATTCATGGAGAATCTTTCGAGTGGAATAGTGGAAATCCCTATGACGGTTCTGTATTGGCCAGCTATGGAAGAGTGATTGTAATTACGGTGAACTACCGTCTGGGTATTCTGGGATTCATGAGGCCAGGCGTGGAAGATCAGACAGTGAGCAATTTCGGTTTGCTGGATCAAATTGCTGCTCTCCAATGGATTAAAGAGAATATTGAGGCTTTCGGCGGTGACAGCTCTTCAGTCACTCTCATGGGACATAGTACTGGAGCTGCTTGTGTGAACTTCCTGATGGTCTCTCAGGTGGCCAAAGGACTTTTCCACAGAGCCATTCTCATGTCAGGATCAGCATTGTCCGATTGGGCAACTTCTAAGCATCCCACTCAATATACAATGAAAGTCGCACAGAGTGTTAATTGTCCTATCACAGATGAAGAACTTGTTGCTTGTTTGAGGAGGAAAAGGTGAACAATATGGTTTTATTACATTCCCTCTAATCACTGCTAACAATGTCATATTCTACAGATACACAGAAATGTTGAGAGCAAAAGTTTCCTCACCAAAATTTTCAACAGTGTTTGGTCCCTTAATTGATGGACTGGTAATTCCCAACGATCCAACCTCGATCATGAGTCAATCCACTGATACGTTCAGCAAGTAAGTGCAAGGCACCCGCATGTGAACACTTTTCACCCTCCCATAAACTGCATTTACACCCTATTGTAGGTATGATTTGCTCTTCGGCATGACCGAAGTCGAGTCCTATCACATGCTCAATGCCATGGAATTGATGTATGGTCTTCTGGAGACTGAGAGAGATACTCTTCTGCGCTTCTACCTGCAGAATCGCTTTGAGATACGTCCGGATTTGGCATTAGCAGCTACTCTGAAGGAGTAAGAATGCAATTCTAAAATTGTTATGTTTCATTTGCATTTAAACATAATATATGAATTTTTTCATAGGTATTCAAATATTTATTCCACCGAGAAGACTCAAAATGCTAATTACCATCGAGATAAAATTCTGGAAATATTCTCTGATGCCAGAGTCGCTGGTCCACTGGTTCAGACTGGGTTATTCCATGCTAAAAGTAATCCACGAAGTTTCATGTACGTCTTTGCTCACAACACCGAAGCTGGAGAGTATGCTTATGTATGTAAAATTTCAATTAATTTATAATATTAAATGTTAATATATTTATCATTTCTTTCAGCTTTCACAAAGTATTATTGGAGAAGAGTTAGCTTATGTGTTTGGAGCTCCTTTAAATCCATCAGGAGTTTTTCAACCATTCTATAATTCTCAAGAAAGACTCTTGTCCGAAGCAGTTATGAAATATTGGACAAATTTTGTAAAAACCGGGTAAGTTTTAGACAGGTTTCCAATATTTCAATATATTTTTATGTGGGATTTTGTATAATCAAGGAATCCAAAGGCTCCATGGAGGGATAGGTTCCTCAATGCAAATCCCATTGAATGGGCTCGCTTTGACATCGATTGGCCGGAATATAATCAAATCAATCAGAGCTACTTGCATCTCAACTCCCATCCAGTTGTGGGTCATCAGTATCGCCACATCTTCATGAGATTCTGGAATCAAAATCTTCCAAGTGAACTGCATAAGTTGACTATTGCTAAAAGTAACGTTCACATGATGCCATTGAATATTCCAAGTCCTGAGGCTCCACGGAGAGAAATCTACGGGAACTTCTCAACGCATCCTAGGTACTTTGGCGGAGGGGAAGTAAAGACATACCCAGACGAGAGGATGTTCTCCAAGACTGACGATCCGATATCCATCCTCAGACTACTCAGCAAAAGCACTAGACCAAGTCCTGAAATCAGTGTGGCAACAGAGGAGAGAATGTCTACAGAATTGGCTAATGTGACGCCCTTTGACCCGGATTCTTATACCCCAAACTCGGCGAATCTCACTCTAAACCTCCTCATTATCATTGTGGTGATTCTATCAATACTTATCGTGATTTTTGGGTATATTCTAAAGAGATCATATAAAAGAACTTCGCCCACTGAGAAAATTCTCAAGAATATGAAGCGATCAACACCGCCGAAGATGTTCTATCGAAGTGACAACGACTTGAGTGAAATTTCAAATAACTCGTATGACATGGTGAGGATTGAGCGAGGCTCCAAAGTTGATTCCATTCACTCAGACGGTATTAACTATCCAACTACCGTAATTAAGGCACCTTGGAGAACGTTGCCAAAGAGATGCAGCTTTGAAGATCCGGAAAATCATTCTGATTGCTTTACAAAGCCGGGCCAAGTCAGTGTGGCCATAGATGCCACTCCACAGGCCAGAAGTGGAAGTGTTCTGAAACAGGAACCCATTGAAGTAACAAAATCGCGTATTTTATTAACGCCAGAGACAAAAATCATTTGTCAGGAGCTGGAAAACCCCACTCTATCAGCTTATTACGGAGATGATCTTTGCGAGGAAGAGGATTATTTGAGACAACCTCCTGAAAATCACATTACCACATTGGGAAACGGGCACGTGCGAAATTTCTCGGATAGTCAGAAATGCACAGAACTCGTGTCAACTTCTGCAAGAGGAACCAACTCGCTGGATTCCACGAAAATGCGTCGGAGATCCCTACCAGCCCAAAATCAACTGGATTTTGCCATGGGGTGGGTTAAAGTTCCTCCAGTGCCCCCTCCTCGAACTGTCTCCACACTCAGTCGACGCCACAATCTTCCAGTGCCTGAGGAGAATCTTCCACACCCACCACGTCATATGCTGGCCACTCTGCCGCCGAGTGACCAAGAAGAAGTTATCACGTCTAACACCCTTATCGTGGGCCCTCTGATTCCATCAAAGGGTGCCAAAGGAAAGTCCTCAGACGCCACTGATGATGGTGAGGCAGCTGAGCTCTGCGGGACTTCATCCACCACCAAGTACAATGCTCTGAGCAGGAGTAGAAAAAAGTCTACAACGAGAAATGAGCCCAACATTATCATTAAGCCCAGCATCTCGAGGTCCACATCAGAGAAGACCAACAAGTTCAGTGTCCGTCGCACACCAGCGTCCGCGACCATTATTAGTCCAGCTGCTTCCGGTGAGATGCCTAATTAACCTGCACGCTCCTGCAGCATTCTGTTCACTATCTATTCCCGAGAAATCACTTGAGTTAAGTAATTATGCAACCCGAAACACACAGTATACAAGTATAACTTTTTAATCGTAAGAGTATGTTTTTCTCCTTTTTTATCACAGCAATATTGTACGAGACTTTTATTGAAATAGAAAAAAAATGTCATCATGAAATTGGAGTCTTCCTCTGTGATTTTGTATTGGACAAAAGAAACACAAAGTATTGTTCTCTTTTCATTCAATATGATTTTATTGAATTGCCCAATAGAGAAGAAAATGTTTGAAAAATCTATTCCACGCACTTCACATCATTTTACAACAAGGCATCTTCTACTACACTGCTTTCAAATTAAGGTAGATTCCATGACGAGGGTAGCTGAAAAATTGGCCAACATCCAGTTTCAGTGGTTGCTGTGTTTTCTCATTCACCGTGACGCAATATTGCCTTATGACTTCCACCACCGAAGTTTTTACTTGCAGCATGGCAAAACGCATTCCTATATCCGATGAAAAATTAGTTTTGAGATCTCCGAAAACTGCTTAATTTTTCGCTGAATACCTACCTAGACAAATTCTTGGTCCATTTCCAAATGGAAGAAAAGAGCACTTATCCTTGAATACCTTCGATCCTCCATTCTCTTCGTCAAATCTCTCGGGAATAAATTCCTCTGGGTTAGGAAAGTTATGTTCATTACGGTGGATGGAGAAAATAGGAATATGTACGGTCATGCCACGAGGAATCTCAACTGCTTTCCCATTAACAGAGTATTTAACATTTTCAGTGCAGAGTTTACTAATGATGATCAAAGGAGGGTGAATACGCATGGTTTCTATAAAAGAAATTGTCAAAATAAGAAGTTTCTTATAAATTCTATTCCCTTACCATTGACCACTTGATCCAAGTATGGCATTTCTTGAATAGATTCGTAGTTTATTCCACCTTTCGCTTCATATTCTCTGATCTCTTTCCTAAGTTTCTCTTGAGCCCTTTCATTTCTGCCTAACTGTAAGAAAATACTTGCTGTAATCTGAGAAATACAAGGTATTTCGAACAAAATACTTCATATAGAACCAGAGGAATAGCTATGCTTGTTGTTTCATATCCATCCAGATAAACAGTGAGTCCATGGGATGTCATTTCGGTCAATGAAAGATTCTTCTTACTCCCAAGATCCATTATGAAAGACAAAAAATCACTCCTTTGAGTATTGCTTTGACTTCTGAATTGAATACCTTTCTTCATTAATTCTTCGAAGGATTGTCCGACATTCCGGCTGACTATCCAGAAGCATTGGAAACGCTTCAAGAGTGGCAGGACAGCTGTTAGAATGAAGAAATTAACAACATTTTCAAAACAATCAAGTAGTTTGGCTCCCAAATCACAAAGAGGAGCGTCTTCTTGGGTAAAAGTCCCCGCTTCAATGCCAAAGATCGTGTCAGTTACTACTTCTGTGGTGAATCTTGCTGAGACATCTCGAAAATGAACTCCATCTTCAGATTGTTTAGCCACTTCGCTTTTGAGAAAAGTGGACATTTTCTGACAAGTGTTCTCAATTATTGGAAAAATTGCTTTCATTTTGCCACTAGTAAAGGCTGGTGCCCATTGGCTTCTTGTGTCCTTCCAATCCCTGTCTTTCATAACGAAAGGACTGTGGCCTATATAAGGCTCAGATTTCGCGGTACACATATCAGAAATGTAGTTATTGTAGAATTGTTTGAAATTCTCCACCAAGACAAATTTCACAAAGTCAGGATCGATGGCCAGAATATGTGGTGATCTTAGAATGTAAACCCCTATAAATGGTGTTTTGCCATAGAATTCTCTGTAAAAAAAATTCGTTACTTAAAACTTCCATTGAAATTCCTCATACCTTGAATACCTATAAAACTTATCAAACTCGTAAGCCACAGACACTTTATCAGCCACTAAACTCTTAGTATTGCCGAAAAAGAGAGACGGTTTGGGACCTGGAATTCCTCTTCTTTGCCAATAACTGAAATTCCATGTCCAAAAGACACAGAAAATCAGAGCAAGTCCCAAAACTCCCCCAAGAAACAACCAAATCATGCTTCCTTGGCAAATATAACCGACAAACTGAGGCCCATTTGCGACTCGAAGTGATCTGTTATCACCATGTGGCCGAGGTCAAGTCTCATTCATACTCAATCCTTATCACAAACTCAAGAAAAGTTCACGATAAAATTATAATAAAATCAGTTTGTGTCTCTATCATATTACAGTATTTATTAAATCAAATTTATTTTCATATATGTATAAACTTTCCACCCAGTGCTATCTACAGATTAATAACTTGTACACAATTTATAGGAGGAAAAATCATATATCTCAACAGAAGCATTTACATTAAGATTACAGAAACAATTATCTTTTTTTTTCATTCTGATCATATTTAAACAAAATATTGTAAACAACAATGGGTATATGCAAATTATGACAATATTTAAGAAATCAACATTCCCTTTCGTCGTCTCACTTCCAAAGAGAATCAAATTAATAGACATCCAAAATTCACACGTTTCGCCAATCGTCACAGAAACATTTTTAAATCAATATATTTATGCAGGATTAACCCTCCCTGCCATCCCTACTCCTAATACTTCAAATCTTTATTTTCGGGCTAACGAAACGTTCTTCAAATCACAAAAGAGGTGTCTACTAAATTCGACTGATTTGTGGATTATTTATCAAGTCTTTACCAGTTCAGTTGAAATAGATATTATGTTAGATCAATATATATATATTATTATGGTCTACAAAAATCACCCCAACCATTGACACGCATTCAAATTCAAATACAACCTTCCTCTCTACGTAGTATGTCTTATATCTTACGATTATTATAATAAGTGTTAAAATATTCCGTCTTACATCCTTCTATGCAAATTCTTGGCTACTGCTGAAAATTACCAAATTGGTTTGGATTATAAAATTGGGGTGTATTCTGCAAGAAAAATAAATATTTAGTAATTTCAACATGAATCATAAAATGTAGAATTTACATCTGTTTGATCCGATGTAGCACCACTTCCAGTTTGAGGAACAAAGAAGCCTGTCTGCGGAACTGAAGGCAGTGTGGGTGCCATCACCGGCTGAATTGGCTTCATTGGGGCACCGCTGGGATTGAAGACATCCACATATGAATTCTTCAAAGCTGCAAAAAAAACCAATGAATTATTTAAAGAAATTCCTTACGTTCCACTGAAGACCACTTACTTCTGTTTCGCTGCATTTTAAACATATTCGATTGCAAGTTGTTGTTGCCCTTGAGCGTTGGAGCAGCATCAGCTGTTGGGGTCGGAGCAAGAACTGGAGTGCTCTGCGGAACAGCCTGAGCGACCTGAGGCGGATGATTCTCTTGATGTGGTATTGAATACTCATGATTAGACTGTGGAGTCAAATCTGCCATCTTAGGTGGAGGCCTGAAGCTCTCCGTCTCATCAGTATCACCGTCTGTGTTGACCCACTTCTTCTTATCCGGATCCCAAACAATCTGCAAAGAACAAAACCAAGTAATTTGTTTAATACTCATTACAGAAAAAAAAATTATAAATAAATTACCGTGGGATTCTTATCATCAGGTAGTATCATTTGGTTCTTGGGCTTTAATGAGAGTTTTCCCCAAATGCCACCAAACCAGCCACTCGATTGATTATTCTGCTGTCCCGGAAGCTTTCCATCCTTTCCAGAAGTCTTCTTCGTACTGTTATCCATTTGATTCTTGCCTCCGGCTTCACTCATTTTCGCCTTTCTCTCACTCTCCTGTGGTGTCTCGTCATAGAAGCCGGGCTTGTTTGAAAGAGAATTTGGCATTGTTATTTGTGGTTTTGGCATCTACAAAGAGAGAATCAGAAACAAAAATAATCACCTATTAGTTGTGCTTCTGTAGCAGAAATAGCTAAATTATTTTGTCAGCTGTTAATACAGTGGGACTGTTGGGAAGCAAATAATCGGGAAATCACTGAATTTTCATTTGCTAAAATTGAGGAAAAAAAAGAACTAAACAGTGAATAAGTCCATTTTCCTCATTTGTAACCACTTTATTTTGGTTGCAAAAACACACCTTTGTATACAATTGATTCAGTGTCCATGTAAAGGCTTTTATTTGGAGGAAAATTTACTTGTTATATGTATTAGTTTGCTATCTACTGACTTTAGCAGGTGCGACACCATAGTTCTACGTATCAACATCAAATGTTAGCCAAAAATTTTCTTTCTTCTTCCTTTCCCGCTTTTTCAAATACGTCTCAAACTCCGTGCAACTTCTCTGAAACTCTAATTTCATGCGCGCGTAATTTATCTCAATGCTCTCATCTTCAATCAAGTCCTGAATCGATAATCCCTCCGTTTCAGCACTTTCAATCTGATCTTCCATGTGATGAACCAATTCCAGTCCTGATCCCGCCTCGAAGCGACTCGAGAGGGGATCATCAATAGGATATGTTCCATTATAGATCACCTTCTTCATTTGCATCCCTCCACCCAAGCTGTCTTGACGAAAAGCCACCTTCTCAGTACGTCGCAGTGCCAAAGATTTGCGCCGAATCACACGCAACGGATGTGAGTTAGTGTCACACACGAGGACACACCTACTTACTTCTTCCACCGGCTGTCTTTGAAGCCGTTTAGGTGACTCTTGCAATTCTTCGATTTCAGGCACATCCTCACTACTCTTGCCCTCTGTGGGTGAGAGTGCTTCAGACGGAGGTGGAAGAGGCTGCGTCCGAATTTGATTTGAGATGATTCGTTTCATGATTTTGGGATTTATCAGATGTACAGAGAATGCAATGACTCAAGAAGTTAGTTGAATATATCGTGAAATATCACTATACCTCGCTATTTGACTGCTGCTGCTGCTGCTGTTGCTGTTGCTGACCATAGTAGTCAAAACTTGATGAATTGTCCGCATTCTGCTGACCACCAAACTGAGATGGATCATAGTAATTGGGACTATCCATTGATGTCACCGGATTTCCTTGATCAACACTTCCATACGGCACAGAAGAATATTGATTTTGATAAGGATCGTTCAGTTGTTGCGACTGATAGTCTGGAACTGGCGGATTCATCACTGGGGCCGAGTAGTCAAGCGAAATGGGCTGATTATGCTGATCAGCTTGATACTGTAGATTCAGTTGATTGAATTGATGATTTATTTCTCTGAACTGCTCATCGATTTCTGTCTTTGAAAAATCCACATTCTGAGCTTGTGGATATGGAGTAGGGACTGATGTTGTTGAAGTATTTTGAGCCAGATTCTGCATTGAACTTGATTCATATGACAAAACTCCACTCTGCAAAGGAAATTTATACGAATTTAAGGTACACTTTTCCTCTGTATGATTTACCTAATATTACTCACATTAAATTGTCGCAGGACAGATTGAAGATCATTAAGCCAATTCTGTCCATCTTGAGTTCCTTCCTGGGCATCCGTTGAAGACTCATCAAGCAATTTATCATGCATAGGATCGTAGTACTTCAATCTATCTGCCATTGCAAAAACTCTCTCAATGAAAGTCGCTTCATATTTGCTAGGATCCTTCTGAATATGCCTAGAGATTTGCTCCATATACAGCAAAGCCTTCAATTGCATCCCATAATCGATCATTCGACATGCTAAGATGTACTTATAAGGCTGGAATTCCGTCACTGAGAACTTCTCATCGTTCAGTGTACAAGCATACTCATAGATTTCTGTCATCATTATCGCTTCAGATGTAGCAAATTGCTTGAAACTGCGATATGGAGATGATCCAAGCAGCACCAAACGCGGTGATGTCGATGAATTCGACATTAGTGTGGAATCCTGATTGACATTTCGATACTTTCCAAAATTCACCTGCGCCATCAAATAGCAAAAGTGCGCTCCAAACACATCTCCACGATTGTACAGAGAATCCCCAAGAGTTGTGATAGCTTTTATGTTGAGCTCAGGCTTTTGAGACGTGTTTGATATTATCATAGCCAAATGTGGACGCCAATCTCCCCATTTCTCATCCACAACACTCGTCACTGAAGATGGAGCACGTAGACTCATAAGCTGATAAAGTGTTTGAAGAGGATCATTCAGCGGAAGCTTGTTAGCAAACTTCATCATAACATTGGCATGAGATCTGCGATCGACTTTTGAGGCAAGGAATAAAGCATGCCCCCATAAATTATTATCAGTGGCCCAATCGAGGGCTTCATTTACATTTCCATAGAGAAGATAGTTGCGAAATTTGTCAGTGACTTCTTCCGGTGAAAAAACAGACTTCGCTGCAGTACTTTGCTGAACATCTTCCTCATCAATACTTTCATCAACATCTGCATCACTGTTGTCACGGGACTTCTTGGCATCAGATTGAACTGAATTACGTCCACTGGCAATCTTAGCGGATGCAGAGGACTGATCAAGTTCATAGGGGAATTCTGTCTTGTTTTTCATCAAAAGTTCCGAAATATCTGTTCCAACCACCATCTAAAAAATCAAATTATCGTCATTTTATGATAGTTCTAATGACTGTGTTGTATAATAAATCATATTCACCCCATTTTGTCTCAGGAGAAGAATCAGTAAATTCCAAAGTAGTGTGAAAGAAGATCTGTTTGCAGATTGCTGTGAACACAAACTGCTCATGGAGTTACCGCGAGATCGCAAAATATCCGACGGTGGTCCAAGGCGTATTTGATCTTCACAGAATTCAATAACAGTTTTCTTGTGAGTCGTTCCACGAACCAGTGGGCCCGGGTAAGCTTGGAACAGTTTTCTTGTGGTATCATTTGCGCCCACATTAAGGATTTTCACTAAATTGCTCACACCTGACGCTGTATAGCGTGGCTTAATGCATACCAGCAATCCAGCAGCCGACAATGAGGCACTTGTGTGCTCGTTTGTGAACTTCTTTGGCGTCAATCTTGCCACTTCAGTTTCAGAAGTCTTCTCCAAGTTGTATGTATTGTCGTATCTGTAAAAGTTCGTCATATTATACTACACAGATATTTAGCAATAAAAGGCAATAAGCAATGTAACCGTATTTCCAAATATAAAATATATATAATACTTGAAGATATTGAAACAACCATAGCATTGAGAGATCAAAAAAAAAATTTCAAGCAAGGAAAATATGTATGTTTAAAATGAAGAAGGCATTTAAGCGATTAAAGCACAATGAATTAAATGGCCCAGAGAGCGAAGAGTACAAAGACTTCTACCAATTTACCCTTAAACCCATTTCTACCTTCTTTTACTTTTATAGATAAAAGAATAATAAGATAAAATGGATTTCTCAAGCACCTGGATTCGGAATAGTCACTTTGGGAATAAAACTGTCGACCCGAATTCGGTACATAGAACGATTGCGGCTGCTGATACGGAAGCGATGAAGGCTGCTGCTGTTGCTGCTGAAAAGCGCCGGAATTGCCACCCACATAGCTTCCATCCATGATAGTGGAATTATTGGATTGACTGAATGATCGCTGATAATCATGTGGCTGATAGAATTGCTGCATCGAGCGACTGTACCTTGATTCAATATTCAATTTTTGTTGATTTTCTTATATATGCCATACAATTCAGATATTCTCATTATCTTTAGATCTACAAGTTCTGATGATCATGAGTTCAGGTGATGTTAGTAGAAAGATTTGTATGTGTCAACGTGTGCAAGAACCAATTACTTTCTTATGTGTTTCTTTTTATCATTTTGTATATACCTTGTTTTTGTGTCATTCCAATTTAGATGTGTGGGTTAATTTCAACATACACAGTAATTGGTCAAAAATAAAGTGAATTACACGACACAGTAACAGAAAAAAACGAGTAAAAATGGAGAACAGAAAATCCGACAAAGTAGTCTCTACATACCGCTCCTTGTCATTTGCTGAACTGCGTCCGGAATGTACAGATTCCCTCCCATCCGTTGGGATATCACTCGCAGCAACTTGCGGCTGCATCTGAGCATAGTACTTTCGATACCATTCAGCATAAGCCTGAGGATTGGTCCTGCGAAGTGCCTCGTAGTATTGCATTTGTTGCTGAGAGTAATAGGAGTAGTCATATCCGTATCCTAAAACAACATCAAGCACAGTTCATATAACTTCAACTTTTCCGGTATTGTTATAGATTCTTTCTCACCCGATTGATAATATCCCTGATTGTAACGTGGATCCTTATCGCGCATTCGCTCACGATCGGTATTCCTGCTGCCACTTCTGTGATAACCATCATCATAGTCATATCTGCGATCACCACGCTTACGATCACGATCCTTATCATCTCTTTCTCTGTAGCGATCATCTATAAAGGAATCAACATTGAAATCATTTTTCACTCTATTCACTCGATCATATTCACCTTTGCGGCGATCATCTCTTCCCCCTCTATCTCGCTCTACATCTCGATCCCTGTCTCTTCTCGTGTAATCATCATCGTAATCATATTTCCTTCCGCGTCGCCGATCGCGGTCCTTCTCATCGCGATCTCTGTATCGATCATCTACAGAAAAAGTCGATAGTCAATATTTTTAAATCACATCAATTATAATTAAAAGACTTTACCTTTACGTCGATCATCTCTCCTCTCTCTGTCATATTCACGCCTGTATCTTCTGCCCTTCTCATCACGCCTATTGTCTACATCATCACGATCATCACGACGGCGATTGTATTCCTCTCGGGAAGAATATCTCCCCTCTCGATTATCATATCGTCCATACTTATCGCGATCTCTCTCATATCGATCATCTCTATTGCTTCCCTCCCTATACCGTCGGCGGCCATGGTCACTACCATACTCCGAATCCTCGGAATCATATCGTTCCTTGTTCTTCCTTCGATCATCCCGCCGACCTCCTGACTTATAGTAGTTGCGATCCTTATCACTGTCATCGCAAGTGGATACATTTGATGCATCTTTGCGACCAGTGTCAATCGTGGCCACAGATTCCGCTTCTGTTGGGATATTGCCCGCCAAATTTCCTCCTTGGTTATCATCATCTCCTGTATTTGCCCCCTCGATTGGCTCGTCTCGCAGTCTGTCCAGTCGCTGTGGCTCATCTTGCAGATTCTCTCCGTCCATCTCAAGATCTCGCCTCTGATCATTGATAGCCATTTCATGATCCCGTGGCTGAACTTGAACTATTGGTGTGAAAGTATGCGTAACTCTTCCACTTTCATCACCTGTCACAACACGTTGACTCTGTGGCTGCAAATCACTTTCACCAGAGGCCAAATACAAATTTCTCTCTGGTAAACTCGAGGTGTTGTCAGGCACTTGCTGCACTATTCGGCGATTTGTCGTCGAGAGCAAATTTGACACTTGCCCATCAGCTTGACGTTCCATGCTCAGATTTGATGCATTTGCCAAATCTGTCCCAGGCACCATTCGATCCAATCCTGGAGGTGGTTCTGGCAAATCTATTCCCCCGGTGAACCTTGCCTCCGGCTCTCCGAGAACGTAGCGTGAGAGCCCGGGAGGAGGTAAACTATCAATTGCCTCTGAAGGAGGAGAATTCGTCACCGGAACAGGGATACCAAGGTTTTCTTCGGCCAAATGCCCTGTTTCCAAAAATTGATTGCGATCATTGTTCGGCGCTATTTCATGATTCTCAACTTCTGGCCCTGGACGCACTACAGGATATTGATTGCTGATTTTTGGGACGATTTCCGCATTGTCCGGCACTAAATTTTCCTGATTAACCGTCTCCTGACTCGCAGCAATTGGGGGTTGATAGAAGTTCTCCAAGGAAACTGTTGCTTTGGGTGCTGTCTGAAATTGAAGCGTCTTATGAACTGCCATTCCAGATCTCTTGAAGGGATTCCTATCTGCCTGTCGTTGCATTGGTGCTACTGCAGGTGGTGGAGCCGGTGAAGACCGTTGCAAATTAGTTGGAGGTGGCGTGGAAAGCACTCCCGGTGACTGGGTTTGCCTCTCAATCAAAGGAGGACTCTTGGATGCGTCTATTTTCGGTGGAACTGACACATTCAGTGCCATCAGTGCCTCATCCAGCTTATCAGGCTCTTGGTGATTGTACTCCGTCTTCTTAGGAGAAAATGAGCGATCATCGGAGGTTGTATTGCTACTCCTCGAATCGAGATTTTCACTCTCACCCGATCGATCGCTCGAGGAGTGAGATATTTGACTCTCCGTCGACCACTGCGGTGTCAGTTGATGGTCACTTTTCATGACACGCGTTAACAGTGGGTTGGGGAGGTTTCCTTGAGTATTTCTTGAATCATCAGGTAGACTGGATGTATTTATCTCCGGCAATTGTTGATTCTCTACTACTTCTGCGCCCGTCAAAGTGTTTCGTGAATTACTAGACGGAGCCGCCTGGGGCGAGGCTTTCTGACTCGTATCTAGGCTCCAATTCCAGCTCGTCTGATCAGTCGAAAAGCTGTCTTCAATTATGTTCTGATTTACATGATGAACGACGGGATTTTGTTGCATTTGAAATTGATTCACGACTGGAGCAGCGAAATTATTGACGTTGTTATTTGGTGTCTGAACTGGCGCAGGCTGCTGCATCTGCTGAAAGGGCTGGAACGTCTGCTGTGGTACGGGTTGCTGCTGATTATCGTTCCAGTCCCAGTCACCCCAGCCATCTCCCGGATTATCGAATCCGTCCGCCGCCTGAAAGTGCTTCGAAGTCATGTTGTGGGTCTGATAAGGCGCTCCACTGTTTGACGTGCTACTTTGCTGATGTGGTACTTGAGTAGCAAAACCACCGGGCAGTTGCTGACGTTGCACGGTGGCTTGCCAGCCAGGATTGCCACTGTTTCCTTGCCACAGGTGTCCAGGAGCTGGATTTACCGGTTGCTGAGGTGCCTGTTGCCACTGTTGTGACGGATCCTGTTGGAACGCACAAAAATTAGAGCAATTCGCCAAAGTGCACGGACTGTTTTGGTGGAAAGTGAAAGAGGAGAGCGACAGAATAAATTTAAGCAATAAAAAGCGACATAAAATTGATTCAGAGACATTAGCATAATCCACTTTTACTGGTTAATTAGTTATCATCGCCAGAAAGCACGTTACTTGGTTGACATTTTTGTCAGACTGCATGTATAATTTACCTGCTGCTGATTGAAAGGCGCCAGAGGCACCGACTGCGTAGAATGAGGGGGTGGAACTTGGGGCGGAATCCCCGGTTGCCAAGACATTTTGCTTCGCCCGACAAACTCTAGAAACACGGTGAAAATGCAACTGTAAAATAGCCAATTCCACTACTATCCTTTTCTCCGACTACTCAAGGAGCAAAGCAACACTCTAAAGCGGCATTCTGCCTAGGGCGTCCATGAGAAAGTACGACCATTTTTTGGACAATTTAGAAATTTTCCTCTCTCTTTTGTAAATCTACCAGCTGTCACAGTGACACATTTTCTCTTCGTGGATTTTTGCAAATGAATGAAACGTGTGTATTTAGCTAGTTGGGCAACTTACTCACAACAGTATCACTTAAACAAACATTCTACTATGTGGGAATAGTAACAAATATTCACAGAACAAGACGGAAAACTGGAGAATTTTGCCTTATTCACGAACACTGCCAACTTGGAACTTTCATTTTTTACCCAATGCTTCTCTAAATTGCACACAGTTGCGCTAGCCTCTGAAAGGTGAAAATTTATCGTCATGCTAAAGCGAGATCACTATATTTCTCCTTTGCCGGGATGCCTATGAAATTAAAAGAGATAGCAGATTGAATGCTCTTGCGGCAACAAAAAGAAACTCTTGGATGTCAAGTGACGTGTAGAATTTGAAAAATGACGTGACGTGTTTTCCTCCGATTGCTTAAATTTGCTAGTATTTTTGCGTAAATTTTTACACTAAATTCACCGAGATAGATTTACCAAATTAAAGGGAAAGTGTTAAGAAGTTCACAATGGCACAGATGACAATGATTGCCCGTGTGGTCGACGGATTGCCGTTGGTGGGGACAATGCAGGAAGATGAACAGGTAAATAAATATTTAGGTTCCTCAATTTCAATAGGAGTGCCACTGAAATCCTTCGGATCTCTCTTTCAGTCCGGTCGGAGTGTCCTTGAGTACCAGAATCAAGCAAAGATGCTGTTCAGAAAGCTTGGCCCTCACTCTCCGGCTCGCTGCACCATAGAAACTGGACCGTATTTATTCCAGTAAGTTCCCGGCGAAGTACGTCTTTCCAGTCTGTGTTGTAATTTTTGCTCTGTCTCTTTTCCAGTTATTTAATAGAAAATGAGGTCTGCTACTTGGTTCTATGTGATAAAATGTACTCCAAGCGCCTGGCATTCAACTACTTGGAAGATATTGCGCAGGAATTTCACAAAAACTACGGCCGGAAAGTTAATTCCGTGACTAGACCTTATGCCTTTATTGAGTTCGATGTATACATCCAGAAGGCGAAGAAGTCTCTCACAGATCGCCGCCGCAATATCAACACGATCAACACACAGCTGCAGGATGTGCAGAGAATTATGGTGCAGAATATCGATGACGTTCTCCAGCGTGGCACCGTTCTCTCGGAGCTGGACACCAAGACACAAAATCTGTCCATGCTGTCGCAGAAGTACAAGAAAGACGCCACGTATCTCAACAGAAAATCCATGTATGTGAAGGCTGTCTGTGGACTTGTTTTGCTTATTTTCATCGTGCTGTACTTTTGGATTCTGTAACGTCCTGGCAGTCCTAAGCCATCGTTGAAACCGGAATGTGTTGCCCCGATTCATTATTCAGTCTATCATTCATCAAGTTTGGGAGGTGTATTCATTAATCGCGTTTGTCTTCAAGTAAAGGGATTATTGAAGCAAAGAAATATATTGGTAATCATGTAATAATTTAATCTATTTCTCCAGTTTGTTTTCCTCATCGTCCGAAAGCTTGTCCCAAAGGCTCTCGTCAGTGAACAAGAAATTGGTTCGTGCACTATATTCCTCTTCCTTTTTTGATGAATGCTCCCCAGGTTCTTCCTTTGGCGATGTATCCTCTTCCTCATCAGTCTCGATAATGTCGTATTCTGCCTCCAATTCTTTAAAGATCACCAAAAGTGTTGGAAATTCAATGATAGTCTTCTTCTGGAGATTCTCCTCCAAAGATTTTCTCAGGTCCAATTCGTAGACTTTGTTGCCGCAGCACTTTATCCCTTCAGACTTCAACATAACTTTAATACCCCCAAAACCACGACTTCTGTAGTGCTCTAATTCAGAATGAGTCGCATCAGGATGCTGTAGGTCAATATACTTTTTCAGTAAATTTCCTACACTCTCCTTCTCGGAGCATTTCTTCTCGATGAATCTCTTGTTTTCTGCGTTGACAAAAACCCACTCCACACTCCAATATATCTTTCGACTCTTGGTATCATAGAAGGTGCTGTTCAATTTGCGTCTGGTGAAATTTCGCCCAAGAAACTGGAGAATTGTCTTACGCTGCCGGGTTAACATTCGTAGGCGTTGCAAATGCTGAGGCAAGTCTCTGCTCCATTTCTTGTCATTTAAGCGCTTCCTACCGTGTACAAATCGCGTACACCCTTCAAGAAAATTGTAATCACTCATGTAATCCATGTTGGTCATCTTCTTTAGTGGTATATAGCGTGTTTTGTCCCGGATCCCATCACATTCCAGCTCTTTCTTGTGGATCTTTAAACATGCCAGGGAACACGTCTTAACCTCACACTTGGGACAAGTGTATTTTGCTTCGATGTTCTTGCATACTTCGCATGCCCCCAATCTACAAAATATGCGGAACAAATTAGGGGTTTGTTATACAACACATTTTGATAAGAAAATCATTGTTATCAATCTCTTTATCAGCGAAATAACTGCCAAAATGATTCATACCGGGAAATGTCGCATTTTGATGAATTCTCTGGACAATCAATCAGCAATTCCATTGCAAATACCACTTCCCCAGTCACTTTGATGAAAATAACTTAAAATTAAGTTTAATTCTAAGTGAAAACCAGAATATTAGGCTGACAAGGCTTAAAAACGCTTGTAAAAACCAAACTTCTTGTTTGTTTTGATGTATACCCAGCCACGTGATTATGTTGTCAACTTCAGAATATATTCCGCAGTCATATATGGTTGTCTCTTTCAGTCGCCCGTAAAGCTGGAAGGAAAAGGAAACGCGAAGCGTTTGTTTTCCTCGTTCTTGTCACTCGAAATCATCAAAATTTCACTGAATATCGCAGAAATTACGCTCTATTTGATAAGGAGAAATTATCGGTAGTGAACTATGACACCGCCTGATTTTCAGCTACAATTTCTGCGACAGTTCGCTGCGAGATCTGGACGTCACAAGTGCGAAAGCTATCATTGCGTCTGTGAGTAAAAAGTGGTGTGCTTGCGAGCGGGAGTTTTTGGTGGCTCTAGTGATGCATTCAGTGCTCAGCATTGTGGGAAGTAGCATCTGGTGCCGGAAGATGGTCTTCGACGCGGCTAAAAGTGTAGGAATCGTGAGAAGCCTTCACATAGCATCTGAATCTCACTCAATTGTGGAAAATTATGAGGTAAAATGTGACGTCTAGTGATTGTATTAAGTTTAATCGAGGGCTTAATCTACACGAGTTTCCTGTCTTCCAGGAGGCTGTGAAGACCCTCAATACGCTTCAGAGCAACGCTGAGACCATCCAGCAAACAGTGAGGAACAGCAATGAATCTGAGACGTTGCGATTCAAAGAGACGGAAAAGTTTTTGGACCGAATTGGTGTTCCTCTTGAGCGTCTGGATACCCTGTCTGTGATCCACGTGGCGGGAACAAAGGGAAAGGTGATGATATATCCTCAATCTGTGCCACTCTCCTATTTACAGCTATTGAACCCATCGTGAAAAGAAAACATCCGCAACATTGTTGGAGAAAATGTTGCATTATCTGCAGACAGGTCAGGATGGGGTCAATATTGCTCCAGCAAATGATTCAGACTTGCTCTATCTCAACACAATCAATTGCGCTTCTCACAGAGATCAAGAAATGGGAAGAAGGTCACGATGATGTATGTCGTTAAATTACCCCCTCACCAGAGACTAATCCCACTTATTATCTCTATTGGATTACGGCATAAAAATTTATGTGTGTTTAGTTAAGATTTTCGGATGATAAGAAAATATTTTTGTGCTTCTAGGGCTCAACGTGTGCTCTCGTAGATTCAATTTTGCAATCTCATGGCATCAGAACGGGTTTCTTCAGCTCACCGCATCTCATCTCAGCTACAGAGAGAATTCGTCTCAATGGGATTCCTATCAGCGAAGAAAACTTCGTAAAGTACTTCTGGCGTATTTACAACCAGCTGCGTAAATCTCAAGTGAGTGCTCTTGAAATATGCGGTGAATGAGTAAAGGGGTGGATAATTGCACGAAAGCTCTGAGTTTGGCAAACTTTTGCTTTCACACTTTGATTTTATTTTTTTTTTTCAATATAATTTTGAAAAAGCTGCTGTTCTTTTATCTGCATCTCCCTTGAATATTGATATTAAAAATTCCAATTTTGAAAAAGTTCTTGACATATACGTATAATCACAAATTTTATATGTTTTTAGGATCACGATAAGGATATGCCCACATACTTCAAATTTCTCACTATTATGGCTTTCAATGTCTTTTTGGAGGAGAACGTGGATGTGGCTATTGTAGAAGTGGGAATAGGCGGAGAATATGATTGTACAAATATCGTGAGACACACAAAAACAGTGGGAATTACATCCCTTGGTCTGGACCACACACATATCCTTGGAAATTCCCTTGAAGAGATTGCATGGCAAAAAGCAGGCATAATCAAGCCAAAATCGCACGTTTTCACTGTGAATCAACCATCAGGATGTCTCGAAGTGATTGAAAAGCGAGCTCAAGAAAAGAAAGTGAGTGGAAATTTTTTGATTTTACAGTACTTAGATATAAATGAGTATTATATTTATAGGCTATTCTCACTGTGGTTCCTGATTTCTCCACGTACACATTTAATCATATGCCCAGAAGTAATGTGGAGACGAAAGTCCAACGACTCAATACATCTTTGGCAATTCAGTTGAGCAACGATTGGCTACAGCATTATCGATTGACGCGTCTACCACGAAAAGTGAATCTCGTAAAAAGCATCTCTGAAGAAATCTCATTAGGAATTGAGAATACCCGTTGGCCAGGAAGATGTCAGATGATTCCCTTTCATAAGCGGAGAATTTTTCTCGACGGAGCACATACGGTGGAGAGTATTCAAGTGTGTGCAGAGTGGTTCGCTGACAAAACAGTTAAAAACAATAATCCAAAGTGCCTAATATTTAACGTGACGGGGTGCAGAGATAGCAAGAAACTTCTAAAGACACTTCTCGAAATAGCTACCTTCAGCACAGTTTTATTCACACCGAATATCGCCTCCAACAAATATCATTCCACTGATAACACGTCCGTTCTCACAAGCAGAGATGAAGCTCTGGAAAAGTGCCGTAAAAACGAGAAAGATTTGTTTGATATTATCGCAGAGAAACACTCCAAGTATGGTTTGAACGGATTAAATGGGCTATCGAAGCTGCACTCTCAAGTTCTTAGCAGTGTCTCAGATGCCTTTATCTACTTGGATGGCTTGCACGGCCGTGAAACAGATGTTGATGTCCTTATTACGGGCTCTCTCTACTTAGTTGGTGCTAGTTTATTGGCTCTCGAACATGTCGATGTTAAAAACTGAGAGGGTGAATTGAATAAAATGATTTTACGTTTTATATGAAATCCCCAAAGCTATCATCATGTGAACATTCTCTCCTTCTAGCTAGATTCCAATTGGCACACGCCACAAATGCGAAACATCTGCGCGGCACCAATAGGAAGGTCACAAAATCCTTGACTCCGCCTTCGACATTATCCTGCTATGAAGACTTTGAAGAAAACATGAGGAAAATCGCGGAAAGGCGCAAAAAGAGATGGAAATCCTTTTTTCCAGCCAAAGTCAATTTCATCAAATGACTTTATCGTCATTAGTAAATTGTCTCGCCGAGTGAATAGTTCGCGTTCTGATTCTTGAATATATAAAGAAAAGTGAATTTAAGAATATTTGTTTGGTGTTTCGTGCAATATCCAGTGCAAGATTCCTTTTTCTAAAACACAATGCAAGACAGTTCAAAGTCATTCCTTATCAGGGATCTCCTGGGTGACCTCATTGACTCTCGCCGAAATCACTTGATGAATCATCAAGATAATCCAAATGAAGGTTTGTAAATACAGAGGGTTTACAATTTACACCCTATAGAGAACGTGCATTTCAATGAATTGGCCAATAAAACAGAGAAAACCTGATTGATTTCCAAGAATCAAGGAACAATATTAAAAGACACGTGTATTGTATTCCCGCATAAACACGTGAACACACTCGAGAATCCGAAAAAAGGATGAGAGAGAGGAAATTTAATGGGAAATCGAAATTTTGCTAGTATTTTCCACAACATCCGTTGCGAGTCAAGTGGAAGGCTTATCCTTTTGAAGAATCTCACATCTTGCCTCTATTCAATCTCCCTTTTGTTGAAGGTGCAGAGAGGAAAAGTGTGTGAATTTAAGATTTTTTCTCCTAATTGGAAAACGACTCATGCATTGTCATGTAATGTGGATTTTTAATGGATCCTCCTTTTTCCTCTGCTCATGAGTGGTGGAACGTGACAAATTTATACGATTTTCATGCGCGACATAAAGGGTTATTGTTCAACAAGGATAGTTTGTATTGAAAATATTCATGTTTTGCAGAAATTCTTCAACTAAATTATGTCGTAATAATAATAAATTGCTTCTAATTTGTGCTCGTAATAGAGAAATGTACTAATTGACCACTTGTGAAATCTCTCACATAACATTTGACCTATCACAAATGAATGAATGAACTGCCTCTAATGAGTTCGATTTTACCTAGTAATTACTGTTTTTATTAACTGACCAGTACTTAATGAATTAATGGTAAACAATAGCAAAAAATTAAGGTATAATAATAAACTCATCTAACTTGCATGGTCAGAGTCCCAACAGTCAGGATGCACAGATGAGGAGAACATGGAAATTGACATAGAGGATCGCTCCTCACCTGAGTCCACCATCACTGGTAACTTCCCACCGACTTCAATTGTGTCCACTAGCTCTGATATGGGTATCATGCATGGAAAAGTTGGTCGGAAGCCTCGACGGCGACGAACTGCATTCACACACGCTCAGCTAGCATTCCTAGAGCGTAAATTCCGGTACTCGCTCTACTTTAAGGAATAGAGTGATACATAAATTGACCAGGAATTTCCTTTTCCTGCAGATGTCAGAAATATTTATCTGTGGCTGATCGCAGTGATGTGGCAGATTCGTTGAATCTGTCAGAAACACAAGTTAAGACATGGTATCAGAATAGAAGGACCAAGTGGAAGAGACAGAATCAGTTACGTCTCGAGCAACTTCGACATCAGGCGTCTATGGAGAAAGATCTTATGGGAAGCGAATCACAATTGAGTCAGTATTTAATTGCTATTTTATATGTATATCTGTGACGATCGCCACTTAATTTCATGCTATCCATTTTTCTGACCTTTGAAGCTCAACCGACAATTTCTTGCTGCTCCACCACATCTCTTCCATCATTTTCTCAGTCTCCGTGCAATTTCCTCACAAGTGCGGCTGCAGCGGCAATTTTCCGGAATGTGGGCTATGTTCCAGGTTGTCCTCTCTAAGCCCGCCGGATGAGTCATCGCGATGTCTGTGAACGAGAATCTCAAAATACAGTGCAATGAAGGTGGCATGAAGAACCAAATAGCATCATTTCATCGAGATAAAGATATAATTTGGGATGATTATCAATGTTATGTCTAATTCAGTTAAAAGAAAATACATCCTTATTCACATGTGGCAGACAATTATGTTTACTATTCCGCACATCAATTCCTGCAATTTACCATCCAAACAGCACATCAAGGAGACCTCCCCATCCCTTAAATTTTCGGCGTTTTCACATGAATTGAATCAATTACCAAATCGTGTCGCAGTGGCGACAAAATCACCCACTTATTCAGTATGCTGTTATGAGGGAGCGATTGCAAATGATATGATGTGCCTCATGCCTATCGTTAGTCAATTGTACACCCTTCATTCAAACTCTAATCTGAAAATGTGTGAGCTTATCAATTTGCACATCACAGCGGGAAATAAAACAACAATAACGCCGCAATTTGAAATTGTTTATAGCCAATTAGCAAGGAGTGGATTTGGAATCGCATGGTTGATTCAATGCGGTGAATGTCACGAAATCCTTACGCTCAATCCTTCTCGAAAATATGAGATAATTTTAGGGCGTTTTAGACTGTAGGATGTTATTCAGTCTCTGGTTATGTGCAATAGAGAAACTCTTCAATTTGACCGAACAAAATGGGTGGATAAATGGAAGTTTGAGAAATCTGATTGTTGAGTGGCAACCCTCATCATAATTTGCAGTTTCTCTGTTGAGTGAGTTCCTCAGGCGGAATCATAGACTCATATAGGTTTCATTTTATACTGAAGTCCGGATGATGTACATGAAACATTCAAGAAAATAAGAAAATTTCAACACCAAATTTTACTATAAAAAAATATATGTATAGCATGTCTCAAATAAAAGAATGATAATTATTGGAAAGGTAATTAGGAAAAAAAATTTCGAAATTTTGTAATATTTTTCATTCTCAAGTTCATTCCCTAACATTTTTCACTTCTGTGCGAATCAGCTTACAAAATAGGACAGATTTGGAAGCAATTTGCAAGTTGAAACACTTGACAAAGTGACGAGAGACAAATAAATCGTCGAGTGGCTCGAGGGCAAGAAATAATTTAGAATCAAAAGTTCCCTCTTCAGATTTGCCCACTGAGTGTCAAACAATGAGGAAAATATTGGCTCATGCTGTGAATAAAAATAGGTATACTAACAAAGGAGGGTTATTTCCTTTATTTCTCAAGTCTGATGAGAGTATTTTGCATAAATTTGAATCGAATATTTTTGTGGTGTTTTCTTTGAGAGACAATTAAAATAACGCATCTTCTAACATTTTGAACATTTTTAAGGAATCATAATTGAATCCTTTTCAGCTGTGACTCCTCGCTCAAGTCAAGGAGTGCCTTAAGAGTGATATTAAATAAATATAATTTATGCCAGCTCATGAAAAGAACACACACGCACTTGATGGATTTGAATTATTCATGAGAATCGCGAAGTGAATTGGATGGTGATGAAAAGGAAGTCGCATAATGAGGAAGATTTCAAGGAGAAAAAATGGCATCTCTATGTCGTATTAATTATAATGAGGGCAAAATGACACACAACCACTTCAAATTCCGCCACGATTCAGCGAATTGATGGTTGCAGAAGAAAGCTTTGCCGTAATATGTATGTAGATATTGAAGGAGGAACTTGATTTTTACCCCCCAGGAAGATTCTTCTTGAGAAATAAAAAATCATTAAATTCATCTCGAAGTTGTATGATTTGTGGTATTTCAATCATCTCAACCGTAAACACTCTTGAGCGAGTTGAAACAGAATATTGAAAATAGGGGGAAAAGCGGGGACGAACACGCCCCTTTTTGGCAATAAACGTGCGCGAAAATTCCCAACAGCAATGGAAAACCTCGATTTCTTCTCAATTTTCCATCATCCACAACGAAATACACGCCCCGTCCAATTATAAATTATATGTATACATTCTTCTCTTATGTTTTTTTTTGTAAAATGAAATTCCACAAATTGCACTTAATACCCCTTTTTGCTCAATTCTCGCGTGTTTTTCCTCACAAAGGATGAAAAAAGTTGTGAAAACGAGAGAAAATGGTATGATTTTCCGCCCTTTAAATATATCTTCTCTATTCTCAACATTAATTAGCAGAGCTCGTTATCTTTCGCCATTATTACAAACGCCATATTACAAAATTAGGGAGGATGTTTTTCATAAAGCGACCCCGTTTTGCAAAAACCTCCCTCCATATCTGTCTCTTTACTCCTCTCCTTTCACGGCCTGAATGAATTTTTTTCAGATTCCTTCACCCTTGTTATTTAGATAAAAATGCGATGAATTTGTAGATAAATGTGATAACTTGACTAAAATACAAAATTACTCAAACAGTTTAGTAGAGAAATACAATAAAAAAAAACTGTCCACACAATTTTAGAGGCAGGATGAGAAAAACACTATTTTGCTCCTTTTATTATTCATTTTATTAAGTACACATAAATTTTGAAATTGTTCAAATCGCTTTCGTATACATATATTCGTTTAATTAAATTGTTCATTCATTGATATTTCAAAGAAAATTTATTCAAATATTTTTGTTTTATGCTTCATGAAAATCATTTCCATTGATCGTCAAAGACAACCTAAAAATATTTGTGACCTTTTCAAAAATGTTTTTGTTAGTAATTGTAGGGCAATTTTCAATTTCACAATAAAACGACATTTCTTATTACAGATCTTGGTATACATTTTTGAACACATGTTAGTCTAAAAATGTTCTCGCCTTAGAATATTTCCTTTCTTTCAGTATACTGGTCTCTGTGATATTTTTTATTTTCCTTAGAAAATTAAACACGCCATAAAACAAATGATAAAATCATAAGAAGAGACAGATGAATAAAACTATTTGCATTTTGATCGAAATGTCGTTTTATAAAACTTGTCGTATACTGTGTTTTGGATATAACTTGGTATCTTCAATTTTCCTCAAAATATTGTCCGTATTTTTTATTTATTTGTAACCATTATTAATCGTATATTTTACTAGATATTTGTTAGATACATATAGTAAGAAGTATAGTTAGATTATAAATATTATCTTCAAAATAATTTGTAAGTACTTGTGTCATTTCAATTGTGAATTGTGGAGATTCACAGAAATCAATGATTATCAAATGATTTACTTTTCCTTAAAAAAAAGAAACAAAAGAATTCTATTTTCATCTCATCTTATTGCACCTCACAAAATGTTTTTCTTTTTTCTTACTGACAACTATTTCCTAACACACATTTTTCTCCATCCTTCCTATTTTTGAATTAAAGTGTAATTCCATTTTACGTCTAATATAAAATATTTCTTATGGCTCTACTCTCAATTACGTTTCCTTACTATCTTTACTTTATCTTATAACCTTCTCTGAAATATTGTAAAAGTTGTATTTGTGCTTTATTATTTTCACTTTTATGTCTCTTTCCTTATTACCAATAAGTTTTTAGTTTTATAATTTTGTTTTCTAAATAAAATTTCTACAGATTTACTTTATGTCCTTTTAATGCACAATTTTGTATACTTTATTCAATTTGCTATCAATTATTACTTCAGCAGTATACTATTGTCGAAAGAACGTAAGAATAAAAAAGAAAATTTCTCAGTAAAATGAGAATTTTCTACAAGGTTCATGAGTTTTTGTGGATTGTTTACAAGCAACCAATATCTTTAAGCAAATTCTTGTTGTGAATTAGTCATTTAAATTTTATCTGAAAATTTAAGAAGAAAATGATTGAAAAACCAGAAAAGGAATCCAACAATTTTACTTCTTAAATGAAAATAGAACCACTCTAAAAACTACGCATAGAATTTTTTTCTTGTTGAATCGTAATTCCACGTATTTGTCAAATATTATTCATAATAATTTTTTAGAAGGTTTCTTTTAAAATACTTGTACCGTTAATTTAAAGGATATTTTTTATCATTTCAATTACACTTTTACTTCAATAGTCAAATAAGATTTTTGTCTCTTTTTTTTTTACTCATTAGTAATGGTATACATGTTTTCATATGTGTAGAATTTATCATTAATTTTAGTCATCTTGCAAAATTTAGCTTTTTCACCTCAGCATTTATGAAAATGCTTCTTCCTTTATGCACAACGAAAGAATTGAACAAAATAAAATATCCAACCAGAAACAAATAATAGAAATTCTCTCTAAAATTCAACCCATGCGAGACATTAAAATAAATTGTACGTTATATATTGATTAATCAATTGCTAAACTTATTCTCCATTCTAATCTGCAGAATTTCCATTAATTCTCACTCTTCAGCTACAGAGTATCCAAGTGACAAATAATACGTGATGTGTATTTACTCTTAAAAGTTTTACTCTGTCTCATTTATCAATCTATAAATTAAGTGATTGTGAATAAAGTTAGACGAAATAAAGATTTAGGGATCTTGCACTGCAAGTTCTCTTACAAATGTCCACCTCACACACTTACCATCGCTTAGCGGAAATCCCCTCAAGGACTTACGTCTTGATGGATAATGGGATCGTAGCCCATGCTGCCGTCGTAGGGTTGCTGATGATCGTAACCACCTGAGTAGCCCATAGAATCCTGGGGTGGAGCTGGAGACATCATCGGCGTCGCAGTGCCACTTGGTGGGCCACCCATTGAATAGGGCGAAGCACCGGCCGCCTTTTTAGCCGCATAGAGATTGGCCTCCTCCTGGGCTTTCCCAATGTTCTTCTTGTAGCGAATTCGCTTATTACCAAACCAATTGGATACTTGGGAGACCTAGATATGGACATCCCATCAATATTTGTATTCTACAATTTATATTACATTCTAAATACCAACCGTGATGCCACACTTTCTGGCCAATTCCTCCTTGGCCTCCTCGGAGGGATAGGGATTGCTCAGATGGCTATAGAAGTACTCATTGAGGATCTCAGAAGCTTGCTTACTGAAGTTGCGACGCTTTCGTCGAGCATCCAGGAATCGTGACCTAAAGAGATAAGCTTATTTATATACTTTTGCCCCTAAATACTCATTATTTATCTCTGCTAAGCTTTTAACAAACAGATGACCTGTTTTGCACACTTTGTCGCGTGACAGAATCTCCAATTTCACACGCATATGTATTTTATGAGTAAATTGTATTTCCTAATAAGGCTCTTCAATATTTAGAGTATACCTCAAAATCATCACAGCTTCGCATGTTGACTGTTTCAGCTGCATCTGAATTGAGCTGAACTTCTTGTGAATGATCTGAACCATGCGCTCAATCTCCTTGGGTGTGATGGGTCTGACAACAAAATGAAATCTCCGTCAGTCAATCAACGCTCGCTCCATGAAACTGATTCAATCTCACCTTGTACGGCTCTGTTCTCGCAGAAGATTCATAACGTGCGTGGTAAATTCATTGCACGCTTGCTCATACTTCTCCAGCTCCTGATGATAGATTTGGCGAATTTGCGCCAATTTCGCCCGGTAGTCAGAGTGTTCAATAGCGTTGTCAGAGTTGATGCCTAGTGAGAGATCTGATCTCCCATCAAAGATGAATGATTAAATCGCTTATCAACTTTTCTGTGGAAGAATTATTAAATACCTTGACTTGCTGCTGCTGCACTGGCGGCAGCTCCGGCACCGCCACCCTTCTCTGGACCTGCCACCCCCTCGGCAATCAACATGTTATCCAGGCGCATCAGTTGTGGATCTGGAGGCTCCTCTTCCTGCGTGTTGCGCAGAGACAAAACTATCGAGATAAAAAATAAATGATTTATTTTACTTTCTTTGACTTTCACTTTCTCACCGGTTTAAGAAACCAAATGTCAACAAACATATAGACTCCCTCTTTGTCTTTTTCCCAATCATTTCATTACTTCTTGAAAAGCTCTTTGTGGCTCCCAACATTTTATATTGTTTTCTTTGTCTATGTATATCAGGTATTAAAAGGAGGCATTTGAAAATCTACAATTCGATTGTAGAAGTGCATTCGTTTATCTAATTGGTATCATTACAGTTCTTTTTGTTGAACGCATCTTTCTTTATTCTAAATCAATTAACAAATTTTGCTTACAAATCTTATGTATACTCAGAATACATTTGCATAATATCATAATACAATCGCATGATAAGGTGAAATAAGATTTCATCTACTTTCAACCCCTGTTCAACCTTTCCCAGTGTAATCTCTCGACACTCCAAAACGACGAGTTGAATTCATATGAGAAAAACAACGAAAAACCCATGCTGTTTTCTAGGGTTGATTTCGTATTCCGTTCACATACGAAAGAAAATATTTTTCGTAGCAAAAGTACATTTCACTGCATTTGTGGTGTGGTTGGATTTCATTTCCACACACACACACAACGGCTCACTCCACCCTCCTTTGATGGTTTATTGGCCAAGTGTGACCACAAAATTAAATGGTTTTTAATACAATCCAGCTAAATTACTGAATTTCTGCTCTTTCTGCATCTTTCGCGTGTCTTTTGTGAGTGTGCTTTCGATGCGACGAAAGGGACATGAGTGACACCACCAACTGTGCGCTTTAATTCATATCTTTCTTGCATGTGGACAAAATTGTCAAGACTTAATGCGATTTACGATACAAACTCAGTGGGAATTTCTCGAACGCCGTATTAATAAAGGCAAAAAGTTGCCGAAGACAAAATCGAATAATCTTTGCGGTTCTCCGAAATTCTCTTTAGCATACAACAAATGAAGAAATATAATCAGTGGGCAACAATATGTAAATGAGATATATATGAATATATCTTCATTCGATTCATTATAACAATTTTTATATAGAAAATATATACAGCTACAAGTGATAATATCCTTCAACTGTCTAATCATCTAACTGACAAATTGCCATCAATCAAAGTTTATATTTTTGTCAGTACCAATATTTGATAATGAAATCAATAGAAATCAAATTTCCGGGCTCTTGGCAATTTTGGTAATTACTCGGACAATTCGGGGTGTACGTATTTAAAAGAAAATACGCAAGGGTAAGCTAAATGGCTTGTATCTAATAAATATTAGCATGATAATTTCGATAATGAAATCACACTTCTGTTTGAAAAGTTTAACTTCTCAATTTAGAGACAAAATTTGCTATGCTTGCATTTTTATATTGGATTTTCCTCAAGCCATTCATTGTCAGGAGCAGTAAACTTACCAGTTTTCTCTTTAATCTCGCACAATACGGAGAAAAGGGCCGGTTTCATGCGATGACAATTAAGCGTGTGCTTCCGTGCCTGAGCCTCGTCCAGGGACTGATCCGTGATGTTCATTATCTGTTGAAGGATCTCCCCAATGTCCTGTTTGCGTACTTCATTCTCACCTCCGCCTTGAGAACCATCACCCTGACCAGGCATCCCATAGCCCTGAGGCCCCATCATGCCTGCTCCGGCGTGTGCCATCATCCTATTAGGATCTTCCATGACCTGCGAAAGCGTCATAAATTGATTAGGAATATCTTAAATTATACCACGGCACACATAAAGGCTGTTCCGGATAGGTTTTACAGTCTGGATTTACTGGGTAGAAAAAGGGGGCTCACCTTCGCCGAATACAACGGTGGATGTTCCCAAGTTGTATACACAAACTTCAATTCTCTTTTTCACACACTTTTCGTATACTTTTGCCACAATTGACTGCACACTACACTTTCTCACACCCTATACGGTTATGGGGTGTGTATTAAACTTAACAAATCGTATTTACAGTAGTTAAAAATGCAGAAATTATAAAACTCCAAAAGTTTTTATGTGCAATGGCCGACGCTCGAGGCTGTCAGTCGTGTTCCGTCTCACTTTCTTTCTCCAGCATCTTTGATGCTCACCTCAAGTGTGAAAGAGATGACTATTGTGGCACGGCAAGATGGCGTCTCGTACAATGAACTTGAACGGGACTTAACGAAGAAAGCTCCGAGATTCGTCGAAAAAGCTCCCAGAGTTATTGCCAAAAACATAATTGCATATCCAGAGAAATGGGTTTTATTATCAAAAAAAAACTCCCGATATACATTCTCTCTCACAAGCGGAAACTTAACATTTCAGACTGAAAAAACTCCTTATCATCCTGAGCTAGAAATCCCATCAGCGTGCAGGCAGCAGTGAGAGGTAGAGCCTGCACACTGCTTCTAAACTACTTATCTGGACAAAACGGGTGATTTGTATATATAAATTCAATGCGTAAGATCTCTTGATGTTCCCCAAACTGAAAAGTTAAGTAATCCCAGATATCCCTATCGATACCTTCTGTCGCTCCTCTCTCCACGATGTCTCTTTTGGCTGCGATACTCAGGACTTCGGCTTCTTTCGCGCTCCCTCGCCCGATACCTATCCCTGCTGGAAGTAGCTTCCCGACGGTCCCTATCCCTAGACCTGGACCGAGTTCTCGCCTCATTTCTATGGGCCCCTTTGTCGCGGTCTTCGTGCTTCCGTCGGTATGATTCCCTCTCGCCTCGCTGCTGTGGCTCATCTCTTCTCCTAGTCTGAGGCTCATCCCTGCCACGCTCCACCCGTTCATAGCGCTCTCCGGCGTTACTATTGTTACCCGTAAATCTCACCGGCTGAAGCGTTATTCCGTAGTCCTGTGCATATTCATTAAGCTTCGATTCAATTTGCTTCTGAATGGGCACAGGAATTCGCGGAAAGAGAGTGGAGAACCAGTCCAATTTTGTTAGCCACTGTACTAGCATCTGCCCGATGGTAATCACCTGCAAGTGAATTTGGAATATTAGACGTAAAAATAGAATCAAAAAGTTAATTCTCAATATTATATTACTTGGCCACCGCCAGCTTTCACATCAATCTCCTCTTCATCTTGCAAATACTGCTCGTACCAATCAAAGAGATCTCCCGGGGGTTGCGTATAACGGATGTACATGAAACCTGTCCAATGAAAAGATCATAAAAGCATTAGAGATTGTTTTTTTTCGGGAGACTTACAGTTCTGAGGTCAGCAATAAAGGTATTGTGAGGAAAGTCCAATCTTTTCGCGAGTGAACTTACCACCTACCTAGTGCCCTTATGTAGGGAGAGTCTGTGTGGGTTAGGAGCCCGTTCACCTGTTTCCTTGTCAACTTTAGCGTGTAGAGTTTGTACAAGAGGCAGAAAGCTGATGATACTATTCCGCCAGCGCCCACTCCTCGCACCTGTAGAGTTCAATCATTCACATTAATCTTCCGCATGGACGGAAAGGCACAAAGATTTCATACAAACATTACCTACCCCGCCACACATCCCAGTTTGTCCGGCAGTTTTCCGGGAACCCTTCTCCCATGGCTCCAGATGTTTCACCTGGTAATATATCTCATCCACTACCTCATGATAAGTCTTCAGTTTAAACAAGGTCACTATTTTATCCGGAAGTCCATGAAATAAAAGCTATTAGTATTATGTTATGTTATAATTGCAAACGTTTACTGGCTTACCTTTAAAGTAGCTGGAGCTCTGGATGTTTGCCAGAATGAGGGGATTGAGATTCATGCTGGCCTCATTTCCCCACAGTGGCAGTACATTGTGGAATTTCCCCATCTTCTTATGTTGTGCAGAATGGTCAGAAGGGTCTGGAAATGGGTGATAGTAAGGCATTATTGATGACTGATAGCGCTTGGGTATTCTAAACAATGCCCTCTCTTTTCTCACTTTCCATCCATATTACCTTCGTTATTAGCGTATTCCATTGTAATATACTTGCCACAGGCAAAAAGTTAGTTTTTGACTCAAAAAGTATAATTTTCTCCACGCCAGAACGCAAATTTGTCGCGAATTTTTACTTTTTCACTCCAACGCCGGCCATTTTTGATCGCCAAATCACCACTTTTCCGATAGTTGGCGCTGTCAACACTGTGGATGTGCTTCTCTGACAGCCGAAAAAGTCTCCAAAGGATTTTTTCTCTGAAGAAAAAACTATGTGTGCATAGCGAAAGTGTGAAAAAATGGAAAATCGTAGGAAATATTCATTAAAATAGCGTTCAGATGAACAAAAATTGTGACAAATTCAATGGCAATACGATACCCACATTGCTTTTCACCGACAAAATGAGTGATGACGCACAGACGGACCTGGAGTTGGAGCTGAGAAACATACAGTCCGTAATTCATGTGACAAAAGAGAATATCGATGCTCTCAATGCCAGGTTCGCAAATCTCCAAGAGCCGCCCCCAATGTACATCAAGGAGTACCAGGAATTGAACTCCAAGTTGCACGAATTGGGGGACAAGGAGCTGGAGATCATTGAGAAGTTGCAGCAACAATGCGAATACGCCACCAATACGGTCACAGTTGAACCTCCGGAACCACCTGATCCTGATACAGAGGTCAGTAGCCCGGTGTGTACGTGTGGGGGTGCACCCTGTCGACATGGGGGTGGCTTTCCTAAGTAGAAAGCACCAAGGCGGTGGTATACGAGTTTGTCCTTGAAATTGAACTTCGTTCTATTATCTTGCAGACTGAAAGTAATTGTAGTACACTGACGAAACAGCCAAAATTTGTGCTCAGAGCCCACTTGCCCAATCAACAGAGGACATCCGTTCAGGTGAGTATTGCTCTATGAGTATCCGGCATAGGAAGCTTGTGGGTATTAACATGTCCCATTACAGGTAACGCCAGGGATTCGCCTTCGGGATGCTCTCTCGAAAGCGCTCAAGCGTCGTAATCTCACCTGCGAGATGTGCGAGGTGACAACACAGCTGGGTGGCTCGCAGCCCATCCACTGGGATACTGATATCAGTTGTATTCAGGCTGAGGAGGTTTACGTGAAAGTACTGGATAAGTTTCCCGTGATGTCTCAAATCTCTCATCAAGTGAGCACTATAAATACTATTCTTTTCCCGGTGCAATTTTCTAATCTAACATTTTTGCAGTTTATGCGCAAAACATTCTTCACCTTGGCATTTTGCGAATGCTGCAGACGACTTCTCTTCACCGGTTTCTATTGCAATCAATGCAACTTTCGGTTTCATCAGCGCTGCGCTGACAAAGTGCCACGACTATGCAACAAAATCGACATGGAAAGCTATTATCAGTTTCTGCTGGAGCAGAATCCTGACAACTGTGCCGGAATCCTCAAGACAGGTGGACTTGTATCCTATCAGTCGCGTCATGTGCATCCACGCTCACTCAATCAACAAGATCGCTCCAATTCGGCTCCTAATGTGTGCATTAACAGTGTGAAAACGCTCTCGGAGCACCAGAAGATGCTGGCCCAGCAGGCGCGTGGGGCATTGCAAAGCCAAACAGGGCAGGAGCATTCACAATCAACACAGGCATCACCTACAAATACGCTGAAGCACATGAAGCGACCCAGAGCCAGGTCAGCAGATGAAAGCAATAAAAATCTTCTCTCACCGAGAGATCCAAAGCCGACAGAAGAGAATTGGGTAAGCAAATCTCAGTTACCCATGGCAATCTTGTTGTTAATGCGTTTTACTGCTGTTTTTTTTAGAATATACAAGCTGTTGAAATCTTGATTGGACGTCGAATTGGTTCTGGGTCTTTTGGGACTGTATACAAGGCCCACTGGCACGGACCAGTGGCTGTGAAGACGCTGAATGTAAAGACACCAAGCCCAGCACAATTGCAGGCATTCAAGAATGAAGTGGCGATGTTGAAAAAGACGCGTCACTGCAACATTCTCTTGTTCATGGGCTGCGTGAGTGAACCATCACTGGCCATTGTGACACAGTGGTGTGAGGGCAGTAGCCTGTACAAGCATATTCACGTGAACGAGACGAAATTTAAATTAAATACGCTAATAGACATTGGCCGCCAAGTTGCTCAGGGAATGGACTATTTGCATGCGAAGAATATTATTCATCGTGATCTCAAGTCCAACAATATTTTCCTGCACGAAGACCTGTCCGTGAAAATTGGAGACTTTGGCTTGGCCACGGCAAAGATGCGTTGGTCTGGCGAGAAGCAGGCTAACCAGCCAACTGGGAGCATTCTGTGGATGGCTCCAGAGGTGATTCGTATGGAAGATTCTAATCCGTATTCCTTTCAGAGCGACGTGTATGCCTTCGGTATTGTGATGTATGAGCTGCTGGGGGAGCAGCTGCCCTACAGCCACATCAACAATAAGGATCAGATATTGTTCATGGTCGGACGCGGGCTACTGAGACCGGACATGAGCAAGGTGCGCTCTGATTGTCCACAGGCACTGAAGCGTCTCGCAGAGGATTGCATAAAGTTTGTAAGGGACGAGAGGCCACTCTTCAGACTTATCCTCAACATGCTGGAAAATATGCTGAGAACATTGCCAAAGATACATCGCAGCGCCAGCGAGCCCAACATGACCCAGACGCAGCTACAGAGCGATGATTTCCTCTATATGTGCTCTAGCCCAAAGACACCAGTCAACTTTAGTAATTTTCAGTTTTACAATGGTGCCGCCAACATATAGCAATTTTTCATCATTATCATGTCTCTCTTCTCGTCCACACTTTCACTTATTAATTTTTAACAATATTATTTGGGTTACTTTACTTACTGGACGATATTCGTTCAATTTTCTGTATTAGTTTATATTTTATAGATGAGGCCTAAATTGATTTGGTTTGAATGTATTTTTTATGTATTGTTTCTTTTCTGAAGCTTGGAATTTTCAACATTTTTATTTAATTTTTTGAGATAACCTTTACAATATTTTCTCACTCAATATACAGTTATATATAATACAGATTAATGTTAATCCATACATTAGTGACTTTGAAACTATAAAAAACGATAATGGTAAACAAAGGAGAAGATGAGGAGGAGAAAGAATAAAAGGGTAGAATTAAAAACTATAAAATGTAAATATGGTAAAAAAAATATTCAGAAAAGAGACAGAAATTACGATGCAGAAAGTTCCAAACTAGTCAGAAGACCTCATTTTTTCTTACGATTTGAACAAAATAAAAATTAAATAATGATGAAGAAACTGTTAAAATAGTAAAGAAAAAATGAGAATTGAATCAGCAATTAAGACATTCCTCTTACCAATTTTTTGTAAATATATATAGCACTTGAGAAAATTTATGGTCATTTGAGAAAAGAGATTCAATGAAAAATCAATCACATGAAAAGTGATTAGAATTAAGATGCAAATAAGAATTTCTTCTATGTTCTTTCACTATCCTCTTGACAAAAAAAATTGTAAAAAGAAGATGTATTAAATAAAATTGTAAAAATTATCCCAACATCCTTTTCATATCATATTCGTAATTGAAGAAATTAACAAAGTTTACGTTTTATAAGTTTCTTAGATTTTTTTATTGTTTATTGAATTATAAATAGAAATGGTAGAAGTGATTGAATATACCTACCTAGGTCACTGAGAGTATATTATAATTTTTATTTCATTTTCTGTCATAATTTTTGCCTAAATTTTAGTGTTCCTTGAGATGAAAGGAAGAAAATTTAAACATCTCAAGAAACATCTGCTCCTTCGCTTTTTTGTCTATAACGAATCTTTATTGTGTTGTGATCTTGTGAGTTTCTCTATTTCAGCTCCCAGAACAATTCCAACGACAAAAGGAACTGAATGTAAAGTCAATACTCCCTCACCATACCAGGAAAAAAAATCCTTGGCACGTGTTTTAGTAACGACAAGATTGTACTGTGCATGAGAAAAAGATCTGAGTTTCCAGCTTAGTAAGATGAAATTCTCACAAGAAACCACACCTTTTGGCAGTGTGTCGATGAAAATACGATCAATCATTTGGAGTGGTATTTAATTTCGCATTACATGTCACTCACATTCGAGACAGATACAATTTGAATGGCTGAGAACACTGCCTCAGTAGGAATCAATCTCCTCAACCCTCATTTCTGATGTACAAAGTGTCTTAATTGGAGTACCATTGAGTGAAATTGTATGAAAGGGCATCAATTTTTCTCAAGTGCCACGAAGGCAGCTGTTAAAGAAACCTCGCCACTCAGTCCCATTATCCTCGAGCAGTAGGAGAGTCTTGAAAATGAAGCAACTAACATTATTTAGGAGAATTTCATGCAACACCCAAATCAGTTGAATCCCTTGCCATTACACAATTTCCGACTCAGTTAGATAGTTCCTGAGGAGGGATATTTTTCGATCTGTATCTCCAGGTGTTGTGCTAATTTATCACAAAAACCAACAATAGATGCCGAAGATCAATGCTTGTTTTACGGATGATTGTGAAATATTTCTCGGTGATTTTTCACGCTGGACTCTTCTGAGAATTTGTAGCCAAGAATGGACCTCCTGACATTTTCAGTAAATCCCCGTCTAATTTGATTGCAAAAACTACCACGAGAAATCGCATTATTTGACTCACAAGAAATAATTTTATCTGAACTATAAACAGTTTAGGTATTCACCCGTACTTTATTGTATATCTTCGTACTTAAAATGGGGAATTTATATACCTAATAAAGTAATTGTTTTACGATCTAATATGGGACATTTTTCCACATCATTAACTTTCTCGAAGAATATTGCTTCTGTGTCTTCTTGATGTTTCTTACTGTTGATATTGAGAAGCACTGTGAGTTTATAGAAAATGGTAAAAAGGTTAAGATGCATGTTTAAGCAATATGTTGTGGCATAAAACGGTAGTTCATGAAGGAAACCGAAAAACAATAATCGTATCGTATTAAATGCATTGGAAAAAAAACATTTGCTATAGACGAGATACTACAAAGTATTTTGGCAAGGATTTTTTGCAACCATCTGAAGGCTACAACGAGGGTTCATGGTCTCTTGAGTGAAAGGAGAAGCAATTGAATAACGAAATATTGGAGAACAGACCCTTCTTCTTTCTATATGACACACTGATGCAAAGAGAAATGTAGTCAATTGAGGGGTGATATTTCCTGATCCAAAATTCATGAGAAATTTTTTTTTGCTTCACGTTTACCATCGGCACAAAATGAATATTTGCAAGATTGTCCCCAGAAATCGCATAAATTCTGGCAGAAAATATTAATAGACATAAAGAAAAGACGTAATTCTATAGTATGAGAACACCAAGTGACAAAGAAAATTTTTATTTTGTGACTCAATCAAAATTGTTTATGATTGAAATTTTGAATGAAGTCGAAAATAAAGATATTCTGTCTCTTAGGGTAAAAACAGAGAGAAAATATTGCACTTATATTGCAGTGGTTTGAAATTCACAATGTTGGGAAATTTTTGGACAAACTATTAGCATTCACCAGATAAAAATAATTCGTCAGTTTTATCACTTATTTTTATCCATGAATATTTCAAGAAACGGCCATGGGCGTTCGATGTGGGAAAAGAGGCATTAAGAGTGCAAAAAAAACATTGAAAGATAGTACTGTCGGGGAGGGAAAGCGTGGAAAATTTTCATGGGAAAATTTATCTCACATTGGCAATTTCCGGACTGAAAAGAGGCAACGGAAAAAGACTTCACATACGTGATTGATGAAAGTGTTCGGAATGTGCGAATCGGACGATTTTCCATTGCATCCAGAGTGAGCAATAAAAATCAATCGTGCCCCGCAATAACTGTCATTAAATCAGCACGAAAGTGATGGGATGTTATCTGAAAAGTCATACATTTTACCCTGGATCGAAATGGGTGTTTCATGCTGAAAAAGGGCTAAAAGGGATGGTTAAAGGAAATTTACGGTAACTTAAGAGCGAGAGGAGTATCCAAATCTCAAATTGTGCAGCAAAAGTGTGTCGAGACAGTCATCTCGAACTTGAACATCTTCGAAGAACATCAATTTCAATACTGAATAGGAAGTAATATTCCCCGGATGGATGACGAAAATCTCCCGTGTCGTATAAGGTTGATTCTCCATCAGAGACATCAAAATTGATGACAAAAATATCACAATAACAGCATGATCATATTTCACTGGCACAGAAACTTCCCATTAATAATTCATCGCTTGAAACAAGTCTTTTCTTATATTCTTTTGCGCGATGGGTTGTAGGGAGGTGACGGAGAAGTGTTGGAAGGTATCAAAAAGTGACATCAGTACACCCCTTTCACCGCGCAACTCTTCCATCTCCTTACGATGCTTTGTCATTGATTTTATCTGCTTTCCTTTTATCTTTCCGTGAAATAATTTAATTACTTCATTTATTTTATTCACTATAAAAAAAAATATACCTACATACATATATTTTTAATTAGTGATCAAAACACGCGTAGTTTCAGACTAGGTTGATAATTTTACCACGACAAGGAGTCAGAAAATCCGTTGTAAACAAAAAAAATAGCGTGAATATTACTTTTATTCAACGATAAACATAGTTAAAGTGCTACATTAAAAGTTTCCTGCAATTAGGACAATATTTCTCTCATTTTTTGAAAGTGTCTACCAATTCTCTCCCACATGAATCACGCAATTCTCACACAATCAGCGGTGTGTAGAAATTATGTCGTGTATGTAGTGCATTTTAAGTTAATTAAATACTGTCCTAGAGAGAAAGCGTCGAAGAGGGTGAAGCAGAGAGTGCAAGAGTGGTAGGAAGTGAAAACCCTTCATAAACTTTTTGACAAAATAAAGAGAAATATTACCAACCACTTGTTCCAATTGGCGTGATAATTTATTGCAGTAGCGTAGATGCTATCAGTGCTACATTTTATAGATACACGGTCGGTCTCGAGAGTGAATGGGGTGGATTTTACATTCTGTACACAGAAGAGTATAACTTTCCTCTTGCGATACGCATAGTAATAAAACTGATATATGAGTTCTCCATATAGATCGATAGAATCAACTTGTTGAGAGAGATTTGCTTCAGCCCATTTCAGGTTGGCGCACCATTTTTTTGTTGTTTAATTTTCTTCTCACACCACAAGATTATTGATTTTCTCACTTCCAATTTTCACAATTTATCCCAATGGGAATTAAACCAGTGAGACATCTACTGGGAATGAAGATGAGATTTAAATTGAAATCTCTTTCTGGTTGCAATAAAATGCAATTTATTAGACACTTCTCCAACCCTTTCAAATCTCAACATTCCATAAATTGCAGTAAATTGCTTTTATCGCGACTTGTGTGCATTTATTTTGTATTCACTCCAAATTCACATCTAATCAGAGGGCAAGCCCTACCATTTTCTCGCATAGTCTCATATCTTATTCCTCAAACATAGCACCATCCCAATGCATATTAGATTAAATTTAAGCATGAAATGGAGATGAAGCATTGAAAGGATTGAATGACATGCGAAAGGGTGTCTGGGAGGGACTGTCTTACTTCCAAGGGAAAACGGATTCGACTTGACAATAACAACACACCACCAAATTTATGTTGTTACAATTCAACAGTGTATATTTTTACTGCAAATCGGAGGGTTGACGCGAGAAAAATCACTCTAACGTCATTTTCTGTGCTCCCATCAAAGAGCCTTCTTCCGCCACCCAAAGATGCTCACTCAGTATGCAATAAGGAAGAGACTGTGCACCCCAGACATAGAATCCTGATTCATCAATTTGATGGTAGGTATACAACTTGCGTATCATTTACCCTCCGTCTTTCATTTTCTCCTTCAAAACATTTTTGCCCTGCTCTCTATTGCGTGAGATGAATAATATGTAATAACCGGTAGGAGAAATTATGAAAAATAGTGACGTGAAAAACAGCTGATTTTGGGAGTAAAAAGAAAATGCGAACACAAGATAAATAGAAAATGGAATTATTGAGTTATCGAAATAACGAAAAGTTTCAATTTTCCGTGTCAATTAAAGTTTTCATTTATTAACTTACTGGAGGTTTTTCATGACAAAAATCTCTCGCCAAATGATTTTATGTCCATTTGAATTATATATTGATTTATTGACTTATCAGTGCTAAGATCGATGTCTTCGACTTTCTCTACTGCTACTATTTTGTTCAGTTGTATTTTGCTGAGTCATTTTGAGGGTTCAGAAAAATCCTGCATCTCAATTGTGCCTTTTAAAAGAAAAAAAATCTCTCAGATCATTTCTTTGAGCCATCTACTAAATGAGATACTTTTAAGTCAGCGATTCGCCACTTTCGTGCTCAATGGATTCTGCTTCTCGCCAGAAAGCATGTTATGGTGAAATTGAAAGTCATTGTAGGGACTTTTTGTACGATCTTCAACCATAACCATATCATCAATTTTCATCAAATCTCTCGACACTCCACATGGTTTTCTGCTGAACAACAACCCTTTTCTATTGTGGCCGGGGAAGCTAATATTCAC